GCTCCTGCTCCTGCTCCTGCTCCTGCTCCTGCTCCTGCTCCTGCCCCTGCTCCTGCCCCCGCTGCCGCTCCCGCTCCTGTCCCTGTCCCTGTCGTGCCCGTTGTGCCTGCGGAGAAGACACCGAAGCCCAGTGTCCCCGAAGTTCCTGAAACCCCGGCCGCAGCTCCACCAGCTACCAATGTTACGCCCCCTAAAGATGATTTAACGCAGACGAACCTTCAACAGATCCCTGATGTTTCTCCTCCGGCCCCCACTGCTACTGCGGCGAGCACCGTTGGTAGCGCCCTCGACCCTAACAACCTCACAGGTGCTGGAACTCCCTCCCGTGGAGCTTCGGCAGCCTTCCCCTCCTTCAAGCAGACTCCTCACCGGGCCCCTGGCCTTCAGCGTCGTGTCATGGAGCAGCAAGAAGCTGTGGTCATGCCTGGAAACCACGCCGTCGACCGCGCAGCAGTGCAGTTTGGCAGCATGGGTTTGAATGGCGATGCCACCGACGCCGACATCGACGAGAACAGAGAACAAGCCGAAACTCGTGCTCAACCCCCTCAACACTCCCCCGTTGCTCCTCGTGCCTCTTTGCCTCCTACGACTCAGGCTCAGGCTCCTACTGAGGCGCCTGCTGTCGCCCGTCCTGCTCCCGGACTCCCTCCTGTCCCTCAAGTCTCCGCTGCCGACACTTCCTTCACCGATTTCGCTCGCTACACCGATGCCCAGAAACCCTACGACCCCTTCACTCAGCAGGTTACCCAGCCTCAAATCCAGGAGCCGTTCGCCAACCAGGCTCCCATCCAGCCCACCGTCACAACGGGCAGCGAATACTCTCCTTTCTATGCTGTGGACCAGCGCCTTCCGTACAACTACTATGGCACCTATAGCCAGACGCAAGATGCCGGTGTTGCCCAGAGAGCCGCCGCTGGATTTGGCGTTTCTGGTGCCGATGTGCCTCACATCCCTACCACACAGCCTCCCAGCCGTTACGGTCACGTTGATGCTCCCAACAGTGGCCACAACACACCGAACCCGACCCTGCCGGGTGCTACCCAGACCCCAACTGCGCAGCACATGCCGGGCCAGGGCTACGGATATGGATACCCTTACTACTCCAACCCTCACTACGCTTCGTACATGAGTCAGATGACCCAGCACCAGTACGGCAGGAACCGTCCGATGTATGATGACGCTCGCCGGTACGATGACCACTACATGCCCCACAACACCCAGTACGGCTATGGTAGCCAGTACGGACCGTATGGCAAGGCTGGAATGTACGGCCAGCCGCAGCACGGGTTCTCCTACGACCACACCTCTTCGCCCGCCACAGCTGGCAGCTTCAACCAGACCATGCCGGGTCGGGACTCTGTCTACGGCCGCACCGGATCTGCCCAGCCCTCTGAGGCCCAGCAGTCGGCCGCTGGCACCAATGCGTTTGGTACCGGCATGACGGATGTTTTCGGTCGTACTCAGGCTGGCTTCGGTCAGAACCAGCCCATCACCCAGCAGCCGCCAGTGACCGCGGAGGAAACAAAGACCTTCGACACACCCAAGGCTGGCGGACCCAGCCCTTCGCTGGCGCAGGCTAACCGCCCCGGTTCCGCAACCAACAGTGTTCCCGGACAGCCTCAGGCTCAGACCAGCCTCCCTCCGCTGCAGGGTCAGCAGAGCCAGCAGGGCTTCGGTGGATACCCTCACCTGAACCCGCAGTACGGTGGTTTGGGCTCTCTTGGTGGACACCAGGGAGCCGCCACTCAGCACCAAGCCACTGGCTACGGTAACTACGGAGGCGCAGGCTTTGCTAACTACTATGGAAACACTGGACGTGGTTGGGGAGGCAACTACGGCCATTAAACGATCACAGGCGTTGTTGCATTTCCGGGAGATGGACGGCTTTTGTTTACAGGCGGGAAGTCTGGGTTAAAAATCTCTTATATTTTTTCAATGTTGTTTATGTCACTCTCAAATGTGTAATCTCTACTCTCAATGGGAGCTTGGCTGGCTTTTCTTTGGACTTCAGTTGCTACGCAGGGTTACGCTCATGATGCTGTATTGAACCAAAAAAATGCTAGGCATTATTTTTTTTTTTTTTTTTTTTTTTACTCTTTGTTCTTTGTTTTTCTTGCACGGGTTCATGGCATTGTTTCTACCATGTTCTTTTCTTCTATTTTTCTTTTTGCCTTGTTTCTTTTTTTCTATTTATTTAATTTTCCTTTCCAACCTCTCATTCTTGCTGTCGACTTTGCATATTTCAATTTTCCTGTACCACTTAGTTTCGACTTTGATTGGGGTTATGTTTATGGAATCTGACTGATGAGATGATCTGGGAGGGAAAAATACCAGACAACGAACGATATTTGGGATGACTCTTTCTCTTTTTTTCTATTTTGATATTTCCATTACAAAATCTTTTCAGCCGTCGAACAGGGGGTAAATGGATCTGCATATACTCCATAGAGACGGAGTAGCCGTGATCAACCTTGTACTTTTGCAGGCGAGGTGCAAGCGAGGTTCGAGAAGCAGACGCAGAAGAAAGGGATGTGACTAACCTTCAGTAATGGAGAATGGAGATCATTAACATGAGGCTTGGGAATTTGATCTATAGAATCTTGGAATGCATTCTGTTTCATGCGTGTTTCAAGTTCAGCCATTGACTGCACATGCATATCTGAAGAAACATGGAGCAGTAAACGTTTCACAGAGCTACCACTGACTAACGGCAAAGTCATTGTTTCTCCAGACTCCATCTTCATTTCTTTACTGACACAATATCAAACCCAATTCACGTGTTAAACTAGTCGAAGATCACTGGATGATCTGCAGCCCTAATAGGCTTAGTCACAGCGCTAAGCACCTGATCATCAGATCCTGTGACCCCCTAAAAAGTCCAGTAAAGCCCTAGCCCTAAGTAGCTTCCGGATATGGATATCGCATTATTGCTGCTGCCTTGGCAGGATTTATGTAATATTGATACGGAAGAGCAGACAGATCTAAAGCGCAGAAGTGTGCCCGGCCAATCAGAACGTTCCACTGCGTCATCGACTCCAATAATACGACCGTTTTCGGCACTTGTACATTTACTCGACGTAGGTTGACGTTGTAAAGGCGGTTTTATTCTTCTTCTAGGCACAGTAGTAAATGAGCACAATGTAGGTGGAAGGATTAGTTGCGGAATTCGTGCTTACTGCGGTGAGAATCTAAAATAAGTCTTTTATATAGGTTAGGTACATACAGTAGTACTTAACTACGGCCGTATGTACAACTGGCAAATATTCATGGCGCGAAATGGCATCATCGAACATGTCGCCCAAACTTTGATATCCCCTAGATCATCATATCGCCATCGATCACGGCATACCGAGTCCGGTTCTGATCGCCAAATGATCGCTGGTGGCTTTGCTCTACTATTATTGCATAGTATCGTTATTTCATATTTCATTATTTAAACAGAATATGGTGCAAGGTGACGTGTTCCATCTCCTGAATAGTATGGGGGCCGGTCCCCTTGCTGTAGGTGCATGTGGAGTTCCGGCATAATGTATGCCAGTGGAGTAGTCTATCCCTAGGGAGTACGTACTCTTAAATTGACAGTTCAATAGAAGCGTTTCAAGGTTCCATAGTATATATCATATTTACCGAGTATGGTTCATCGAGGAGCAGCTCCTTGTTGTAAGTAGGTAGGTAGGCGGGTATACGTATAGAGCATACGTACTCTTCGTAGACAAGTCAGGAATATTCAAATTTACCTTGCATTCAACTCCAGAAAAATGTACTCCATAGTGATATCGGCTCGAGGGGTTCACGCTCACGAGTATCGAATCAGATCACTACCGTATCTATATACAGGAACATATGTAAATAAAACCGACAATGAAACAAAAGGACCGGGTGAGTGAATCCAAATCCAAAAAGAGCAAAGCAATTCTATGTTCGCAGATATCATTGCTGCAACCGCCCAGTTCGTAACATATACTTGGGCGATTCCAAATCGCTCTCCTGATTCGTTTATTCAGTGATTCCAAGACCTTCACCGCCCACCTTGTGATACGGAGGTTTGGAATCGACCGCCTTCTGCTCGTCGAATCGCCAAATGCCGTTGGTCTTCTCACTCTCCAGGGCAATAGATCCGGTCAGGTTGAGCATCTTTGCAACTTGCAGGAACCGCTCGTCATTGTCTTCGTCAACACGCGCGAAGAACCGCCTCTCCCATTCGCGGCCTTCGGACTTCTCAACCTTGCGCAGCTCTCGTTGGGCGTTTTCAATCTTGGACTTGGCGGCGGATACGGCATCCATGTCTCCCCGCTCAATACCTGCGGCCACATCCTTCCATGCTCGTCGAGACTCGTAGAGGTCCTGCTCCTCAAGCGGGGCCAGATCCAGGGGAGTGGTCTTCATGTTCTTGACCACGTACTTTTCTACCTCTTCCTTGGTTCGGGGGTTTTTGATGGTAAACATCTCCGACCATTGTCCGTCGACAGTGTACAGGGGCTTTTTCTCCCCCTCGCTCTCCTTGAAGAGGACTGCGTTGAAGGTGTTCTTCTTACCACTCAACCAACCCTTGCCGGAGAAATCAATCTTGGCCACGTAACCAGTGCTGCTAGCAATCTTGGTGGATTTCTCCAACTCGACAAAAGGAGTGCCGTAGATCAGTGATTCAATGTGCAGGTTGGGAAGTGTGATGAGGTATTTCTCTTGCTGACTCGGGTCATTTTGATCCGCACCGGGTGGGGTGACTGTCAACAGGGCGTGTCCCAGCTGCTTGATCTGAATGGTGCTGGAAAAGGACGCTTTCTGGGCATTGTATCCTTGCAACTAAAAAAAAAAAAAAAGATCGTCATGTTAAATCCCGCCCTTTAATCAGATCCCAGTGGCACTCCCACTTACTTCAATTCCATGCTTCTCATTCCGGATCGCATAGGCAGTGACAGGAGGGTGGTGGCTAGAGCAAGTTAACGTCATGAAACCTGGCTAGATGCAATCACCTCAAGCCGGATGACCTACCTGACTTGCTCACTGATCAATTTTGTCTCCCCCACGTCAGCGTCCGCATTCCATTTGCCGATGAAGAGCTCTCCCAAGAACGGGTTGAGAGGCTTCTTCTCGCTGCCCAGCTTCTCGCTACGGCTGCAGTATTGCTGGTGAAGCGTGCTCAGGAACCACTTGAGCACAGCCAACGCTCTCTTCTCAGGGTCAGACTCCCTGGCCGGGGCCACGAAGATGGATGGGTGTTCGGCCCAATAGGCAGAGTATTCCGTCAAGGAAGTGGAGGAAAGTATGAAAGGTGGAGCAGTCAACGAGGAGAGGTCTCCATTAAAGGACGCAATGGACTAGACGAAGCACGGAAAATATGTCAGCTAGGATGTCAAGGGAGATGCAATGAGGGGAGGTCCAATGGAATGGATGATTATCTTGTGTTAGATCTAACCATCCCCTCGGAGAAACGAATCAAAGCAAGTTTGACTCGGTAAAACCCCCAGTGGAAACCCGATAGGAATTAGGAGGACCATTAGTTCGTTACTCACTTTGAGGAAACTCGACCAAGAGCCCTTGCTGTTGGCGGGCACTTGACTCTGTGGATCCTTGCTGGAACTCATTGCTTCTGCTGTGTAGGAGATTATTTGTCGGTGTCTGCAGAATAATCTGGAACAATAATAATAATGGAGAACTATAAATCAAGAAACGAAAATTATCAACAGGCGAAGAAAAGGGGGTTGTTGATGTGAATCAGGGGCAGAGACAGAGAGAGTCGGGGGGACGAGAAGATGTCCAGGAAAACTCGCAGCCTCGCAATTCGACGTCATCTCGAGGAAGCGAGAGCAGATGATGATCGCAAAGCCCCGCATCCCACCGTCCACCACCATCACATTCACCTATGCTATCATCCTATCCCATCCACAGCATGTGTTGCCTGTTCTGGAGATGAAATCATGTTTTCTCAAGTGAAAAAAAATATTCCCTCTTGATGAGTGCTGGTTGAGGGGTTTGAATTAACTTGTCGTCCATCCATGGACTGTGCAGCCTCAAAAAAGGGGTTTTGAATTGAACTCCCCTTGCTCTACAGACTGACCACAGACTGGTTACTTTGCTAACCTCGACGCATTTTATCTGCTCGATCAATTTAAGATGAAGAATGCAATCGGGTTGTCGCATGGCATGTCAGCATCTTATCTATCTGATGGCTCGACCTTTTGACTGCTGGTGTACAGCCTCTTTTTTTCCCCCGATCGTCCCTTTGAGTTTTGCTCGCTCAAAAACACGTCAAAAAAAGTTCACTGATGATCATTTCTTCCGAAAGATCCTCGCTTTTGTGATGTCGAGGAAACACGGTTGTCTCGAACCCATGTGCTGCAGCTCTCCATCACAAGGCACTGTGGCAAAGGTGATTCCACACACCCGATGGGGTGGCTCCTACTGGATATCCAAACAACAGAGACGAAAACGGAATGTTGGATCTCTTTTCTTTAGTCATGAGACATGGCAAATCTACGCAATGCTACAGAAAAAAAGTTTCTTGTTTTCCGATCACCAGAGTGACGTCTGATCCGGCCACATGAAGCCAAAGAATGTGAATCGTTGCTCAGCATAGCAGTGACTTGGATCGAACTGGCGTGATGACAGCAGCGTGCTGCGAAATTTGTTAATAGAACAGGCAGATCCAAACCAAGATGACGACGAACGAGCCATCAAGTGTCAACTCATCGCCATGCAAGCAAAAATAATTACCGAAAAAAAGTTGTCGACCACCTGCCATGATTCAGAGTTCGAGAGCTCTCAAGAGAAAGAGTGGATTGAAAATCGATATGATGATTTGCAGAGTCGTTGAAACAAGCCCATATTGCGATGATCGTGGAGCCCTCTAGTTTTCTGCTCTTTTTTCTTTTTCCTATTACTGCTCCGCCATCCCCGAGCCAAGAGCGATGGACCGCCGCCCGGGAGCTGCCGTACGAGGTACAGACTACAGAACTAGTTGCTCCTGCAAATCAACCCGCTTTGAAACCATAAACGGTGCCCCAGTCTCCACCACAATGAGATGATGCGTCGTCCTCCCTCATACTGCTAACTTCCTCCTGTTCCAGCCACCCCTGCCCCCCAGGCCTCGTGCAATCCTTCACTCCCGCTGTTGGTCATTCATTCCCGATGACCCATCCACTCTGCCCCGTCGATCAGGTTCCCACTTCAAAGCCAAGCTATCAGTTCTCGGGCCCTTACCCGGCCTTATAGTGGCAAGGGTGTTTCCACTACCTGCGAGTATCAATGGGTCTATTATGCGGCCCTGGGTTGTCCCTGCGATGATCAAACCCTCATACATGCCTGGTTAAAAATACATTGTTGCATTGCCAATCTGAGTTGTCCAGAACGCGGCAGGCTTCCCCATCATGTCGCTGTTGGGCCTTGCTCTGGCCATTTCGTGTCATGATGGTGTGATGATAGTCAGTCCGAAAATTGGACGCTACCCCTTCGCAACGCGCAATACGGAGCAATCGGGAATTTTCTCTCCCTCATTCTTCTGTCATTTAAGCTAGATATTGTATCCAAATGTCCTAACTATCGATTTATTGTTTTGACTCAAGCCAGAGTTCTCCTTTCGTTTTTGTCTCTCGTTTCCTTTCTTCGTGTCTTCTCTTTCGAGTTCGAAATTTTTTCCAGACTCGTCTCATCGAGAGACCGTCTTCTTATGTGGTCTTCTCTTTTCTGTCCACTATTCCAAAGCATTGGCTCAATCTCCTGATTGATCTTCAGTCAAGCAAAAACGAAGTCATTCTTTTACTGCATTGAGCACGTCCATTCTTTTTTTTTCTATCAACTGAGAGTAGCCTTGGGATTACCTTGCGGATTGGTATGACAAGATGTTCGAGTTTCTTAGTCCTAGTTCCAAGAACAATAAGGTGGCAGACGGTTCATCATCGATGAACTCGTCGAGAACCATCCTATCCCCTGATCAAGAAAGCCAGGCACCCAAGTCTGACTTTGGGTCACCCCCGGGTACTCCAAACACACTCGTTCAAGTTCCAAGCCAAACCACACAACATGACCTGCCTGTGGCAGCGGACGATGAATACGAAGAGAATAATGCAGAGCAATATCGTCGCTATTCACCTGCTCGCAAGATGGTGATTGTCGCTGTCATCTCATACTGTTCCTTTCTTGCTCCTATTTCCTCTACCGCTATTCTAGCAGGTGTTCCCGAGGTAGCAAAGACCTTTCAGACAACTGGAGATGTTATCAACGCCAGTAATGCCGTGTATTTAATCTTCATGGGAATTTCTGCCCTCTTCTGGGGTCCAGTTAGCCAAGTCTGGGGTCGTCGTCCGGTAAGTCTAGACACTCATCAACCTTCTGGGATACCTCTAATAATAATAATCATGTATTATAGATCTTCATCATCAGCGGTGTTCTCCTTTGCGTCTTTACCGTTGCTACGGCATTGTCTCCCAACCTTGCTACATACTTTGTGTTCCGTGCTCTCACTGCCTTCCAAGGAACATCTTTCCTGGTCGTTGGTAGCTCTGCTATTGGCGACATCTATGAACCGCGAGCCCGAGCATCTGCGATGGGTTGGTTTGTGTCTGGTAGCTTGATTGGTCCTGCTTTTGGTCCATTTTTAGGGGTATGTGCAACACCCATTCTGGGTCATAAGTTGGCAAGACACTAATCAATTCTAACAGGGCGTTGTTGTTACCTTTCAACCATGGAGAACTGTTTTCTGGCTGCTGACCGCGATGACTGGGCTTGCTGCCTTATTGATAATCTTCTGTTTCCCCGAAACCATCCCCTACAAGTCTGAGGGGGAGCTTGCCGGACAAACCCTCCCGCGGAAGTCGAAGATGGTGTGGGACCGCATTTCGCCTTTTCGGGTGCTTGCTCTTTACTTCAAGTATCCGAACCTATTCTTGACTGGCCTGACTTCTGGTGCTCTCGTCTGGAACCAATACGCTCTATTGACCCCCATCCGATACGTTCTCAATCCTCGCTTCCACCTGGAAACTCCAATCCAATCCGGCTTCTTTTACCTTGCCCCAGGCGCCGGGTATTTGGCTGGTACCTTCGTGGGAGGTCGCTGGGCTGACCACACTGTACGGAAGTACATCCGCCAACGCAACGGGCAGCGAATCCCCGAAGATCGTCTCCGGTCGTGCTTGCCTCATCTTTACTTCGTCATTCCCGGGTGTCTTCTCGTTTACGGGTGGACAATCGACCAATCAGTCGGTGGTATTCCCGTTCCCGTTATTGCCATGTTCCTGCAGGGAGTATCACAGCTGTTCTGCTTCCCTAGTCTGAACACCTACTGCCTCGACGTGATGCAGGCTCAGGGTCGCAGTGCCGAGGTCGTAGCTGGAAACTACGTGTTCCGCTACATCTTCGCGGCATTGGGGACTGGTGTCGTTCTTCCTGCCATTCAGGCAATGGGTGCTGGATGGTTCAACACAATCAGCGCAGCGTTCCTAATTGTGACGGGAGTTGTGGTATGGTTAACAGTGGTCTACGGGCCAAAATGGCGAGAAGCAGTGGATGCGAAGAACGCAAAGAATATCAGTGATGATTCTGACTAAAGCAGTCTTCATTCTTTGTTTTTTGTTTTTTCCCCCTTCATCTTGGGTTTCCTTTCGGTTTCTTTTTGGGCATATAAAATGGGGTAACTCGAGGATAGACTTGGGATTTCTTGGGAAAAGTTGTTTTGTCTTTTTTTTTTTTTATATCTTTTAGACTGGATTCTTTCTGCTCTTTTTGTTGTATGTATATAGGAACTTTGCTTCCCCCCCTCTCTCTCCCCCTTTGCTGCTCTCCTTGTCTCACTCTTCTATCTTTTTGGCCTTCCTTTCCTGTTCGCTCACCATCCTTACGAATACCCCTTTCGTGTACAATCATGTATATAGATTCTAATTCTAATCATCCAAGACCATCCCAAACAAATCGGCCCATCTTGAACATCTCCGTATTCATTTCTGATAAAGTCAAAATTATTAAAACTAATAATTGTTATGTTATTCTTATCGGAAAACGAACCTGCCATTGGTTAGTACCTGCGTGCAGCTGTCATGTGATCCCGCCCACTTGTATACTTCCATGAGTTCCATTGTATGTACCAACTAGTATATATAAGGTTGATTTAATCTACAATTTGACTATGGCCTGTGCAAATCTAAGGTATTATAGAAAGGGAAAAAGAAATAAGAAATAATATAACCATCACTTTATCGGATTCTACTGATGTGCTAAGTGGAGTGCCGAGCTGAAAATTAGTAGTGTGATATCAGGTTATCAGCTTGGCAGGTCCCTGCTTTTGTGTAACAATAACAGAGCTCATTTTTAAGTGTAACAGCTTGATCCTGTTTCAAACAATGCTGTTCTTCTATCAAATCAGTTTTCCTTTTGTATTTGAAAACGCTATGTTGATAACGTGTCAATCCAATCGAGACGAAAAGAGTGCATATGCCAAGTCCAAGTATACACCTCAGGTTTCCAATTTCTTTGCTTCATATTCGAAGCTGGACAGAGCTAGACTCAGATTTCCCCTGTTCGATAGCTGCGCCAGACCTTGAATCCAACTTGTTCATACCAGCCATCTAAACTCACCCAGTCGACAAAAACCCCCTCGATGCCTCTTTGCTTCATGTCCTCAATCGCATGGCAAAGTAGAGCAAGCCCTATGCCACCCTTTCGATACGCCGAGTCGACGCCCACGCAACCAATCAGACCGGTTTTGGGACCGCATAGAGGTGGAAATGCCCAGTCGCGCTCAAGAAGGGGCGAGGAAGGAGGTAGCATCAATGTCCAAGCGACCTGTTTTCCCTGTGGGTCAAATGCAACCATCACGCTGGATGGGCAATTTTTGGGATTGAGGGCGACGTATGCCTCAACCCAGCCCTAGTGAAGACCACATTAGCACGCCTCTGACAAGAATGTACACTTTAAAAAAGAGTACCTACGGTGTAGCTAGAAAAGTTTCGCTCTTGCGCAGCTATGCATTCCTCGTAATGTTCAGGCTGGAGAGGAGCAAAGGTATATCCCAGCTCTCTGGCACGAACAATGTATTTCTCCGGTGCCTGGAAGTTCACAATGTCTTGGTAGAGGTCAACTGAACGAGGGACTGGTGGATTGAGCCGGAAGCCGCGATGGATAAAGAACTCCTGTACTTCTTGAGGCAGATCCCTCGGGATCGCAGGCCAGAATCTTGGAAACGCACTGCCTACGATGAGATTGTTCAGGTTGAGATGGTTCCTGAGCCATGAGCGTGTTTCTGTTAGCAAACGAGTCCCGACTCCCTGGCTCTGATATTTGGGATCGACTGCAAGTACAGCCAGTTGGCCGGAGATCTTGCCTCGATTTACTGTTGTATAAGCAAGGCAGAATCCTACGACGGTAGAGCCCACACGAGCGACGAAATGGTGCCCACTGGGTCGAACCACCAGCCTCTGTAAAGTCTCTTTTGACAACGGATAGCTGGGCAAGGCGGCATTCCAGACAATGGCTAGTTGCTCAAGATCATTTGCGGCATCGAAAGAAGAAATGGAAATTGGGGACTGCGCAGTCTTTCCAGGCCCAACTGGCAAAGTTCCCTTGGTAACCGTCGAGCCGAACATCACGTCCAAAGCAGCAGTGAACGCTTCAATAGTTGGCTCATAGGTGGTAATGTAAGTTTCAAGGCTTTCATCTTCAAGGAAATCATAGGGATTGGAAGCTGCAACCGTGACTAGTGCTCGAGTGTGCTTAGGCAGTTCCTGACCCAAGGAACTTTGATACGGTGATTCCCGTGCATTGATAGAGACGAAGATAACAGCGTCAGCAGCATCGACAAGGCCCCATTCTTCAGTTGATAGACCTGCTGTCCCATAACGAATTTCAACAACAGACTGATTATGAGGTCGGAGAATGTCAACAAATTCAGTGGCGTTATATGATCCTTTTCTTCCCAGTCCTTCTCCGTCTACTGCGCCACCTGCTGGAGTTTTTGCACCTGGGAATAGAAACACGAGAGTTGACGATTTGGACAGGGGAAGAACATTTGGCTTGCTGCGAACAAGAGTCACAGAGCGAGAATAGGCTTCCTTGGCCAATTGAGAGCCTTTTCTGTTGAGTGAAACCAAGGTTTCCATATCCCGTGGTTGCAACGCAGTACCCCAGCTTAATAAGTTGCCTTTCAGCTTGGTAACCCGGCGGTAGGCCTCGTCCAGACGGGAAGAAGGCATTGTACCGGATTGCACTGCCTGATCAACTTCTTTTATTGAGGCTACCTGCACTGAATAGGTATGGCAAATCATGATACTGTCACTCCCCGCATTCAATGCGAGGACTGAGCCGCGCTCTGTACCGTATGTGGCGCGAATGCCATCCATCTCCAGACAGTCCGTGATCACCATTCCATCGTATTTCATATCCTTGCGGAGAATATTTAAGGCGCCAGGAGAAAGTGTAGCGGGAAGCTGACCGTCACCAATGGCGGGCAAGGCAATATGCGCCGTCATTACGGCTTCGACACCTTCGGCTACCGCACGGCGAAAGGGTATTAATTCGCAACGCTCTAGATCATTCCTTGTTTTTGGTACAACAGGGAGTCCATAATGAGAATCAACAGCTGTATCTCCGTGCCCGGGGAAATGCTTGACACTAGGCACAACATTCTGCTCTCTGAGGCCCCGGGCGGTGGCACTTGCGAATCGACCCACGATTTCTGGGTCATCCCCTGGACTGCGTACCCCTATCACAGGGTTCAGCGGCTCAGAATTGATGTCGCAGACGGGAGCGTAATTCATATTGATTCCAAAGAAGCCCAGAGTTTCGCCAGTAACCTTTCCCACTTGATAGGCAAGCTCTGGGGAATGGGTGGCCCCCAAAGCCATTGGGCCCGGGAGTTGGGCAGCAATAGGGGGAGAAATCCTGGTTACAAGTCCATTCTCCTGGTCGATTCCTATAAACAAAGGATGCTCATGACCAGCAATTCTGGCTTCGTTTTGAAGGGCGAGTGTTAGGGCCTTTTGTTAAGAAGCATCAGCCTTATTCAGGATCAAGACTGGCTAATCCTTTCTCATACCTGGAGCTGCGCTGCATCACGAACGTTCCTTTTGAAGAGAATGATCCCACCAACGCCATAATCATGGATCAGAGTCTTGATTTCGGGACTTGGCGTCAGGCCATGGAAGCCGACCGCGAAAAGCTGAGGTTATAATTTAGCATCTTCTCTCCCTTTATTTAGGAAATGCACCAGAAAACTAAATTACCTGTCCAACCTTCTTTTGCACTTCTGAAGGCGGCATATTTTGTGTGATGCCTTGATAGTTGGTGGATTTTTGTGTGTTCTGTGGATTGCGGTATGGAACCCACGTCTTGAGATAGGTTAAGAATAGATGGAAAGAATGCAACTTAGATTCAACTTCTTTAAGATAGGCACTCTTTAAAATAACCAGTTGATGATGAAGAACCTCTCTTGTTCCATGGTATGTTGGCGGTGATGTTTGACAGCTGGAAGTTGTAGTTGTAGCAGTTGCCGTCATTCTGCAGGAGCAACTGCAAGTCCCCGCTTCTCATCTGCCGTACTCTATCATCCATGTCTGCTTCTGTCTCCTGTGCAGACAGTCTGGTTTCATCATCGATATATTTTAACCGTCTTGAATATTCTCTTCAATCCCCATGAGTTGGATTCGAGACTAACCCTTTTCCTGTCTCCTGCTGCTTCTATGGCGGATTTCCGAGGCCAAACAGCACGTGTGGGGTTGCACCTCGGAATTGGAGCATATCATTCATTTCGTTATTACCCATGGTAAGCCGGGGAAACATGATATAGGAGTTAAGCCAAGAATGGGATATTATAACGAGATCGCATATCATCAGTCCAGCTAAATAGAAGGAATAATTAAAGAAGTGCAACTTTTGCCCTGAGATGTGTCGAGATACTGACTTACCCGAACTGGTTAGGTCGTCCCCGCAAGTAACCTCATTGTCACGTGCAACTGAGCCATTCTCTTCTTTTCCGAGACAGTCGATTTCATCTCAGCCTCGTATCTGTCAATAAAGACAGATAGAATGGACCATTCTTCGCATTTACCCGGTATAATGGATACGTCCGCTCCATGATGGACTTTTCCCAATCTGACCTCCCCAATGTGGAGGATCTCCTTCGTTCCGGGAGGCCGTTTGTCCCTTTCTCCGAGTTCTCGATTCGCGATCTACCTTACTGTGATTCCCCCGAGTTGTGGGTTGAAGACAAGCTGCAGCAAGGCCAACCGTTTATACTCAGGGGATTTCAGGGGTTAGATTCCCTCAAGGATGTCTTGAACAATAGAAGCTTGGTTTCTTTGTCGCCTTCGGGAGGTACGCAGCTGGCTTGATAACTATTTGACATTGGGATTCAAACGCTGATATCACTGAATCGTTTAGCAATACCCGTGAGAAACTGTCAAACTGGACGTGATGTTAGAATGCGACTTCGTGAGCTCCTAGTCCAGACTGATAACAATGGGAGCGATGGCAAGATTCGCGAACAGTGGGTTAAACCAATCGTTGGCTCCTAGTAACCCTTTTCCTGACTACTCACTTGTACAGGCTGTATGCAAAAGACCTGAATTGTCCCCATGCATGGGTAAAAGCACTTGAGGTTGCATTGCCTTCTTGTTTGAGACAACTGGGGTCGTTTGATCTTTTTCGAGTTTTGCCAAAGGACATTGCCTCCGAGGTATTGATGGCTTATGTCGGGACTCGGAAATCTTTGTAAACCATCCTTCATCCCATTCTCTTTCTGAAGAAATATTTTCTAACTCAAGAGATGGAACATGGCAGCTCTGGATTCCATCGATGTTTTAGCGGAACGGTTGCCCTTAATCTCTTGATCGAATCCGAAGGTAGGTCCGCTCGGTCTCTTCTCTTCTCAATTTACTAACCTTATGCAGGGTCTGACATCGGCTCAATATGCTTTGGAACGGATCAAAAATCTCAAGCCAAATACGATATCTTCATGGAAGAACTGGGGAAGTCGCCTCACACCGACTGGACCAACGTCTCCATCGCACAATTACGATATGCCGATTTTCCGATCTACGTCGCCAATCAAAAACCTGGAGACTTGGTGGTATTTCCTTCAGCCACTTCCCATCAGATCTGGAACATTAGCTCTATGGTCACTAAGATGGTCTGGAACATTATGCATACCTCTTCACTTACGTCTTTCTTTGACTACGTTCAGCCGGTTTATCAAAGACAATGCCACTCAGACACGGGCCGTGTTCCTTTGATCCCACTGTATGCACTGGAGAGTGGAGTATACACGAAGGATGAGCTACCTTGCATTTTACAAATGTTTCAACGCTTGGTCGATGATGAGGATACTGGGTCCGAGATCTCTGCGCCGATCAAAACGGTGGATACACAAGGCGCCGTGGTGGAATGCAATTTTTGCGGGATAACAATTTGGAATCGACATATGCACTGCGAGAAGTGTGGAGATTTCGATCTGTGCCTAACCTGTTTTGTATCTGGCCGGAGCTGTAAACATGTCATTGACTATACCTGCACCGAGATCGTCTCAAGGGAACGTTGCTTAGAGATTATCAAAACTGCTCGATCTGACTCTGGAAGCTCTAGTCGAAGCCGTGAGTCACTAAGGCAAAAATCGTTGGGGGCTCTGGCTATAGCTGCAGCAGATGCACGCCGCCAGTCTACGGAGCGACTCTGCCACCTATGTCGTGACAGCCACGCTGTATGGAAAGGCGTGACATGCTCTAAATGTTCAGCCTTTTTCTGTTTTCGTGGTCTTCACCGACACTTTGATATTGAATTGATCCCTCTTTTGAGAAACGAGGACCCATGGTCTTGTCCCAAATGTTCGCAAGCTTGCAACTGCCGATGTTGTCATTTTTCTCGGCCGTACAAGAGCAAGGAAAAGCCGGTCAGATCTCGTGTCAAGCCGATTGACTCTCGGGGCCGTATTCTTGGCTTTGTAGACAATGTCTTCGACCAGAAACGGGGGAAGAGGGCTAGCATAGCCACGCAAGCTGCCTCACCACAACCAGCCACCCCCCTTCGAGGACAGAAGCGACGAAGGGTAGAGAGTGAGGAAAACCCTGGCTCTGAACAAAGCACATTGGCCAGAACGAGGACTTCTCCGATTGGCAGCTCCGAAACACCCGGTGGGCATATGTCAGACATGAATGATCTCAACCGCCCTACCACGGATTTGAGATCAGTTGAGTCTCTGAGGAGTACAGGGCAGCTCCGAATCAGTGACCTTGTAGAGGACAGAGTGCAAGCGCCTGACCCTAGAAAATCTCGTCCTCATTCAGTGTATAATCGCTCTATACTAAGCTCTCTTCCTCGAGACACATCTTACCAGCAGAATGAACACGACAATGAAGATGATATTACATTCTCTGCCACAGAAGAAGACAGCATTCCTGCTCTCGAAAAGAAAATCGAAGCTCTCCGTCGATATGCAGAGGATCTTCTTGAGCTCTCATTGATAGATTCGCATGCCCAGCTTCTCGAAAGAATCGCCCAGCTGAAGTCTCAGATCGACCGGAGACGAAGACAGAAAGCAGAGCTGCTCTTCAGCAATCTAAACAGGGATTTTCCCGACTTAGCAACCGTTGCTAGGGAGGAAGCGCGACGGCGTGGCCTATGAGGTTTCCCACCCATGTTGCCCCTGATCCCATTAGTATATATAGAGGTGAAATTGAAATGACATAATTTGTTTTGGATCCAGTTGTCGGAGATCCATGGAATGCCTTCAGGTTTATCAGGTGATGTGGGTATGCCAGGAGGCCGATGATGCATTCATTCATAGTGACTAGAACTCGAAAATGACCAAAACAGCAATTACTGTAGATCCTGAAGAACTAGAACTTATCGACCCATGACTATAGCCTCCTGACGGGTCTTGAATATTATTGTCTCATGTGTTCAGAAGCGCTGAGTTGCAACTCGCGCTTGGTCTCCTGACGTATCTACAATAAGGTGTGTCACGTGGCTCCCCTCCCCTTAGCCTCACCACTAATTGCTGTATGGCAAAGTCCGCCCGAAGCCCCGAACGGTTCCAAGGAGGAAGACGAAGGACGAAGAAGCGGAGTCCATCTGTTGTTCTTCTGCTCTCCACTGCCACTTCACCCTTTTCTTTTGCTTCACTATTATCAGTCCCTAGGGTATATTGTGCACCCCCCGATCTTCATTCTTTTATCACTCCTGATACCGCTGAGTTCGCTCTCCCCTCCATGACTGCCGCTGTGTATGTGGATCCTCCAAAGCACCTACCAACTGTCGTTGTTCCCACTCCGCACAGTCAAGTCCCTCCCTCGCTGTTAATCATCCAGGGTTCTGACAGAAACCAGATAAAGAGACAGGCTTTCTTTACGTGCTCAGTATATTGAACATCACTCCCTCCTCTATCAACGGTCTCCGTGGACGACAATTCCAAACACCCCCCGGGCTGTCGGTAGCAATATAAACACACTATTGTCCTGACCGCCTCCACAACCCACCACTAGCTACCTTTCGCACAAGCGATCTACCAGCCTTTTCCTTTTTCCCTCCCTATTGTCACGTCGATCTGATATCTTTGGACACAAGACATCTATCTACGTCCTCACTCCTTCCGCCGCCATGCCATGCTTCAAGGGTCTTGCTGTGAGCATACACACCCCGGGCGGCCCCATTTCCGAGTACTCGATCCAACGCCAATCTCGGGCATCACGCATAGCTTGTTTTATTCCTGTGCCACCGCCAAAGCTACCGGATACTGCCACTGGAAAACCTGAGCAGTCTACATTCGCAATCTCGATCACACTTCTCAACCCCGGCCAGGATGTCCCTTACTCTACCCCGAAGTCGACTCCAGAAGAGCCCTCCCCAAAACCCAAGGTGGTGGGAGGTCTCCCGGGCCAGACGAGCGAGCGTGGCCAGTATACCAGCATGGTAGCCCCATACCAGGCGTTGACCAACTCCCCAAACGAAACGGTGGCAGCCTATATCTACTTCGACGGCAGACAGAAGGAAGAAGTGGCCACTCTACTCAGGAGAGGGGAAGAGACCTGGGTCAATTCCAGATGGGTAAGCGTCCCTGATTCCGAGGGCGGTGGCCTTGCGGAGCGGGAGTTCCTCTTCCGTGAAGTCGGCTTGGAGAGATGGCTCAACGGGTTGGATTTGGAAGGGAAAGATGCTGCCGCCAAGATTGAGAGGAGGAGGCAGAAGATTGAAAAGCGTCGCCAGAAGCGAGAGTCGGGCGATGTTGATGATTTAGATATGGATGCTTCCAAGCCGGTGAAGGGAGACAAAGGGATCATGCGCTACGGAAACGATGCAAAGTCCCCACTTGAAGATGTCTCGGATGATGACATGTCGTTCTCTGATTCTGATGATGACCCCATACCAGAGTCTGCCGGTCAGATCAAAGTGGCTCTTTTCCGGGTGTTGGCGTCTGGCGAGATTAAGCGGGGAGAGTACTCTCCGCAGTTCGATGCACACGACGACGATGAAGACGGCCAGGGCGGCCAGGGCGAGAAGAGTGGTGGAGATGCGGACATTGACCACACGACGAGTTTCGCCAAACCCAAGACATTGGACCCCAAGAGCATCAGCACGCAGACGGTTACTGGAATCGACCCAACAGACAAGCCCTATGCTATTTTTACGTTTATGTACCGAGGAGAGCGTAAGTGATCCGCCAATTGCTTTTATCTCTCGTTGCTCCGATTTCCCACACAGGAAGCTTGATCATTTGGCTAATAGCCCTCAAGGGCAATTGCAAAAAATGGGTATCTTGAAAGAGCCTAAACCGCAAGAAACTCCAGGCTCCACGAAGCGACGGTCCCTGCAACCGGACTTTTCTAACCTCGGACCTCTCAAACCCGGTGGTACTGTCGGATTCCTGAATTTCCGAGATGGAGGAGAAAACAAGAAGAAGGACAAGAAAAACAAAAAGTCTAGCGATGATATGGATAGCGACGACGACGACGACGACTCGATTCTCGGTAAAGCAGATGAAGAAGAAGGCAAGGACGACGACCAGCATCTGTCTCCTGACGATATCAGATTTCAAGGTGAACTTGCGGAGGGTGTTCGTAAGATCAAGGTAGGTGCAAACCATATGTTCCGTTCTTACTTCTCATAATATTGACTCCTGCAGCTCAAACGCCAACACTCCGCGGCATCTCTGGCTAGCAATAAGGCCAATTCAGCGGGCACCCCTCCCCCCGGGGAAACACCCTCAGGATTATCCAATACGTCGACCGCGCAGCCAAACACCGCCACGCCGACTACAGGAACGGCAGAAAATCCCAAGCCTGCAGCTAGCGCATTGAATGGGGAATATGTTGGAAGCCCCTTGAAGAAGCAAAGACCCAGTGTGTCTGCGGCTGATGAAAACTCCTTACGACGGAGAATAGAATCCGGGCTGTCCAGTGACATTAGTGAAGCCCTGGGATCTGCTCCGACGGGAGAGGTCAAGAATACCGAGCCTCCAAGCGCATTCGGGGGCAGTTTCAAGCCCCAGGAGCCAGCACCTCAACCACACACCGAGGATGAAGAACTGTGAACTTCTTCGATCTCTATGGTTCAGTGGCTTGTTGGTGGCCAAAAAGAATTGAATCTGCCTGACCGCCAGCCTACTGTGTGCCGGTTTGTTTATGAATTTTCTTATGACCGTGACGGACAGCGCTCAACGCCGGATGACTTTCCTATCATTTTTTTTTTTTTTATTTATTCTCTCTCGCTGAGGGTTCATGTTCAGATTGGGTTCTGCATTGCCTCGGTTGCTAGTTTTATTTTCATGCCACTATGTCGACATCAGACTGGGAGGACACCATAGCGTAATATTCACGGGGGGGACTGGTCTTAGATTATTCTTTATTTCTTTATTTCTTATGTCTGAAAAAGGATTTGGAACGTTGGGCTAACTGGTATAGAATTTAAAACCTATTTACGCGAGTTCAAATATATGATCTATGACAGATGATACCATTTATGACTGGACAGGGAATTAAATAAGAAGAGCAGTTTATAAATGGAAACAGGATTTATATTCGCTGATATGTTTATGATCGATTGTAGGGGAGCAGTCCAAGAAATGAAGCCATTGTAGACAAGGCAAACCGTGTTCCTGAAGTAAATCCCAGCCCCTCGACAAGGGATCCGTCTTGACAAACTCCATGCAATTGTAGGCTAAAACCCAGCAACGCTCATCTGAGTTATTTGTCTCTGTTTCAACAAATCCTCGTATTGTCAATTAGGCCATGAGGCGGTTCTGTCGTCTTCCCCAGATCGCTTTGCGTCACCACTCTTTTCTCCACCAGGTGAGGAATTTCTTCTCTCCGCTTTGAAAGACACATCTTCTGGCTCAAAAAGAAGCAATTTATTCTGACTCTGTCAATATTTGGACAATCAAACCAGGCAGTCAAAAAACCATTTTTCCGCCGAACCATTGCCACCATGCCGTTAGCACGCTCTTCAGATCCGTTGGTGTGGATTGACTGTGAGGTTCGCCGCCCTTTTGAAGCTCGTTCTTTTCGATAACTGACCCAATCCCACCGCTTTATATGGCACAGCTGCTGATGTATCATGGGATCCCACACAATAGATGACGGGCCTTGACTCCGAGAATGATCAAATCCTTCAAATATGCTGCTTCATCACCGACGCAAAGCTCAACCTACTTGAGCCCACCGGCTTCGAAGCCGTCATCCACCAGCCCAAATCCACCCTCGACGCCATGTCTCAGTGGTGTATTGACACACACGGTCGCACGGGTCTCACATCCGCCGTTCTCGCCTCAACCACCTCCCCCTCCACCGCCGCGGCAGATCTCCTGGCCTACATCCAGAAATATGTGCCCCAGCCTCGAACAGGGCTGCTGGCAGGGAATAGTGTGCATGCAGACAAGGCCTTCCTTGCCAAGGGCCCGTATGCGCAGGTCCTGGAGTGGCTACACTATCGGATTGTGGACGTGAGTACGATCAAGGAGGCTGCGAGAAGGTGGGGGAGTGATGAGCTGTTGCAAGCTGTCCCCCCTAAGCGGGAGGTGCATTTGGCCAAGGATGATATACTGGAGAGTATCGAGGAGATGCGATTCTACAAAGGACGACTGTTTGGGTGAGATGTATCCCAGGTCTCGAAGCTGCCCTGATGACGGAGGGCGAAGCTCCGAAGCTTAGCTGCTTGAGCACAGCTCCAAGGTCCACATCGAGACGAGAGAATAATCAATACAGCTAGCTAGCTCTCGGGGAGACGATGGCTCGAAGTTGGGATGTCTTCAAACAGTGGCAATAATACCCAAGTGCTGCCCATAAGAATAGCACTGCGGGGACCGTTGGACAACAACACCAGCTAGCCGTCAGGGTCCAAACGCGGAATCCCAACAAAATTGCAGCCACCAGGGCATTTATTGGAGAATAATAGCATGATAATTAATTTGGCCACTGTCTATAGACGATAATTAGTATTCCGATAGAGCAACCAAATGCAGTGCTGCCCTGGAACTGGCGACGAGAGAATGACGCGAATTGCCCCTCTTCCCTTCTCGACCCACCGCCCATCACGATGTCTTTCCCTTCCCCTTCCCCTTCCTCTTCGTCTCTTTTCCTCTCCCATCCCAATTGTCGGTGAGGGTTTGATTCGGTTTCCCCAGTGACCTGAGTTGTCCTTGCATCTTGTCCCTTGGACCATAAAGCTTTCTTCTTCTGTCTCTTGTTTCATCCCTTTCTCTCTGCAGCTTTCCCCTCCTTCATCCCGCTTCTCAAAACACCCCACGTTGTCAACACAGCAACGACCATGTCGATCCAGACAGTCTCCCTCGAGCCCTTTGCTGACCAGAAGCCAGGAACGTAAGTGTTATGCTTTCTTGCAGAAGCTTTTGATGTCTTGCGTCATCTAACTTTATTATTTCTAGTTCTGGTCTTCGTAAGAAGGTCAAGGTCTTCCAGCAGCCCAACTACTCCGAATCCTTCGTCACCAGCATTCTCCTTTCCATCCCCGAGGGTGTTGAAGGCTCTTTCCTCGTCATCGGTGGTGATGGCCGTTACTACAACCCCGAGGTCGTCCAGAAGATCGCAAAGATCAGTGCCGCTTACGGCGTGAAGAAGCTGCTCATTGGCCAGAACGGCATTCTGAGTACCCCTGCTGCTAGCAACCTGATCCGCATCAGAAAGGCTACCGGTGGTATCCTCCTGACTGCTAGTCACAACCCAGGTGGTAAGTTTGTTTGGAATGAAAAGCATGTTGATGGACCGTAAACTCACTTGTGTTACGTATGTAGGCCCTAACGCCGACTTTGGAATCAAGTACAACCTTGCCAACGGTGCCCCCGCCCCTGAAACCGTGACCAACAAGATCTACGAGACCTCCAAGTCCTTGACCTCCTACAAGCTCGCCGAGATCCCAGATGTCGACATCTCCACCATTGGCACCAAGACCTATGGTTCCTTGGAGGTCGAGATTGTCCACTCCACCGCTGACTACGTGGATATGATGAAGGAGATCTTCGACTTTAACCTGATCAAGGAATTCTTGAGCACCCACAAGGACTTCAAGGTGCTCTTCGATGGTATGCACGGAGTGACAGGTCCCTATGGAAAGGACATCTTCATCAAGGAGCTCGGGCTTCCAAGCAGCAGTGTGATGAACTGCGAGCCCAGCCCTACCTTTAACGACGGTCACCCAGACCCCAACTTGGTCTACGCCCACGAGCTTGTTGAGGCCGTGGACAAGAACGGCATCCAGTTTGGTGCTGCCAGTGATGGTGATGGTGACCGCAACATGATCTACGGTGCCAACACCTTTGTGTCCCCCGGTGACAGCTTGGCCATCATTTCACACCATGCCAAGCTTATCCCCTGGTTCAAGAACCAGGGTGTCTATGGTCTTGCACGATCCATGCCCACCTCCGGTGCTGTGGATCTGGTTGCTAAGGCCCAGGGTCTGCAGAGCTACGAAGTGCCCACTGGTTGGAAGTTCTTCTGCAACCTTTTTGACAACAAGAAGATTTCCATCTGCGGTGAGGAGAGCTTTGGCACAGGAAGCAACCACATCCGGGAGAAGGACGGTCTGTGGGCCATTGTGGCTTGGTTGAACGTCATTGCGGGCGTGGCTAAGGAAAAGCCCAGCGAGACCCCCAGCATTGCCTCCATTCAGAACGAGTTCTGGCAGACTTACGGCCGCACCTTCTTCACCAGATATGACTACGAGAATGTCGACAGCGACGGCGCCAACAAGGTTGTCGGCACCCTGTCTAAGTTTGTTGCAAACAAGGACTCGTTTGTGGGCTCGACCGTCTCTGGCCGCAAGGTTGTCGATGCTGGCAACTTTTCCTACACTGACCTTGACGGCAGTGTCTCCAAGAACCAGGGTCTTTACGCCAAGTTCGACGATGGCAGCCGCATTGTGCTCCGTCTGTCGGGTACTGGCAGCAGCGGAGCTACTATCCGTCTGTACATTGAGAAGTACGAGAGCGACAAGAGCAAGAACGGCGTGCCCACCCAGGAGTACCTCAAGGACAATGTGGCCCTGGCTATGTCGTTGCTCAAGTTCAAGGAATACATTGGCCGCGAGGAGCCCGATGTCAGGACTTAAAAAGCCTTTTCTTTTCTTTTCTACAATTTTGACAAGGATGATTACGACGGTTATGTGAGAACACCACGGAAATGATACGATCACGACAGTATAAATAGAACATGTTTGGTCGTTAAAATTTCCGTCTTGCCTATATGATATTCTTCTAGTAGCAATTTTTAATCCATATATACTATTGAGGCATAATTCATTACGTCGTAACTAGTAAGCTGAAATTAGAATATAGTATATATTTTCACTCCAAGCGTTGAACAGCGGCGGCAGAGAGTTTCTCCTCCCACCAGTCTTTCCACTTAACGACCTTTTCTTCCCGTCTGGCTTCCTCGGCAGCAAAAACCACAGCATGGCTTCGCACTGCCTCTTCCAAGGTACAGCCGACGAACCGCGCCTGGGCCTCACGGACATCCCAGCCTTTATTCTCGACTGCCTCAACGGCACTCACAAAGCTGCGCGCAAGACCATAATCCCCACCTCCATGCGACTCTTTCTCCTCTGGCGGCTGCCGCGGAACATCCACGACAGTCGTCTCCCGCGTATCGAACCGATAAACAGAGATAGAACGACTGTCGTAGCTGATTTCACCTCGAGTACCGTACACCCTTCCACGACGCTCACACTGTTTCTCCGTGGGAGCAATCATATGGAAGACGGCTGTTTTGGCTATTTTCGCGGGGCCTGATTCTGTTGTTTCCTCAGCGTCAGTGGGGGAGTCGGGGTCGGGCGATTCGTCGTCCCAGGTGATGGTTACGATTTGGTCATCGCAGACGGTGTTATCGGCTTCGTAAACGCACCGACCATACCATGGTCTCGCGGCGATGTGGGCGTTGTCCATCTGGGCTTGATCATAGTCTTCCCCGAGACGGGAGAGGAGATGTTGATCTGCTGCTTCGGGGCCGAGGGATCGATGGACATCCTCGATGTCGGGACAGACGATGCTCACGGGCCAGGCTGTTTTGGATTGCGAGAGGTGCATGTCGCGGTAGATTTTGAGGGCGCTGTAGTTGCATTCTTGCTCTGCGGGGCAGGAGAGACAGTTTGTAGCGTGGCCTGCGGAGCGGGGTTTACGTTTGCGATTGAACTGGGTGAGGGAGCCGGTGGAGGAGATGGTGCGGGGGTGGTGGTATGTTGAGTTCGGGGAGGGAGAGGGAGGAGAAGAGAGCAGCCAGAGGATGAAGTCGATGTCGTGGCAGGATTTGGTGAGGAGGGAACCGTCGCCGGCGGGGGTGGCTCGACGCCAGTTGCCGCGGACGTAGCTGTGGGAAAAGTGCCACCAGCCTACTGGTTCGCAGTGTTCGAGGGAGACGATGTCGCCGATGACCTGGTCGGAGAGGAGGAATTTGCGAAGGACGGTGTTGTGCGGGCTGTAGCGGAGGACATGGCCGATGGAGAAGATGGTAGAGGGGGATTCATGCGAGAGGGCACGGTAGACAGAGAGACAATCCGTCAAGGAGAGGGCGAGAGGTTTCTCGCAGAGAATGTGCAGGTTGAGAGAGGCGATGGCCTGGACGATTTCCACGTGTGTTTCGTCCAGAGTGCAGATGAAGACTCCGTCGACGCCGGGACTGCTGCAAGCATCACCGGTTTTTTGTCTCCTCTTCACCTCCCACTGGAGCCAATCTCTCCAGTCGGCGAACTCCTGTCCCTCGATCGGTGCCTCTTTTGTTCCCCAGATGTATGAACGGCCGAATTCGCGACGTTTAAAGGCGTGCGGTTCGGCCACGGCGTGGATCACACCAGGGGTGGCAGTTGTAACAGCGCGGGCGTAGGCATTTCCACGAGACCCGGCCCCGATGACGAGGAAACGGAGTTGTTTTGAGGGATTTATTGCGAGAGGAATGTTATCCGATGGAGGTGATCCATTCGTAGGGAGCTGAGGTTCTTTCATCGTGGTTGGTGTCTGGAGTGAAGCTATCGAGGATTGCGGGGAAGAAGGGATAAGATAAAGGCGATAGAATGAGGGGCGCAGTTGGGTATTTGAGTAACTCAGAACAAAAGCTAGGCAGTAGGCGATGGATGCACAGAGGATGATGGTCAGAAATAAGATAGTCAAGGTATCACCAAACCCAAAGCAAAGATGTGAATGAAACATCACATCGCAACGTCCGTCATGGCGGGGGATGAACAATTGCCGCGCTGTGGTTGGCCAAGACGGACAGATTGACGATAACTTCATGTTTCTAGAAAATTACCCAATCAAGACAAAAAAAAAAATCCTTTATATCAACACCAGGGAACTTTTGACAGAGAATAATTACATTGTACAGACAAGCTTCATCATTGTCTGTTACTCGAAAGAGTTGAAGGCCACTGAATCCGCAGATATCACTCACATACGGACAAGAGACGAAACGAAAAGGAAAGAAGTAAAAAAGAAAGAAAGTAAAAGAGAATCGAACAGGAAAAAAGGAAAGCTGATAAAATAATAAAAGATGAAAAACAATAAAGAAAATAAATTGGGGTATCCATACATGAAAATAGACTGATTAAGAGTACAGGGTGAAATTATACTACACTGAGACAGTGTGGAATCTCAGGGTATATTTACAAAGCAGAGCAACAAATGCTCTAGATTTTGTCAGTCACATAGCACAGACAGAGGTCGGCAGGGCTAGAGACCCTCGCATCGACCCCCGCCAAAAGCCTATAAACTCTCAGTAAACCGACTGCCTCGACTCCCATCGAAACTTGGATGACTTCGACCCAGAGTATCGGGTCTTGCTGGGATGGTGGGCGACAAGGTCCCTTGTGGTTGGGGTCGACTTGCTGACGACGCGCTGGGAGATACCATATGCACGGATTCGGACACGGGCGTTCTGGCGGGAGACGGGCGCACTATCACCACTGGATCGAACTCATCCGTCTCTCTGGTGTAGGTCACATCCAGAGGCATGCCGTATGGGATCGAAGGAGGAGGTTGAGTTGAGGGCGAACGTGGCATAACAGGTGACGGCGGTGGTAGAGTCATACTTGGTTCAGAAGCAGTTGGAGAACCCGCTTCGAGACCGCCGCCATACCCATCTCCTCCTGAGTGCAATACGGAAGGAATCTTCCGGCCGGATATCTTTTGGAAGCCACGTTCACCGGTATTCGAAACCAAGGTACTATCCGTACTGGTGGTCTGGGTAGATTGTCTCCATCGCCTCATAAACGCTGGAGAAAAGTAGGAAGCCCTAAAAAGAGGATCATTGCTAGAGCGTCGAGAAGCCATCTCTCCTGAACGTGCGATAGATCCTTCTCCACCAGCGGCGGCACCTCCAGTTATATTATTTGAGGGAAGGCCCTCGGCAGCCTTGCGCATGGCAGCCTTGCGTTGGCGAACCAGAAGATACGCTATAAGAAACAGAAAGAAGGCACCAGCACAGCCTCCAACAACACCGCCGACAATCGTACGTGTCTGAGGGCTAGCACTACCGCTATTTGTTGGAGTCGAACCCTGGGAAGAACCAGTTGCCGACGGACTACTTTCAGTTGCAATTGATCCTCCGCCTCCAAAACCTGAGCCGCCATCAGTAGAGCTAGAGGAAGAGAAAGTCGAGGTTGACGTGGAAGTAAAACTCGAACTTGACCAGAAATCCGCGCTCGTTGTGGAAGAGGTGGCAGAGGTGCTCAGAATTTGGCTCGTATTCGACATAGATGCGCTAGAAGGTAGCGGAGTGGGAGTCAAAGATGTCGAATTGGAGGTGGCTACCAGGAAAGAGGAGGAGCGCACTGGACTAGGCGTACTCGACGAATTGGAGATAAGACCCTTGCTAGTCAACGACGGAATGTTTGCCGTGGGAGAAGAATATGCCGGAGACGCGCTTATAGATCCATGATCTGTGCTGGAGGGAACTGAAATCGGGATCGAACTTGGTTCAGCAGAAACGGCTGATATTGAGATCTGTGCGAATTCCTCGTCCGAAAATGTCAACGACAAACTGGCGCTGGTCGACTCATAAAAAGTCTGAGATTCATTGTCGATTACGCTGACCACTGTGGCCACGATCTTTGTCAAATCCTCCTGGGGCGTTTCAGAATGCTGACGTTTGTCGAGTAGCTGATTCAGCGTGGTTTCCACATCTTTCCTGTGCTGGGATTCGGAATGGTATTTTTTCCTTAACAATCTGCTTAAACGAGGGTTCCTTGCGATGCCATGATGGGCCATTCTGAGTGGAATCGGCCTCTAGATTATATACTGCGTTCTACTCCGCCACTGGACCAAAAAAGGCAACGAATTGGGAGATGGTGTAATATCGAAGGACGTGTGAAAGATGCGGATTTCGAGTCGTAGTGTCGTTATCGAACCGTAAGAACGAAGACGAATAGGGTGAGCGAAAGTGATAGGTGTCTGCCTGCACGACACTTGAAAATCTGTCTGCAAAGAGCGAAGCAAATGAGGCAACCACTATGGGTGCCAATTGAGATAAAAAGATGATGAGAGAGAGCGTCAAAGCCTATAAAAAGCGGTTCGATGTGGAGAAGGAACGATATTTTGGTGATAGCCAAAGCCAAAGGAACGGATTCGCGAAGCGTGAGTTGCGTATTTTTCAGAAGCGTGTTATCGAAAACCAAAGAGTGGATGTCAACTGTCACTATGCAGCAGACGAGAGGGAAAAGAACGACTAGAAAAGCATATAAAATCTGTATCCAGAGAAAGAAAAAAGAAGAGATCAGTCTCCTAGCGCTTTACTTCAACAATGCATACCACCAGACACCATGAATCCATACCTATGAAAGAACGACGACGAATCGAAAATAAAAGAGAGAAAGAAAAAAGGAAAAAGAAAGGAAAGAGAAGTAGAACGTTTCTTTTCTAAATCTCCTGCGATTCTAATCCATTATGGCGTAACAGCGCGACGCAAAGCAAGAATCGTCTCGACTTGCGAAGTGAAAGATAAAAAAGGCGACCTTAAATTCCCCGTATTTCCCTCCACTGGACTAGGATCCACGAGTTGCCTAGGTTCCGGACCCGGATTGACGATCGAAAGAGTGATAGTATATTGGTTGATTGTTGAACGAAAGTGTGCGAAGACGAAAGAGCGGTATTTATGGAAGTAGTCTTGTGGATAGACGCAAAAAGTGCTAGTAGTTTAGATTCCCGGCCGGGGGATATGCATGAGGCTTGATTGAGTATGGTTGCAGCCGTCGATCCCGTCCAACTATCCGACACTTCTCAGGCTCCAACTGGGGGCAAAGAGTCGATTGTGATTGAAGATGAAGAGACGAAGGTAAAGAGGAGGACGAAGAGAAGAGGGGAGAGGGGAGGGAGAGGAGGAGAAAGAGAGAGGGTGGGGAGAGAAGAAGCGATAGAGAAGAAAAGAGGAGAGAAAAGGACGACGAAAGACGAAAAGAAAGACGAAAAGCCAAGCAATTCGGCGCAGAAGAAACAACATGACAGGACAGGACTCGGTACGGCGCTAGGCTGATTATGGTTAGTGTGCGACCAAGACAAGGTCTGGCCCGGATGGAGTGGGGCGGTTGATCTCCGGTCAGGGACGTTACATTCTGCAGGCCAATCAGAAAAGGGGAAGCAGACACTAGCGTGGTCTTGGTGTCTGTTAGCGAGGGGTGAGTGGCCCGGTTTGATTAGCAGAGATACCGCTAGGGTAATGGTGATGGTATTGCGGTGTACTGGTATTGAGCCGAGTAAGGGATCGAGGCTATTGAATTATAGAATCAATTGGATCAGATGGAGGTTTTGATCGCAGAGATCGGGTCAGGAGAGTGATGTTTGCTTTTTGCTTATCACAAACTAGTAGGTACAGTGGCAGAGGACGGAGGATTGCTACGGAGCATTCAAGAATCAAGAGGGGCCAGCATTGTCAGTGTCTCGGAGTATCCCCACGCGTCGTGCTATTTATATCTGACGGTCTCCATCGAAGGAATGGAAGCCGGAGATAAATTGTGCATCCACTATCACGAAGCAGACGGTGAAGACTGAGAAAGGATATAAAACAATAGTTGCACCTCATACAAATGTTCAGTCTGCAATGCTGATCGAGTCTGGTCAGTGGTCACACAATTGGAACACCAACTAGTCGACAACTACCCTGATACGCTCGCCGCTAGAGGCTGAGCTGACTCTCAGAAATGGTATCACGGTAGCACGGCACACATGTTTCGCAGGCTGTTGTCTCGGATCACATAGAGAACTGATGCTGCCGGCATCAAACCACGGTTTCCCTCACTAAAAGTTGGTCTTTTACCCTTGTTTGATAGACAAGTTGGACAGAAGTTGGATGCAACGAGCCCGTCGAGTGTCGGTAGCACCGTCTCAACTCGAGCTTTATGAGCCGCTTGCTTGAATACATCTCACAAGACGCATGTGCACTTTGCAGTTTATACAGTAGTTAAATAACTTGATATTAAAACAACCGATACCTGCCTTGCTCTATGTATGATCATGTACATGCCTGGTCCAACTTGCATGCATACATGCTGCCGTGAGATTACACCAAAACATCCATGAAGATGATCGACAGCGCAATCCACTCCATCGGACAAGGTGCATCTTCAACAAAGACAAAATAAACAAACCGCATCTGCCCCCGAGGGCAATAGCAACGTATTCCTGTTTTGATGTATTTCCATTTTGTTATCCGGTCACTCACTTACAAAACACAACCGCCAATCTCTCTAGTCTCTGCCTGTCCTTCCTTGATTTCTCCCCCCTTTCTGCTGCCACCTGAATAGCCAAGCTAATTAAAAGAAACAACGCTGGTCATATCGGGGTATTATTAACGGGCACACGTTCCGGCGTTGTTGCGCGCTTAGAAGGTCTCCAGCTCATCCGCCGCCGCTTCTTCTGCCGGGATCTCAAATCCATCCTGTAGACAAGTCGTGTCAGCTGTTGCCAGCCCAATTGCATCATTTGCGTCGGGATCGCGTACCTCCGTCGAGTACAGAATGCCCTGGATGTGCTTCACCAGCGAGTCCTCTTCCTTCTCCAGTTCTGGGTCCGCCTCGATGGCCGTTTGCAGCAACAGCTCGATATCCCGGAGCTTGGCGAAGTAGAAGTCCCGCTCCTTCTCCAGGCCTCCAATCGCCTCCTTCTGAGTTGCAATCTCCTGCTGGAGGGCCACTGTGTTGGCCGAGGGGGCTGCGGCAACTCGGGGACGGGCAGCTCCCACGGTGGGGGTGGTTCCCCGACGGGTGGCGCTGGCGGACGACGCACCAGAGCGAGAGCCACCACCAGTCGCAGGAGCACCAGAGGCCTTTCGACGACTGACCGCATCATAGTCACCTCCCGGGTAGTGCTGGTCCCAGTACCTCTTCGTCCACTGGAGGAACTCAAGGTTGTCTTGCATGCGGCATTTTGTAAGAGATTCCACGGGAATGGGCTTCTCTACTTGGTGGCGGGCGAAGACGTCTAAAAAGAAGCACCATGTGTGTTAGGAATATAGGAAACATCGATTTCAAGTTTGACCACATACTTTGAAGAATCTTGTAGTTCTGGAGGTAGGCATATTCGGTGTTGACATTGAACTTGACACGAGACATGGGAACGTCCACTAAAAAAAAAAAAAAAAAGCCAATCGTCAGTCAAGTTTCTAGATGGACAAAATTTTGTTCAGGTATCGGATCCAGCCCACTTACTGAATATCGAGTCAAACACTTGACACAGAGCAGCACTGTGCAAAAGCGTCAGTTCAACGCGTCCCACTCATCTCCATATCAAACCGTATCCAATGGCCAGGGCCGTGATAGAGCTATACTCGAAGCCGGATCGAACGATCGGCACGCTCGAGGCCAGAGAAAAGGGAAGGTATCCGTACCCGGTTCCGCACTGCTCGATCTTGGTGAGGTTCAGCTGTAGCAGGCCATTAAGCCATGCTAGCAGCTCTTGTCTAGACTCTCACAAAAAGCCACAGTCAGTCCAGCCTATTCTCATGCACATGATAGAGAAAATGCGTGCAGGGAAAGCCTAACCTGGATTCGCCCATCGCGGGGTAAAGCGGTCAAGATTTGGATTCGGTACGAGATAGACGAGACTCCACTGTCAGTGCAATGGAAGTCAGAATATGAAGGGAATTATGAGTGATGGAAAGAGCCCGGTCTTTCTTTTGAAGAAGGATTCTGTTTGTTATTGTCAAGGAGGACGAGGGGAAGCAAAATGCAATGTTTGTTGCGTTGACAAAAACCACGGGTCTTCCATCTGCGCTAAGGGGGCTCCTGACCAATCAGAGCGGCCAGGCCCCTTTGACTGGAAACCACGATTTCTGCCCAGTCGATCGATTAAGACTTCAAGATTGATTATTTATGATGGTTCGGAAGAGAAAATATAAATAATAATAAGAATAGTATGGGTGACTCTATCACAACCAAAATATAGACTAGTGTAATTATACTGTACAGTCCCGGATCCAAAATGCCAGATATTTCAAGAAATCAAAACGAATCTATCGCTGTCCAAATGTGTAAGTGTTCCCCTAAATTTCATCACCCAAAATATGATCCCAAATATAGTAAAAAAAAGCCCCCCTGAACTCCAAGCCCGAAATAAACCCTTTTTATAGCCCCATAGGGCGATGCGACAAGCGAAGAGGAATCACTCCTCAAGCAAGTCAATACCATCTAGACCATATCCAAAATCCATAATGACAGCTCGGGAATCTTGACTAGTGGCGACGATGCGTCGATAGTCGGATTTCACACTCAGCATCCAGCTGGTCGTCCAGCCGGGCAAGTCGATTGAGAGCGCACCCGACTGTGCGTCAAATACTTTGACACTCATGTCATAGCTGCCACTGACAATGCGCTGGTTCATGCTATCCAGATGAAGAGACCGGACCAGTCCCACATGGCCCTTCAACTCATTGACCATCTCCCCGGTGTTCGCATCGAACTGGTAGATTACCTGGTCATTCCCTCCAGTGAGGATGGTACGAGCGTCGTCGCTGAATTCCACGCACGCCAGTCCGCGGTCCTTGCTCGGGAACTCCTTGACACAAAGCCCTGAGGTGATGTTCCACAGTTTAGCCACACCATCGCCACTTGCGGAGACAATGAGATCTCCTCGCAATTGAACAGCGTTGACGGGTCCTCGATGGCCGAGCAGCTTTTTCACGAGCGCTCCAGTATGACGGTCCCATATGCAAATGGTTGTGTCTTTGGAGCAGGACACAATGTATTTGTCATCGAAACAGACGTCGAGCACCCCGGCTCGGTGGCCTGACAGACGGTGGATTGGCTTGTAATCACTGTTGATATCCCATACAATGCAGGTATAATCCGACGAACCAGTGACCATAATCTCCTCGTCGAACTGGAGGCAGAGAATGGACGCACTGTGATAGTGGGATCCCTGCTCCATAGGCGCCACGATTCCCGCGGAAGAGGTGGATGGAGGACAGATGGTAAGGAACGGAGACTTGCCCGCAGACTGCTGCGTAGGGTTGTTGACAGGCCCAATGCCCGGGATATCACCTGGAGAAGGGCCGATGATCTTTCGGCAAGGCCAAGGATAGTGAGCATCCCACACGCGAATAGTACGATCACGGGAGCCGGTTATGATTTTGTTTCTATAACAGGTTAGATGATTGTTTTAACTAAAAATCGCGCATAAAGGTAACATACTCATCAAACTGAGCACAATAAACACTGTCCTTGTGTCCATGCAAGTAGATGGCGGCCGCCTTGCCCTCTTTCCACCGCCTGTCTAAAGCGCGGCGGACGAGGAACATTCTCTTCCAGTCCTGGTTTGGCATGGTCTTTCCCAAACCAGAGGACTGCTTCTTCTTGGAGGATAGGCCGCTGGGGCGCGTGTGTCCGTGTGCGCGACGGAACACATGTCTCCAAACATGACGAGAGGATGCCTGCTCAGACCAAGCACGAGAGACCAGCTCGGAGTGCATGAGGGACTGAGGGTCGAGATATGACAGTACTTGTGACATGATTTCAGAAGGTAATTGGGTCACGGGATCTAAGAACGTCAATTAGTCGGTTAGAACAGGTAAGCAAGAGATGTGCTCTTACCCATGCGCACAACGGCCAGATTGGTGTCGGAAATCTCGGAGCGATCACGGAGGTCAATTCCGATGCCACTCTCCGAGTCCAGTGTTATCTTCGCATCATCTATCTTGGAAGCTTCCCGCTCTGCTTTTGCCTGCTCATTCTGGGCTGCCGCCGCGGCTCGAGCTGCCGAACCAGCATAGATATTGTCCGGAAGAATCGGTGGCTCCAGGCCATATCCAGGGACGGGGACGGGAACTGATGAAGTCGGGGCGTAGAAACTGTGCAAGGCGGACACGCTGTTCAAGGATGGACGACGATTGATGCTATGACCCCTGGACCAGATATCTCTCGACCGAGCATCCCAGCTGCCGGTCGTAATGTTGTGTCTGTGGCGAGCATGTTCAAAGTTCAGATCGTCATGAGGGGGCTGAAGAGCATTTCTCGAAGACTTGTTGCGAATGGTCACTGACAAACGACGGCCTAAGGCTCGTAGTCCATCCACGGGGTGTCGTAGACTGGAGAAGCTCTTGGCGCCTCGACGCCTGGGGACGACATCAGGAAAATGCTTCATCTCCTCCACGGCCGATCCCTGTTCATCATTGTCACAGGTCTCGATAAAAGAGAATCGGCTCCATGCTTCATGTTCCGCAATGTTGCCAGGAGAGGCAGCCGTTCGGGGGCGAGTTCTGAGCGATAAAGAGGGGCGACGGCGGGAGGGAGTAACGGTGGTAGAGTCTCGTGGGGTCATGGTGTCGCGACTGATAAGGATTGAGATATGTCGACAATGCAAAGACTGAGAATGGCTTGATGTAGAGAATTAAATAGACCACCCCGGATTCTGCTTCCGTGTTTCCGTTGGAGAGTAGGATACCAACGCAAGACACCAAATTGATGACAGGTAAGGGATATTAGACAAGGCTGACGGGCACGAGAGGAGGGATTCCCTTGAGAAAGAGACAGGCGGATGGGATAAGAGGAGAAGGCTGAGAATGCGGCAAGGGAAGCTGAAAGGACAGTAAAAAAAAATAAAAAATAAAAACTCCAAGTCTATAAACACACCCACCAAGAAGAAGGAAAAAAGTAAATAGAAAGAAAGCGGGAGAGTGAGATTGAGATAGAGAGAGACAGACAGAAGACAAAAGGAAAATGAAAGAAAAGAAAGGGACGCTAGGTAAGATATGAACGAAGATAGAGGCGAAAGAGGAAGAAAGCAAGCAAAGAAAAGGGAGAGAAACGGTCGATCGACCGATCGCTATCGGGCGGTGACCCGAATTGCCCCAGTCCGATAAGGGAAAAGATGGAGAAGTTCAAGAGGCGAAAAAAGAGAGAGAAAAAAAAAAAAAAAAGAGAAAGAATTGCCACTTTTGACAGCCAGAAGAAACGGTGGATTTGCCTCTGGAGATTGAGAATGAAGAAAAAGTTAGATGATGATCAACCCCTGAAAGAACCAGAGGGTGGCGGATGGATTGAGTGTGAATCATCCATGGATCTTCATCCCTCTTTTGAATCTGTGGAATCTGTGGAATGCAAAGTCAAATATACAGCCAGTAAAGGAAATACAGGCAAGGAAATGGATTTTGCATCTGAATGTACAGGAAAAGGGCTGTTGACCGCTAGATGGTTGGGCATCATGCGATGGTTGGATGTGGACTGATCACGCAGTAGAGGTGAGAGTGTTGGGCATGAGACATTTTAATAGCTTCACTGATTGATCTGGTCTTCTTAATATTATTATTATCATAATAAGAACGACAATAGCAATTGTCTGGTGTACGACGATACCCCGCTTGATCCCCGTGGGGAATGCAAATCATCGTCCACTAGTCCTGTATGCGTCTTCATCCTTTGATCGACAGTCATCGCGAGTACCTTGAGGCCACAGAAATATAAACCGCATTCTTCATTCTAATTACTCTGACTTGCATCTATCCAAACACCTTCTCATATCCCGTCAGCGTAAACCGATAATGCACGTCGCCCTTTTTCATCCGCAACATCGCCTCCTTCAGCCCCTCCTCGCCGATCTGAAGCTCCTCCACCCAACTCTTCAATCCCTTGTCTGCCGCCAGCTGCAGCATCTCCAACATCTCCCGTCGACTTCCCAGATGACTTGCGCCAATCAACACGCCGTTCTGGATCAGGTTTTGTGCCTTGATGACCTGGCCTTCTTCCTCGGGCAGACCGACGCTGACCCAACGGCCATGCACATCCATCATGGACAGGTATTTGGCCAGATCGAACCCCTCTGATGAGTTGGCACAGTTGATGATCAGATCGAATGAGAACAGATGCGCCTGCTCCCACCCCTCCTCCGCAGTGGCGATATAGCCATCTGCCCCGAGTTTCCGTGCATCTGCCTCCTTGGCCCGGGACCGTGAGATCGCCCAGGTCTCTGCCCCAAGGGCTTTGGCGAACATGACTCCAAAGTGCCCAATCCCTCCCAATCCTACGACTCCAACCTTTTTTCCAGGCCCTGCTCCGTTGCGCACCAGCGGGGAATAGGCCGTCAGTCCGGCACAGAGCATGGGGGCGGCGAGGTTGCTGTCGAGGGCATCGGGGATAGGGAAGACCCAGTGTTCGTGGGTGCGCACATGCGACGAGTATCCTCCCTGACTGACGATGCCGGTGTCGGGCCATTCGGAGCCATATGTGTCCATCATCTGGATGGGGCAGTAGGTTTCGTTCTCGTTCTTGCACTGTTTGCATTCACCGCACGAGTACGACTGGGCTCCAACGCCTACGCGTTGTCCTTCCTTGATCAGTGTCACTTTGGGGCCAACTCGGATTGCTCTGCCGACGATTTCTACTCCTGTTAGCATCAGATCGACCTGGCAGAAAGGTATACTTACCATGTCCAACACAAAGAGGGAACTTTTGGTCTCCCCATCCACCTGCTTAATCTCAGCTTCGTCCATCTAAGAGTTGAAGGTAAACCTACCGCTGATGGTGTGTACATCACTTCCACAAACACCGCAAGCTTCGATTTTAATGTCGACATCTGGACAGTTAGCTGTATTCACCATCTCGTCAGGCTGACCTACCATAATCACCAAACGGCTTCAGCTTGAACTATGCAAGTGTTAGACAAAAATCGCACATCAGACGGGATACATACGAATCTCTTTTGGAAGTTAGTGAAAGTATCAGGGCTATCCACTTGGAATCCCTCAGCTTCCTCAGGGTAAGGCATATTCAATTGTGGCGAGGTGTTGCAAGAAGAAGACAGAGACAGGAAAGTAATTGAAGACTGAAATAAATTAAATCAGAAGCAGAACAAACAGGGCTAGTTGATCTTTATAGAACACTCAGCCAACCCTACACTCGGACAATCACTTCCCCTCCTCTTAGGCCGTGGGCCCTCTAAACGGGTGAACTATCGCCAGCAATCCTGTGACTCCATTCAGCGATTCCGTCCGATGGATCCAAGAGGCGAGAACTTGGACGTGGGATTGATACATGATGGAGTGGAGATTATGATTCGATTGAACTTGGCTTGTATCAAGGCTAATGTTATCTACCCAGTCAAGGTAACTGATAATCTTCTGTCTAAAGCCATATCGCAGCGTCTACAAAGTCAAATGCATATATCGGACTTGGTCCGGCCCCGCTTTGGCTGTTGAGATGAAGTACAACTACAGACTCTTATTGAAGATATCTCTATACTAATCGGTCATGATGTCGAAAACAACTACAATTCTTAATGGTATCTATCCATCATGGTTACAGACGGTTACAGAAAAAAAATATATATATATCGGATCAATAACACAGATCCTCGTCGTTAACCACGCCGAGTCGGCCGAGTTTGTCCACCTATAAGATTCATGGATTTCGTGTCCATCAGCCGCCGGCGTGGGGGTTTTGCAATCCATGGTCTGGGGTTTCTTGAATTTCAGGTTTGGCATGGATACAGCAGTATTCTGGATCTTAATCTTCCAAATGCGGGAGCGTATCGGTCTATTGGTAGAGTTCTATATCAAGCTAATCACAGGTTTTACCCGACTTGGGTTTATTCATTTAGAGAGAAGTATTCATCATTTAACTAGTTAAACATTCTATAAACATAATCATGCAACGTCTGGCAATGACAGTTCCACCTCCATTGCCTCTTTGATTCCAGCAGCCACAGCTTGTGTCTGAGCCTCGCTCAACCGTGCCAGCGGTCGACGCGGGTACCCTCCATAGCCGTAGTAGGTTTGAATAGCACTCTTAGTGCCCGGGATAGCTGCCTTTGTAAGCACCCAGTCCGCAGCACTCAGCTGGCTCTGTGCCTCAATGGCTTCGGTCAGACGACCAGCACTCCAGAGGTTGAAGATCTGCACACACAGCCGGGGGATAACGTTGGCACCACCGGCGAGAATGGCCGAACCGCCCGACACGAGAGTCTGCAGGGAAAAGTCGGCGATACCACCAAAGGCAACGTAAGGGTGGTTCTCGACGGTCTTGGTGGAGGGAATCTTCTGGGTAGGTGCCAGAGGGGAGGCGGGAGTGATGGCGTTGAGAGCGCGAGCCACACGGGTCAACTTGCCGGTGTTGGCGCAGGTGAACTTTGTACCGACGATGTTGGGATGTTGCGAGATCCGGATGATGAGGTCCGAGTCCATGTCAATGCCGGCTACGGCGCCGGGGTAGTTGTACAGGATGATGGGCAGAGGCGAGCCATCGGCGACAGCAGTGAAGTATTCATACAGTGTTTCGTCGTTGCCCACGGCATACCGGTAGTAGCTGGGGGGTACGATGAGGGCATATTCGGCGCCTGCTTCGGCCGACTCCTTGCACAGCTCTATGGTGCCGCGGATGCTGTTCTCGCTGGCTCCTGTGATGACGGGGACGTTCTGGAAACCGGCTTCAACGAGGGCAGATCGGGTCTCGCGGATGACTGTCTTGCGTTCCTCTCGAGTCAAGTGAACAGCTTCACCGTTGGAGCCCATGGTCACCAGACCAACGAGGCCTGCCTTGGCTAGACGGACGGCATGACGACGGATGGTAGGAGTGTCGAGATCTTCCGTGTCCGGGTTGAAGAAGGTCATGGTTGGAGCATAAACTCCAGTACGGAGGGGAGTGCGTTGAGCCATGGTGTTCTAGATATTCTGTCAGGCTTGTTAGCTAGTTCCGGATGTAATGTTAAGGCAATTGGTGATGCTATTCAACTTACTGATATAGTATATCAAGTGTCAGATGCAGATGGATGAAAATAATCGCACACCAACACCAGCCAAGGCTTCCCGGTCGTCGTGATATATAAACCACCACCGATGACTACCTGCATCCCCGTTATTAATTAATCTCCTCTCCATTTGCTTCCCCCACGATGGACGACGAGATCTTCCATTCGGTGTTTCTCTTCTCCCCAGCAAAAAGACATCCCACTTCCCCACTTTCCCCATTGGCTGACAGGACCCGCACTGGCTTCGGCCTTTTGTTTCCGAGAGAAAAACCGCATTTCTTCCACCAATCAGAAAAGATGGTGGGGTTACCCCTCAGTCGGTTATCGGATTTCCTATTTGGGCTCGGGATAGCAAAGACCGACGATATAGAAAGTACAGACATTCACCGTGGAAAGGGTTGAAAAGGGGCATTTTTATAGTGATTGAACTTCAATTGGTATTTAGAGCCATTATATATACCCCAGGTATAGCTATAATTCTCACATTTTCATGGAAAGTACTCGTGAAAGAAGAAACGTGACGTCGGCTATTGACCTGCCTCAACGGGAAAATTCTCAACTCTGCTCAGGTCCTTCCGTCATTTCCACTGAAATCAAGGATGGGGAATAAATTAAAAAGTCTTCCTCCTCCGATGGGCTTCGTTTTACAATGTCACTGTCTCTGAATTCTTCATCTCTTTTCCTCTGTCGTTGGCACTCGAGCCATCTCATACCTTTCATCACCCCGCCTTAAACTCATACCCCTCACCAGATAACAGCCTCAATTGTCATTCACCATGGCTCCTCCCAGCGTGTTGATGGTAGGCATTCGGTCTCTAGTCATCCCGCAAAAGCTAATATCTGACCTCTCAGGTGGGAACTGGAGAGTACACCACTGGCTATGTCGGTGGTGCAGCATCAGGTTCCGACAAGAAAGTGGGAGTCGTCGGATTGACCTTTTTTGATCTCCGTCGACGAGGAAAAGTTGGCGATCTGAGCATGGTTGGAGTTTCTGGCTCCAAATTCCCTGGAATCCGTATGTCTATCCCTACCCACATACTACTCCAAGAAGCCTACTGATTGTTGTACCTAGGTGATCATCTCCGCAAAAACATTTCTGACGTCTACAACGGCCTGGATGTCTCGTTCCAATCCTTCCCAGCAGACGACAAAGTCGACCCCGACGCCTATAAAGCGGCCATTGATGCCCTCCCAGCAGGCTCGGCCATCACCATCTTCACCCCAGATCCCACCCACTACCCCATCGCTCTCTACGCCATCCAGCGAAAGATCCACGTCCTCATCACCAAGCCCGCCACCAAGCTCCTTTTCGACCACCTGGCCCTTCTCGAAGAGTCCCGGAAACACGGCGTCTTCGTCTTCATCGAGCACCACAAGCGGTTCGACCCAGCCTACGCAGATGCCCGCGCCAAAGCCCGCAACCTGGGCGACTTCAACTACTTCTACAGCTACATGAGCCAGCCCAAGAGTCAGTTGGAGACGTTCAAGGCCTGGGCCGGCAAGGATAGTGATATCTCCTACTACCTCAACTCCCACCACATCGATATCTGCGAAAGTATGGTTCCCGAGTACAACCCCGTGCGTGTCACTGCGTCCGCCTCCCAAGGAGCTGCCGCTGCGCTGGGATGCACTCCCGAAACAGAAGATACCATCACCCTGCTCGTGGAGTGGAGAAGAAAGGACGATCCAACTAAGATCGCTACCGGCGTGTATACCGCTAGTTGGACGGCTCCCCAGAAGGCGGGTGTCCACTCCAACCAGTACTTCCACTGTAAGTTTTCCAGATGGGATAACTATATCAAGTTGCCATGTAACTGACAAAAACTAGACATGGGTTCCAAGGGCGAAGTCCGCATCAACCAAGCCAAGCGCAGCTACGACGTCACCGACGACGAACAAGGACTGATTTGGGTGAACCCGTAAGTCATATCCATACTCCCTAGGATACCGAACATTGCTAACATATCTCTAGCTTCTACATGCGCTACGCTCCCGACGAAGAAGGCAACTTTGCCGGCCAGACTGGCTATGGTTATATCAGCTTTGAAAAATTCATAGATGCCGTAACAGCCGTCAATGAAGGCAGAGTGACGCTAGACCAGCTCGATGCCCGGCCTCTGCCAACACTCAAGAACACCATCGCCACCACTGCTATTTTGAATGCAGGCCGGGTCTCGCTGGACGAGAAGCGGCCGGTGGAGATTGTGAATGAGAATGGAAAATGGGAGCTGAAGTAAATCATTTAAACGATCTGCCTGTACTTGCTGTATAAGTGAATGATGGAATTGTATTTATTTGAACCGCATAGAATCTGACATGTTCTATTCAATCTACTCCATGTAAAGATTAACAAAAAAGTGCAAAGCTGAGACTCGAATATTATGGCTTCAGAAAACAAAAACCTAATCTCATTCTCAAACAGTCCAAATTAAACTCCATCCACCCCTTCGCCATGCTACTCAATCAAAATAACCCATCAAGCCCGAATGTAGAATCAGAAATGAAACCAGATTGCAAAAGTCGTGGTATCATGGTAAGCTGGAAAAGAAACAAACAACCAAACCAAACAATCAGACAAAGTATTGTTTTACGCCCGCATTAAATCATCGGCGAGTACCGATCTTGACAATTCCATCCACCCCTTTATTGAATCTGACCCGGCAAGCAGGACAGTACCATTTGGCTGTTCGGCTGGGGACTTCGGATAGGCCGACACAATCCAGATGGAACCATTCTCTATCACACTGTGCATTGTTAGCTTCGTTCTCTGCACGTCATATGAGACTAAACTTACGTCCTGGTTTTCACAGCAGATCATGGTTCCAAAACTAATGTCCCCGCAGAGGCAATACCGAGGTTCATTGGGATCAATCTCCTCTAGAACACCATCTTCGTCAATGCGCACATCCTCCCTCGACGACGGATCTTGGTTCTGGCCATTTTCGCGGACTCCAATTCTCTTCTTTGTCGGTTTGGCTTTACGACGTCCATAGCTGACCGCTGCACCGCCGTTTTGTCCCGATGAGATTGGACCCGGAGCTGGTCGTTTACGGCGGCGAGTAGGAGCGCTGACGCTGGCAGCACGAGCAGACTCGGGAACAGGAGTCCTTCTCGCAGGAGTCGCACTCTTGCGCCGAAGATCCCTTCCAGCCACCTGGGCACTGACAGTCAGGGCTGGTTCCGCTGCTGCGGCAATAGAAAGTCGGCGGGATGGGGGTCGGGCGACAGGTGGTGTAGAGGTAGTTTCTCCATTAGTAGTCTCTGGCTCTGCAGCAGTGGGCGCTGCGGCGACGGGCTTGGATTCCGTCGGGGAGGGCAGGGGCGGTGACTTCCTCGCATTGGCGGATGGATCAGCAGCAGTCGCAGCAGCATCGGTGGCAGTAGCTGTAGCGGTTGTGTTTACTGAGGCATTAGATGCGCTTGCACTGGCTTCCATGGGGGTGGTACTAGGCGTCTCTTTGCTGTTTTTGCGGCGTTTTGCAGAGCTGCGCAAAGCAGTCCGGGATTCGTCATCCGGTTGGGTAGGAGGAACAGCATCAACGACAGGACTTTCTTCTTCGAGTTTTCTTTTCTTTGATGCGCGAGTGGGCTTCTCCGCTGTCTGAGCTTCGGAAGCTGGGACACTCTGGCCTGTAGGGCTGGGGAGCTGGCTCTTGCTAGAAGCAGAATCTCGCTTCCCAGCTTCGGCGGCAGCGGCGGCGGCGGCGGCAGCAGCTTGCTCTCTTGCCAGGTTCTCCCGTTTCAATTTCTTGGCCTCGTTTAGCTTCATACCACGATTGCTCAGCTTGGTCTCTGTCGTCCCTAGTTGGTCCTTGGTGGCTTCACTGCGCCGGGTCAACTTGCCAGGGATATAGGTGTTGGCGATGTCGTCGCAGTCAATAAATGGTGTTCCACCGGCCTCCGCCTCCGCTTTTGCAGCCCGGTAGGCCTCCCATCCTCGGCCACGAAGAGCGAGTTCGCGATGGATCATCACCTCACTAGGCTGCCATACTGCGTTCTTCTTCATCTTCTTCCGCAGCTTGGTCATCTCCCACTCTGTCAGGCGCAACCACGGCATGTCCTGAGTACCCGGTCTTGCATCCTCAGGGGGAGGCTGCAGCATAGCCAAGGCATTACTGGTTGATATGCCCGCGACAGCACTGTGCGCGTTTGTGCCCATGCCTGGAGGCCGCGATCGCCTGTTTTGTTTCTCTTTCTTAGCCTTATCAGACTTGGCAGTATCCGGGTCCACTGGCGACACCTCTGTTTTCGAATCGGCCTCCACATCGGAATGTTCCGTACTGGCAATCGGGGAGTCTGGGTTGAAATCTGCGAGATGCTCTGCGGCTATCACGGAGCGACGGCTTCTCGATTTTTGCGCAGACGAGGCCGCTCCCGCATTTTCCTGGCTATCTAAACGGAGAGTGATGCGCGTTGTAGGCTGGGCGCCATCTTCGCCTTTCTTTGTTGCTCGCGCACGTTTGTTGTTAGGGAGATTGGAGGGAGGAGTAGGATCGCGCGAAGCGGGTTTCGGAAGAGCTTCTAGTTTCTGTTTTATACAGCCCAGACGATTGAAGTGGCGGTCGACAACATCGTAGAGGCGACAAGCTTCGGCATACGCGGACTCGCGGGCGTTGATAGCGCGGTCGAGCTGGGAGGAGATGTCTTTGCGGAGGGTCTGGGAGTTCGGTCGCGTGTCGGCGGCGAGGTCGGGTAGCTGGCCATAGGTTTTGGTGAGATCATGAACACCCTGTGCAGCTTCTGTATAGCGCTCGTCTAGGCCACGGATGAGAGTCAGGGAGCGGATGAGGTCTGCGGGAAGGAATTCGGTGTAGTCAATGTAGTCGGTGACGGTAGCCTGCGCGTCAGGGTCGAAAGGACCGTCAAGGATGACGCCACCACTCTCGTCGTTGAGTTCTGCCATCATCATAGTCCTCGCGAAGGTGTGTAGGTGGTGAGGTGTATCTGTGAGGGGCGCGACTGTCGGTAGAGGAGCTAGATGGGTGAGACCATTCGCGCATCCATGAGATGGAATGATCAGCGCCAAACCATGGAGTGAAATTGAGCCAATCGGAAGGTCTGTGTTAATTTATCGGGATATTATGAGATGTAGAAAAAGGGGTATGATGGAGGAGATGAAATGGGGATGGGAATGGCAATGCTGTCGATGGAGATGGTTGGAGATGTTGTTGATGCTATCCAAGGCGGACTAACGTTGATCCGAGTGTATGTAGAACGTCTTCAGTTCAAAGTATTCATGATGATTAAATAAATTATTGATGATCTTTAATTTACTAGTTCAAAGTTGATTGAATTGTTAGTATTTTTGTGGATTAATTGTGGTGGAAAATGCACAATTGCCCCTGAATCGCCACTATATATAACACTGGACGATATACATTCATACCACTTTCTAGCTTTAATATCTTTCAATTTACCAGCAACAAATTAAACACTCTATTTCCATATATTTTAAAACATAATTAAACAGTACTGACATTATGTCCAGAAGGAAAGGAAGAGTGTCAAACAAACAGCAAGCGAAGCCGGACAGCAAACGGAATTCATGGCAAACGAGTGAATGGATTTATTTCCTCTGACCGAGAGAATCAAGAATAAGAATCCCAAGAATGAAATCATTCACTTGTCGAGTTGAAATAAACTGTTCATCAGAATTTCATCTTCTATCATCCCTCGTTTCTCAACTCATCTCAACACATCGCATCTGAACTCAACACCTCTCATCTTTACAATCCACATCTTCAAAATGGACAGAGAAGAGCGTCTGAAGATGCTCTTTGAGCAGGATGTCGCCTTGCTGAAGATTAATACCCGCTTGAAGACTGTTCCTCTGGTCCCTGAAACCGAAACCGAGACTCAACCTGAAGCTGAAGACGAGACACAGCCAGAAAAGCAAGCTGTTGTCCAAACAATTGAGAAACAGGACAAAACTTCTCCCTTGAAAGACACTTCTGATGAGAAACAAAAACCTGCCAAAGAGGTTCAGGAAGGCCATCTTGAAGTCGAGCAGGAGCAAAAAACCCCCGATACGGCGCAGGATGAAGCCAAAGCCAGCGAAGACAAAGAGGAACCGACTGAGGCCTCTCTTGTTGGGTCTTTCTGTCCTCTCATCGCCGTGTCTCGGTTTCCCTACAAATACATTCGGGGCGAATTGTCGCAGCAGGTTGCGAATGCTTTCTTCGACGGAGGCAAGTTCTGGGACCGATGCTGGGATGTGTAAGTTGTTGTTGATTATTTGCAAATGCTTGTCACTGATAGATCAGGCACTACATACACATTCCTCCTCATCTAGGTGTTCGTCCCCTTCTCCTCGTGCCGGCTGTCCAGGTTCGACGCTTTCTCGCAGAAATCAACCAAACACTTGGATGCGAATTGTCACTCCCCACAGACAGTAAACTGGGTTTCGTGGTACCTTTCCATGACGATGGAACTCCACAACCCACCTTCATCGGCCAGTGTACCAGCCGAGACATGAAGGATGAGCTGGAGACGAGAATCCCCCCACTGTATCCAACGATACCAGAAACAGAGGCTACTTGGAACAAGAAAAAGTCATCCAAGAGCCAGAAGAAACAGCAGGTTCGAATCCAGACCGAACTCGAGTGGACCCGTTGTCTCAGACGGACGCAAAGCTATCTCGGCCTGCGTGCACCACTTGAGCTGATTGACGACCAGTCATGGGAAGACAAACCAGGCCAGGAAGGAGATGAGTCTGAACGCCCATCACTAGACGTTAACAAACCCGTGCCATACCCGCTCTGGAACGAGCCGGTGTTTATCAGTGTCGATGTAGAATCGAATGAGCGCTGCCATTCCCAGGTGACTGAAGTCGGGATCTCTACACTGGACACACTGGATCTAGTTGGTATTCCTCCCGGAGAAAGTGGGATCAATTGGATATCTCGGATTCGATCTCGACACTTCCGGGTGCGCGAGTACAGCCACATTGTCAACCGAGAATTCATCGCAGGATGTCCAGAGCACTTTGAGTTCGGAGAGAGCGAATGGGTTTCAATCGGGGCACTGGTGAAGCTGACAGAGGGATGTTTTCAACCTCCTTATTCATGCGGCTTGCCAATGAGCGAGACCGAAGGCTCCCAGGATGGAATTCTCCTCGACGACCCGGAATTTAAGCATCGACCACGCAACCTGGTGCTGGTGGGACACAACCCAACGGCAGACATCGGTTATCTTCGTGGATTGGGTATGACGCTGTTTGACAGGATGGGGGAAAGATTCATTGATACTGTTGACACGGCGGAGATGTTTCGGATCATCAAGCACGAGGCGACGCAACGGTCACTGGGGCACATTCTAGCAGGACTGGGAATAACGGGATGGCATTTACATAATGCGGGGAATGATGCGCGATACACCATGGAGGCGATGGTCGGAATGATGCTTGTTGATTAATTATTATCGTGGATTCTAGCTACTAGATGAATGAAGAGGACCTGACGTCAGCCCTATAACCCCTCAGCCCCTCCATAAAAAAAAGTCAACACCACAAACCACTCCATCACCAACAACCAGGATTGAACCCCCCCCCAACAGCCCAAAATCCAAACCAGCAGCAGCAGCAAAAATGTCAACCCCATTAACCACCTATCTCCGCAACCTCTCCCCAACAACCCTCACCACAGCAACCACCCACCCCTTCCTCACCTCCGCCGGCCACGGCACCCTCCCCAAACCGATTCTCTCGCAATGGCTCGCCCAAGACCGGCTCTACGCCCAGTCCTACATCCGCTTCATCGGGCTGCTGCTCTCGAAAATCCGCATCCCAACACATAACCCCAACAGCGCGAAGCCACGCACACCCACGGCCGAGCAAAACGCCGCAAGCACCCTCATCGACGCGCTGGTGAACATCCGCACCGAGCTGGGTCTGTTTGAGTCCGTCGCGGACGAGTACGGGCTGGATTTGTGTGCGCTCCCCGAGGCGTTTGGGTCTGCGAGTGCGGGGCGTGAACAGGGTGAGACGGTCTTTGGGCCGAACCGCATCACGCAGGGGTATGTGGATATGTTCATGTCGGCGGGGTCGGCGGCGACGACGCTGCTGGAGGGGTTGGTGGTGTTGTGGGCGACGGAGGTGTGCTATTTGCGGGCGTGGCGGTATGCGGCTTCGTTGATGAGTGAGCAGGAGGGGGGGAATGATGCGGATGGAGGGGCGTTGAGGGATCGGTTTATTCCCAACTGGAGTAGTGAGGAGTTTGCGGGGTTTGTGAAGAAGATTGGGGATTGTGTGGATGAGTTGGCTGGGCAGGTCAAGGGGGCTGAGGAGACGGAGAGGCTGCGAGGACGATGTGCGCAGTGGTGGAGGCAGGTGTTATGGTTGGAGGAGAGGTTTTGGCCGGAGATTGAGGCTTGAGAATGATATATAAAAGAATCAAATATCATACATTATCTATCATAACATACATACAATCATTCCCTCCCAATAAAGCAATTGAAGCAGAAAGAATTAAAAAAAAAAAAAAAAAAAAAGAAGAAGAAAAAGCAACCCAACTCCAGCCGGCAGTTCTCTGCCAACACCGAGATTCTATGCAGCAATAGATACACTCGAGATTGATGGTGGTGCTGCCAGAGCACGGTCATTGCACTTTTATAGCAAAGGTGGAAAAGCGTCATGTAGCAAGAAGAGAAGAAATGAAGCAAAAGAGAAAATCAAAAAGTACAGAAATGTCAAGACGTTGCAGCGCTGGCTCGGGCTGCATTGCTCAACTGTCGATGGTATGATCCAATGGGTTGGAAACCCCTGCTTTTGTTAGCTACTGTCCATCCATATAGAAAATCAGGAATACACACCTTGCCAGATCGAACCCTCCCGTATCATCTTCCTCATCGTCCTCATCGTCATTCCCCAAATGTCGTCCCGTCGCTGGTGGTTCAATCTTGGTCACTCCGTTCAGACTCGGTCGAACACTCTCTATCTCGCTAACTTCCTTGAGCGGCGGCAGTGTTCGTCCGTGGCCTAGCCCATTCGACGTTCCCGGTTTACTGGGGCTTGCCATGTTCGGCGGTGGAGGACTGCTACTCGGGAAGCTGCCAATCGCATCTCCAGGCTCGCCCTTGAGCGGACTCATGTCCGGGACCGGTCGGGCAGGCGTGCTGCCAATATCCGCGAATTTCCAGAACTGCGCCGGCGAGCTCATCGGCATGAACTTGGACGGGATCTGTGCTGTACTGGGCGGGGGAAGACGGGGTTGTTGCCTCTGCGGTGCGGGTGTGATCATCGACGATGGCCCTTCGTCATAGTACGACGACGACAGTACAGGAGGTGACCCGGCCACATTATCTGAAAGTCCGTAGGTGCGACTGAGATTGTTGTTGCTGGTGCTGCTATTCCCATTGTGCGCTGAACCGTTGCGTGCTCGCGTTGGCAGCGGTGAAGGCTCCTCGTAGTCCCGGGTGTGATTATTGCGAAGCGGATGTTCATGTCCTCCCCGACCGGCTCGCGGCCCTCTCTCAGGTGTATACGCCTCTACAGGTGCCACGGGGAACGAACTGAACCCTGGCGATGACACCTGTGGAGACTTTTTCCCGGCCGCGGAGAAGACGGCTTCTAACCCATTGGCCACGTTCCGCGATATGGGCTCCTTTGTGGCCGGCGATGACGGCGCAGACGACTGCGTACCCTTGCGGAGCTGCTTCTTCCAATACTCCTCGCGGTATTCCGGGGCGATCTGCCACTTCATACCCTTGCCGGGTTCGTCCGTTCGACGAGGTACTTTCTGAAACGCCTTGTTCAACGACAAGTTGTGCCGGATCGAATTCTGCCAGCCGCTCTGGGAGTGACGATAAAAGGCGTACTTGTCCATGATCCAATTGTAGATGTTGTTCAGCGTTAATTTCTCCTCTTCGCTGGAGAAGATGGCCTGCGCGATCAACGTAGCGTAACTGTATGGCGGCTTCAGGTCCTTGGACGAGTCGTTGCTGTAGTCGATCTCCTCGGTACTCTCCATCATCATCCCCCGGTTGTACAACGGCGACTGCTTGGCCGTTCGAGCCCCAGCGGTATCCGGGGACCGTGGCGGAGGGGTGACATTGCGCTTCAGGAAATGCGGGGCGGGGGCCAGCGAGGGCTGACCGCTCGAAGCGGGGGCGGCGGAGAACGAATAGGCGGGATCCGTGGTTATCGACTGCGACTGGGACGCGGGGTGGGCATGCTGTGACGCATCCCACGTGGTGGGTTCCTCCTCACCATTGGCCATGCGCTGGGCGCGCTCGATGAAGCTGGGGTGGATGTTGGCCTTGTCGCCTGGGGTGACGAACATCATCTGGGTGTTTGCGACTTCGACGATATCGCCGCAGGAGATGATGGCATCGGTGCCACGCTTGAGGATGACATTGTTGAGACGCACGCCGTTGCGCCCGTTGACGCGGATATGCCACGAAGCCGTCTCCTCTCCATCATAAAAGATCTCTGCATGCAGGCGCGAGACAAACTTGCTAGGACCCAAATCGACATGGACCTCGGGCAGGGCCCGCGCAGCGATGGTGACGGGGCTCGACTGTTCATCCAGCTTCTGTTCGCGGTCGGGCTCGCGGCCAATGTTGACATGGAGGGTCTTGACGTAGTAGGTCCAGTTGCGGCCGGCAATCTTCGCATAGGCGCGGATACTCTGTTTGTTCTCGGTTTTCGTATTCGAATGGTCGCGCAGGACGCGTACCTCCTCGCGGGGAGGATTCAAGTAAGAAATGACCATGTCGACCAGGTCCTGATTCGCCGACATCTCATTGTCCGGCGACGAGCCATCGGCTTCGTCTGCGGATTCGTTCTTGACTGGTCGCGAGCGAGGAGAGGTACGATGCTCGACCTACAGCAACAACAATACAAAGCCCGGATTAACCACTACCACCACCAGGAGCAGAAAGAAAACAGCAGACGGCGAAACTCACCTTGCGTTTCTTGGCTGTCGAAGGGCGACTGGGCGACGAATCCGGAGCCTCCGCGTCCGAGGTTTCCTGCAGCTGGATTTCCTTACGCCGCGCGCGACGTCGGTTGGATAAAGGCATGATGGTGGCGGAGGTCGACGAAGAAGTAAAACGATCACAAAGTCCGGATGTCTAATGCGTGTAGTTGATCAAAGAAGGTTGGAAGTCGGGGGTTGTTGTTGTTGGGCAAAGAATCTCGTAGATTTCGTGACGTCGATCGACAGAATTCTTATCAAACTTCCTTCTCCGCAGATGAGGCACGATAAAAAAAGACCACAAGCAAAAGAGCAGGAATGAAGGGATGAAGGTGGAGGGAGAAAACGAAGAAAGAGGAAAACAAGTCAACAGACGAAGAGAGAAAAAAAACCCTTAACCAGGAATATATCCCCCGCCTCCAAGTCGGATGAACCCCAGAATGAAGTCGAGCAGAATCCAAGGAACGAGAGTGTTTTTTTTTTTTCCCTTCTTCTTCTTTTGCCACCACGCAAAGGGCAGACGCGGAGGTTGGTGTCAGCCACAGTATTTTTTCTCTTCCGTTAGTGTCTTCTATTTATTATTATATTCAAATAGCCAGACTGGGTCAAACAAAGAAATCAAGAAGGCCGGAGACAAAGGGTTTGTGAAGAGGTGGAGTGGAACGTGACGATTTCTTGATAAGTCGGCGTTCAGTGGGCAACGCGTGGTGGTTGGGGGCGTGACCGCCTCGCGTCGCAGAGAGAAGAGAGTATAGAGAGAGAAGAGGAAGAGGGAGAGAAGGATTAAAGGAGAGACAAAGGATAGAGGATAGAAGGTAGGAAAAGAGAAGAGATAAAAGAAAAGAAAAAGAATAATAATCACCTTGAATGCTACGCCGTAAACAGAGTCACAGACACTGTGGAGCAGTCGAACCGTTCGATCTCAGGCCGTTTCCGATCACGTCACTGACAGATTAAAAAAATAGAATAGGTGTAAGATGGAATTATTCTTCTATTGATGTATTGATATACTGATATATTCTATATTCAAGAGCAATAATGGATTGTAAGAAGCTCGTGTTGATGTAGACAGAAGATAGTAGAGATGTAGATGTACAGTGACGCATCATACATCATACATCATCAGATCATCCAAACCAACCACAACATCAACATAGTTAATACACAGCCAACAAATTCCTCATCGCCGGATCAGGCAAAGACAAAGCATCGGAATCCTCTCAATGCCACTGTTTAAATCACCTCCAACTGTTGACTCGACTTCGACCCTGGGTCCATCTCCACCATAATATCCACTAGAACCAGATGTAATCTTCGCTATGATTCCATCACAGAAAAGAAACAAACTTTGTCTGTTTGCGTCATTCCCCGCATTCAGCTGGACCTGCTCGTTTACCAAAGCATCGCCGATGGACTAATTGTTAGTTGCTCAGTAGCGGGGGTGGTTGTGCCCGTTGGAATGTGCCATTCGGAGGGATCGACAGTCGAACTCACCGTCGCATCGCCGAATCTGGAAGACTCATTACAGATGAAAAGAGAATAGTAATAATATGAATTCAACCAGTGAGAAAAGATGGCATTCAGTCAAAAGGATTTCCTATCATACAAACACAGGGAAATGAAAACGGCTTCGGCCGTATACTTGAATGTAGTAAATGAAAACACACAGAAGAAATGAAACAAAGAAAAAAAATAAAAATAAAAAAAATCCAACAGTGACATTGTCCAGTGGAGAATGAATCGAAACAATCAAACAAAACACCTCACGTAGGATTCCCAGCCTTCGTTGCAGTGCTAGGATGTATGGCTTACGGTCATACAAGGGACTCGCCACAAAAGCCAAGAGCCTCGTCGGACAAAAGGGGGAATAAGATCAAGGAAGAAAGAAGATTCGTCAGACGTTAAGAGAGAGGGATATATGAGACAAAAATGGAGAGAAGAAAAAAGAAAAAAAAAAAAAAAAAAAAGAAAGATCAAACATCGGTCGGCATCTTCGAATCTCCATCATCATCTTCATCCAGCCCACGCAGAGTCGGGTACATGACTGCCTCGCCCTCTGGCTTGGCTTCCTCAGCGGGCGGCTGGGGGGTGGTCTCATGGTCCTGGGAGTGGTGTTCCTCCACACCCTCCATTTGACCATCATGTCCAGTCTCGGGAGAACCCATCTCACTGGGAGCGGGCATCTGGCCAAGACGAAGATCAAATTCACCACGCTCCAAACGGTGGGCAATGTAGTTACGCAGATACTCGATGAGACGAACCTTTTCCACCCACTGCACATCTTCCCGCTCCGCCACCTCGGTCGCGGCCTTGGCAGTCTGCAGAGCGGTCTCGGCATCGGTTGGGCTGCTCGATGTGCTCGACTCCAAAGCGGGGTCGATCAAACTGGCAGAGATCCGCGGCGAGGCAGTGCGTTCCTTGGCTGGAGGAGTCTGGTCACGGTCCTCCTTGCCGTCTTGAGAAATATCCATCTGCACCGACAGACGTCGCTCTTCAGGACGAGCGCGCTGCAAGGTGCCTCCGGTGTATCTGCGGCGGTCGTCGTGGTCAAAGATGCCGCCCAGAGTGGATGGAGGTGCGGCGCTCGATGCAGTCGGGTATCCTGCCGTCATGCTATCCGCAATGGTGGCAGATGGAAGTCGAGGGTACATGTTCGACCCGCCATCATGCAGAGGAGAGACACGGTGGGTAGCAGGCAGAGAGACTGGGGAGCGACCGGAGGTGTACGACTGCGCACTCGACGGGGGAGTCAGGGCTGGTGTACCAGCAGTAGGCGAGTGTGCAGACGAGGCCATCATGGAACCTGCAGAAGTTGTGGCCGCCGCATGGCTAGGAGGAATCTGGCTGGGAGGCGAGTTGGTGGCACGGTAGCTCATGCCGTTGTGGATGTAGTGGGCTCCAGGCTGGGCCACACCCGCTGCGGCAACATGGTCATCGTTCTCATAGATGGTGCTTTGCATCTGCTCGAGGAACTGATCGATGTTGATCAAGTCATTCTTGGTCCGGACATTGCTCATCGGCGGGAGGTGATAGGCAGGGGCGGGGTGAGGTCCAGTAGGACTGTAACCACCACCTCCGACCGCTACAGGAGCCGGCATCGGCTGGTATTCCGGCACCGGGCCGCTGCTGAGAATGGGGAGCTGGAGAGACTGCAGGCCCAAGAGACGCTGGCCGACCGCGGCGTAGGAGTTGGGGTCAAACTGGCGTCGCTTCAGGTCGCCGAAGAATTCGTTCAGTGCATCGTATCCGCGCTTCTTGGACTCATAAGAAGCATGGCCAGCTTCCTGACCCTGGCTCAAAGCGTAGTAAACGTTGCCGTAGGATGGGTTAGCCGCCTGGGGCGGTGGGTGCGACTGGTAGTACTGAGGAGGGGCATGGGCGTAGCCCTGAGTGGGAACAGCGTTCAACGAGGGCTCAAAGTAATGAGCGGCAGCAGCAGCGGCGTATCCTATATTCAGTCAGACCTTACTGTCCAGTCATACTGGCTTTTCCTGAGAGGAATAGTAACTCACCCTTGGCATTTCCACCAAACATCATATCTGGATTTCTAGCACCAGGCTCGGGCGATCGGACCAGAACCGAGTCATCCGCATGAGTCTTGACATGCTTCTTCAAATCCTGAGGACGCTTGAAAGCCTTGCCGCAAAAGTCACACTTGTGAGGCTTGAGCGGGACATGAACTCGGATGTGAGAGGTGATGTGATCGCGCTTGACGGTAGTAGTACGACAGCTACCCCATTGGCAGGTCAGGTTGAGGTTATTTGTGCTCTTACGACCAACATGACGCTCGCAAACGTGTTCCTACCAGACTGTTAGATTTGATACAAAATTAAAGAAAAGCGAGAGACTCACGTAAAGAGCTTCAGGAGTAGGACATTTCTCAGAGCAGTTTTGCCACAAGCACGACAACTCCTCACCCGGTCGCGAGGCACCGTTCATTGGCGAGGCACTCACGGCCGCGGTGGCCGCTTGCGCGGTGGCAGTGACCGAGGCGGGAGAAGCGGCAGCGGAGACCTGGGCAGGGAGAGTCGAGGACTGCTGATGCTGGTGATGGTCCTGGGTTGGCATCGTGGCAGCAGCCGCGGAGGGAGAAGTGGTGTCTTGGTGTTCCGACATTGCCAAGAAAAATCTCTTGTCCCTGTCTTGGGAGCGGCGGAAGAGAAGAGAGGGAGAGCACAAGAAGTCACTCTGGAGAGATCAAGAGGGAATCTTTCCAGAGGAGGGGGATTGATAGAAAAGATAAAGGGTAGAGACAAGAAAGCCAAAGGGAGACGGGCAGAGACAAACAAAAATGGCTTTGGACAGGTCAAAAGGGGTCTGAACACGCGGTCAGACTGGCAGACAGCAGTACTGGGGCAGTACTGGTAGGACTCAGTAGTGGGCAAGAGTCAAAAGAAAAAGGACAAGGAAAGACAACAGAGGAAAGGAGGAAAAGAGGACAGAGGAAGTCTTGGAAGAAGAGGGGAATTCTTGTCTTTTGGGGGAGCGAAAAGGAGCCCAAACGGCAATGCCCAGAAAAAGCCGCTTACACAAGCCGGGCGGAGAGACTTCCAAGACTCCAAGACCGACAGGGACAAGACGACAAGAACGGGCCAAGAACGGGCTGTGTCGGTAGAATTACGGAGATTCTGATTACATTTTACACATGGACAAATAATTATTTACATAGATAGATAGATAGGTAAGATAGGTAAAGATAGAAGAATATATTTATCATGATTTACGATTTATTATTCTCTTCTGATCGTAGCTACACAGACAAGATACTGCAGTGTCTATTACCAGGTGGGATTTCTCGGTAGGTTGTGTATCACCGTATAATACGGTAAGACCGCCAATATTACCCCTAACCATGCCGAATAGCATCAATTCCCTCAAACTCCCCCCTCGTACCCAATACCCAATCTAAATTGCAAGACAATTGCCTCATGCTCAATTTTCGTTCTCAAATCCTGGTCATTTCCTCTTCTTCTTCGCTTTTCTTCTCCTCCTCTTCTTTCTCCTAGTGGCCAAGTCCAACCACGGGACATCTCTTGGCGAACTTCCCCCGCTCCCTTCCTCCGGTCTTGGTTCGCCTCCTTACTAAGAATGACTTATTTGGTTGCCTATACGCGCCAGAATACGGGGTACGACTGGAGTTAAACGATCCAGATGACATTCCATCCGTCGGCCCAAGCGCTATCCTTGCAGTCATCTTCCATCTTCCCATCCCACTCACAGACACACACATCCCATCTCATCCATCATTTCGCCGTATCCTTCTCTTCCTAGGAGGCTGATACCAACTCCAAATATTCAACCCAACCTTCGTCCCTGCCGTCACCGCATTCGCCCCGTGCCACGTCTCCTCATACCCCCTCCCATCCGGCCTCAAATTCTCCCAAAATATCGCATTTCCCTGGATAGCCCTGAACGTCGTCCCCTCTTGCTCGCTCCCACACTCGATAAACCGACACCACTTCTCGCTCACCGGCCTCTTCATCCGCGGGAAATTTGTCCCGCCCCCCTCACACTCCGCTGATAGGTACACCATGAACGTGCTCACCCGGTCGCCGCCGCGCGCAAGCGACCCCGCCCAGTCGTAGTGGTTCTTGTAGTGGCCCGAGGCGTTGTAGCGCTGAGCCCACATCCGCTCGATGTATAGGTGTGGTTGCCAACCTTGGAACGCGCGCGCGCGTTCCTCGAGACACCGCACGACGTTGTCCCGATCGAGGAGGGCTCGGTCGGAGAGACGGGTGGTGGGATCGACTCGTTCGGTTATGCCGTCGTAGATTATTGAGGGAGTGTATTTCCCGACACTTTTTCTTAGCTTAGCTTTTTTTCATCCTGTATACGGTATACCAGTAAATGTAGAGGACACACCTGACATCAACCAAATGACTCGCCTCGTCATCCCGTACAAAATTCTCAATATAAATCACCAATGGCTGTCTCTGTAGTATATGCGTCTTATACCCATCCACCTCACAGGAGAAAGGCACATCATCCTCGGGACTGATGAAGCTGTCGTCGGCGAGATTGAGTCCATCTGTGTCATACACGTACTCATACTCGCCATCCTCGCCCTCGTCAAACACCCCCAAGTCAGTATCTAGCGATGGGAAGAATGTCCGGGCGAGAGGCGCAAAGACGAAGAGGTACAGCGGGATGAAGTAGAAGGTCCATGTGAGGAGGGTGGTTAGATTAGGGAGTGCCATTGTGGCGGGTCCCGTGGGTGTATATCCAAAATATTTATGAATATATAAGATCAAGCCATTTCATTCGAGGATATAGCACTAAATGGGCTGTAGTGGGTGGTGATGATGGTGGTAATGGGCCATTGTTGCGGGATGCGGTCGGATGGAGGAAGTCAATCATGCGATTCTGTCTGGGAGAATCCGAGTGGGTCTGCGGATCGACTTGGGGATGCGGGATAACAGAGGCCCATAAACATCCACAACAGTGGCATTATGTAGTTAGGTACTAGAAAATAGTTGAATGATATTCACACTACTCATGCTAAGGTATAAAACATATACACATAACCATGTAACCATCAACGCCCGCAATGACACATGTAGGCTCATATCCTCGTAGAAACAACATAAATAGTAACCAGATCGAATCCTTGTATCTTAACTTTTAATTTCCAACATTCATCCACTGGGTCCAGTCATCATTCGGGAGATTTCCAGCCCGGAAGTCGCTGTTCCCAAATAGATCGTCTAGGGGAATCCCCAAGTCAATCCCCACCCCCAGTGATCCATCATCCATTCCCATCCCGAAGTTCTGGGATCCATCGATTGCAGGTACCTGCTGCTGCGAAACAGTCTGGTCAACAGACATGTTCTGGTTCTGGTTCTGGGCTGGGAAGTTGTATCCTTGAAAGAGGAAGTTCTGGTTGGGAATGGACACCAAATCAGGGCTGTTAACCGCCTCGCTGCCTGGGGTCGTGCTGTGCGACACGGGGGATTGAAGTCGTGAAGACCGTCCCATTTGTGGAGTCCCATGTTGTTGAAGACGATTAGTGACAGCAGCGGTCATTCCAGCGGGTGTCCCATTCGAGAAAAGAGGAAGGTTCGCGAAGCTTTCAAACGTAGGTGTCGCCATGCCAGTTTGGTTTGCTGACATTGCTGCCCGTTGGGAACCCGAGTCGAATGGGAATTGTGATGGGAGTCCATCATGACGGAAGTGGTCATCTTCCAGCGTAGACATGGGCTGCGTGGGATAGGCGAATGGGTCATCCGACGGAAACATTATAGGCATAAGATCAGGGAGGTTTCCGGGGTTTGTGAATTGCTGCGAGAACGGAAGTGTCGACTGGTCCCGAGCCAGTGAAGAGGGAATGGGGGATGCAGTGGCGGAGGAAAGATTAATTCGATCTGCCGTCATTCCGTCGGATGGTGACGATGCCGATGTCTCCGTAACAAGCTCTGGGGTGGGATTCCTCCAGGCTGGAGTATTGTTATTGTTGTGATTTTCGTTAATATGATTATGATTATGTTGATTACGATGGGCAGTATGATTGTCATCCAAACTCTTGGGAGTGTTGCTAGCTTCAGCATTAGTCTGCCTCGATAACAGCTGAATAGGAAATGTGTTTGATCGTTGAGGCGGTGTTCGTTGGGGGGCTGTGGGCTTGACATTGACTGGTCTGTTGGAGGGGGCTGGACGCTTGAGATTGACGGGGGCGACTGAGCTCTGGCGGTTCTTGAGCAATTCAGGCAGATTCTTAAAAAGACACTGTGATTGTCAGCAATGAGGCATTTATCAGTGATATTTACCAAGACATAGACGTACGTTGAGGCTTTGAGAGCACCGGTCCGCTGCCATGCTCTTCTTAGCCAACCCAGCCAAGGTGTTTTTGCCTTCCATGGCATCCTTGAGCACGCCATCCTTGGCCGTCGGCGAGTCGGGGTTTTCGAGAACGAAGAAGATCAGAGACAAGATGGCAAAGTAAGTGGTGTACATGGTGAACCAGAAGGAGCCATTGAGGAGCCCCCTTTTGTGCATTCCGGTTGTGATGTGGACGATGTTGCGAGAGACACTGACACACGCCGCAGCGCAGGCGTAAGAGCGTTTGTCAACTCCTCGGGCCTGCGAGCCACTGGAAACATAGTGTAAGAACGGCCGATACATGACCATCTGGACGTGGGCGTAGCTTATTCGGAGTAGTTGTCGAATTCTGACTAGATTAGACCTTATCGCCGGATATCAATTGACAAAACTCACCGTTCAAGTTGGGGAGACACTTCGGTGCCGGGCCGAAGAGCTGCAGGCAATTCCTCCATCCAGGCCTGGAGATCTCGCTCAATCTCGCGGATTTTCGAGTGGCTCACCATGTACCGCTGATTGGATTTGGACCGATATTGGGCGTGCTTGACGGGATATATGTATTTGACAACCTTGAGAATAATGTTGCCAAGGCGCGTGTGCGCATTGGGCCCGGCCATCAGCGGGGTTCGATCTGTGGGCATGGGCGTGATGCCGTCGGCGTTGATAAACTCCCCATCGATCGCCAACGGATATTCCTGGTCAATGTCGTCATCGCTCAACATTATTGGCAATCCCAGCATCGTGCAGACGTACACGTCCATTTTCCGGACGACCCAAAAGATACGCTTCCGCAATTCCCGCTCGACGGGGTTGAAGTCGGCGGCGACGGAGCGATGCAATCCCAGTCGCAAGGCGGAGCGAAGAGCAATTCCGACGTATGAGTAGCATGTACTCAGTTTGGCGGATGATTGGAGGAAAAGTACCATGAAGCAGATTGCTTGGAGTGAGGTCAGGTCGCGACAGTCGGTGATATCTAGTAAATGCCGCCCGGCCTTGAAAAATTGGAACCTTTTCAAATTAGTATACCTACGTCATTGGGAAGGAGTATATAAACATACCCTTGACCAATTGCACTTTCATACCCAGATACATCCAAGGTACCAGCTCCGTCGTCCGAGAAGAGACAACCGACAGACATAACAATATAGAGAAGCGGCAGGAAGGAGTTTTCTTCGTTGGTAAACTGGTCGGGCGAGGTGTCGTAAATGCGCTCCAGCATGGCATAGAAGGAGGGCTCGTGAACGAATCGCATCAAAGAACAAGCATCATCCAAGGCGTTGTGACACAGGCGCCGTGCGACCGCACGGGGTGGTAGATCATGGGTGGGAGGGAGAAGGCCATCCTGCGGGGAGTCCGTCACGGATTTGGGACTCTCCAGCATTTGCGACATGGGGCGCGACGACCTGAGCCCGACGGCTGGCAGGTCGGGGGCGCCAAGCTGCTTGCGCAACCGTTGAATGAAGGTGATACCGGAAGTATGTCCGTGATAATCCCAATGACCCTGGTCGTCCATATCCAACAAGCCGGAGTTATCGACCATGGTTTCGAGCAATGACTCGTCTGCTCCTTCAGGTCCATCTGCGGCAGCAGCACTGATTGACGGTCTACGAATACTGGCAGCATTCTGTTGTTGTTGTTGTTGTTGTTGTTGTTGCTGCTGCTGCTGCTGTTGCTGTAGCTTTTCCTTGTCCTTTTTGGCGGTGGCCAGCATCTGCTCCGTCGCATGGACGTCGAATTGGGGATCATCGAGATTAATGTCGGGTAGGACAACTCGCAGGAGGGCTTCAGCCTTGTGCAAACGGGTCTCGAGGGCCTCGACATACTGGGGGGCGGGATTCCGACGGCGATTGGAGGGTTGGTCGTACGTACATTCTGGACGGAGACGTGAGATGATGCAACAAGCCGACGCTGATCAATCAAAAACACCTACCATAGCTATACACGGTACAATGGGTACACGGCTGCTTCCCGTCGCATTTGATCTTTTTACGGCGACATTCATCACAGGCCCGAGTGACGCGACGTCGTTTCTGCAGGGGATGAGGCTCCTTAACCGGTTTCAAATCGGCATCGGCCATTGGAGTGTCATGGAGGTGAGAAGAGGGGTCTGAGTCATCGTGGACGTAATACTGCGAATCCGAGGCCAGCAGAGGATCATCCTCGGGATTATGAGGAGGACTCGAGACAGAAGCCATGATGCTATCCACAGGAATATCAAACACAACGGCAAGAAACTCGTGGTTGGCGGCGCGGGGAATTCATGTAAGGGGAAGACGACAGATGCAACGTAAGGGAGAGAAGCCCGCGTGGCGATCGGAGCGATTAGACCTCCACGAGGGAAGATCACAGGAGCATGAGGGGATGGAGGTGAAGATGAGGATGAAAAGGAGAAGATGGTGGTTGATTGACAGAAATTGTCTGGGTGAGGCTTTTTTTTGCTGACTTTTTTTTTTCTTCGCGGAAACAAGTGCGAGGGTCGGATAAGCCGCCGTCAAAGGAGAGGAAGAAGTGAAGGTGAAGATGACGAGATGGGATCGACTGGAGAGAAACAGGAAGAGATCGGCTGGAGATCCACTTTTTGATGTTTCTTTTTTTTTTTTTTTTTTTGCTGATATTTTCTTTTTTGACTTTTGACAGATGGAAGTGAGATGCGAAGCGTAAGAGAGAGAGAGAGAGAGAGAAGAGAGGGGAGAGTAAGATGAGATGAGCAGAGGCCAGCGACTACATTGGACGCCCAGAAGGATCGTCAGGCTAGAAACAGTCTAGAAGAAAAAGAACACGAGAAGAAAGATAGAATGACGATATCTTGCGATGATGAAGGCGAAGAGGAAGAGGAAGAAACGATCAGCGTTGAATCGGCATTTTGAGTCAGGGACGAATCTTGATTTTTCCATCGGTTACAGTCAGCCGAGGCATCTATCTATCAGTAATATTTTAGATTTTATATGCTATCTATTCTATTATTTATTCTATTCTTATTCAATAGATATGGTATTGATATTTATCTTGATATTGAATTAGTTATAGGATGGATAGGATGATAGTGTGATGCTATACAGACTACTGTACGACCATGACTGCATTGAATAAGAATAGATTAGAATAAATAGACTATAATAGCCAGAAATACGATCTCATCTATATAAATATTCTATATGAACATAATATATATAACAATATAATTATAAAGAATATAAAAAAAGATATCCTGATTGATAATTCTGCTTGTGTGGATCGCAATAGCTTCATTTTTCTCTTCTCCAATTCTCTCCACCAACCATCAATTCATCACGTCGCTCTTCAATCACAATCTATATTTATCATCGTCTTCCTCATCATCAAATTATATTCTCGTGTCTTTCTCCTCTTCATCTCCTCCATCTCCATTGATCTGCGTGGCTTTGCTATCCTCTCATCGCCACCATAACTGAACCCCTTGGGGGCCATCAACACCATCAATCCTAACCCTATCTCAGCCATCTCACATCCACCTAAATCCACCAAACAATGGCTTTCCTTCTCGTCAGCTTCTGCTGTGCTTTTTCAGCCCTGGGCTCGTTCCTCTTTGGCTACGATGCCGGCGTCATCTCCACCAGCATCGACCAGCCCTCTTTCTTGCACCAGTTTGGATATCCCTCCGATGCTGCTACCGGTGGCATTGTCGCCTCCTATACTGGTTTGTCCTCCTATAATTTATACAAAACACCTGATAACACTACTCAGGAGGTGCCATTGTCGGCTCAATTGTCGTCTCCTATCTCTCTGATCCCTTTGGCCGTCGCCTCGTCATGTTCATCGGCGGTCTTCTCGCGGCCTTTGGCGCTGCTCTCCAAGGTGGTGCCGTGACGATCGCCATGCTCATCGCTGGTCGGTTCATCGCTGGCCTTGCCATTGGCTTGATGTCGGTCACTGTCCCTGTCTACTGCGTACGTGCAAATCTTTTATCCGCACAGAGAGTATACTGACACGACACCAGAGTGAGGTCGCTCCGCCTCGAGTTCGCGGCCTGTTGACTTGTATGCAGCAGTGGATGATGGGCATAGGATCCATGGTCGCTGTAAGCCTGCACTTTGATCTTCTGGTTCTTCTTAAATACTGATCTCCCCCTCAGCAATGGGTTGGCTACGGCTGTTCTCTTCACTCGGGCGATTTCTCCTGGCGCTTCCCTCTCTCCCTTCAAGCTCTGCCCGCCGTCATTCTCTGCTGTGGCGTCTGGTTCCTCCCTGAATCTCCTCGCTGGCTGATAGAAAAAGGCCATGATGAGGCTGGCCGAGCAACCCTCACCCGTCTGCATCTGAATCGCGATCGCTCCAACCAGGAACTCATCGACTACGAGTTCGCCCAGATTAGCGATAGCGTTGCCTACGAGAAACGCACCATCGTCCGCTCCTGGCGCCAACTCCTCCTCAACACTAGCTGGCGACGTCGCGTCCTGCTCGCCTGTGGCATGCAAATCTTCACCCAGACCTCCGGCACCAACGTCATCCAAAACTACAGCCCTCGCATCTACCAAGGCCTAGGCCTGTCCCACTCAACCTCTCTCATGATCACCGGTGTCTGGGGCGCCCTCGCAGTCTTCTGGAACACATTCTTTATGCTCTTCATCGACCGCGTCGGTCGCCGCAAGCTCCTCATCCCCTCCCTGCTGGGCATGGGCGCTACCATGTGCGTCGAAGGCACCCTAGCCCGATACTACGACTTCTCCACCACCCCCAACGCCAACGCCCTCCGCGCCGCAGTCAGCATGTTCTTCGTCTTCACCTTTTTCTTCACCAGCCTCGGTCTCATCTCCTGGGTCTATCCAACTGAGATCTTCCCCACCGCTATCCGCGCCAGAGGCTCATCACTCTCGACCGCGACGAACTGGAGCATCAACCTCGTCTTCGCCCAGTGCTCGCCCATCGCCATCACTCGCATCAGCTATCGCTACTTTTACTGCTTCGTCGCCTTCAACTGGGTCGCCTCGGTTATCGTTTGGTTCTTTTATCCCGAGACTGCTGGGAACTCTCTCGAAGAGGTCGAGCGTGTCTTTGCCCATGCCGTTTCGGAGAGCGAGCTTGTCCCTGGGGGAAATTCCCATTCCTATAAGCATACAATGGTCTATTCAAAGACCAGTGACGGTATTAGCAGCAACGATTCGGCGGATGCGATCAAGTTGAATCCTTCGTGTGTTGAGCATCGATAATTCATATATTGCTTCTTGTATAATGATTATAGCACACTGATATGTTTGTTTCTTACGGTTGAGATACCCGATTTACAATACTGTCTTTAACTAGCATATATAGTCCTCACTACTAACACAAGTGATAGAACAATGGAAATGTTCGCACATGACCTTTTAGGTATCAATAATCCAAAATTCCATATAAACTAGGGTATAACGAATGGACCAAGAAAACATGTACTCAAACGCCAATTGAAATGCATAAATACTTATAACAGATGGAAGTTGGATATCATCCTTTCAAAGCAGGCATTATATAGCTCGTCAATGGTGCACTGAGAACCTCCCCGCGTAGCTCATCCTCCCACATACCCACCGCCGGCTCTTGGACCTGAAACGTCAAGCACGAGAAGAGAAAGTTGTTGACTCGCGCCCAAGACTCTGGTGACAGCCGTTTGGCGACCTTGAGCATCCGCCCCGCGAACCATGGTCGACCGTACGGCGTCTGCGCCGTGGGTGAGTACTGCGTGAAATCAGGTAGCTCCTGCCATTCGTCCGGAGAGGTAGGAATGCCAGTGAAAAAGAAATTCAAGTTTGTGTCACTGTTGACAGCTCCATCCTTGCATGCAAGCATAATCTGTAGGAGCGCCTCAATCGAGCCGCTTGTGTTGACTTCACTGTCGATCACATTCTGTTCTAGGATTTGCAGGAAGGTCTCACTACGGACCATCGAGAATCGATAGTCCCAGAGGCCGGCGTTCAGCATCATCAAAGCAACCAGCCGCGCGACGATCTGCTTCCGGTCACCTGAGGTGGTGAAACGGGCGCCTGGAGGTGCGGCCAAAATCTGGTAGAGAAGCGCTGTGCACTGAAAGGAAGTGTGCCTTGTGGGCATTGTGGACTTATTGGAATTATCCCGTTGATAGACCGAGAGTTGCTCACAACGTTTGAGGAACTCGATGAACTCATCAAATTGGTGCTGGATTTCGTCCCTGGGTGAAAAGGATGGCTGGCTTGCGGCAGCCATCGCTAAGTGGCTAGGGGAACATGGCTCAGAAAATATCGACGAGGTGGAGTGTGGAGGAGAAGGGATCGAATGACATAGTTCACTGGTTTGGGATACTTGTGGCTCGAATAGAGAACCGACCGGGGGGTTTGGCTCGAAGGAAAAGCTTGGACCTTGGGTTTCATAGCCGCTCAGAATATAATCTTGCCAGTTGATCAACATTCCCAAGCGAGTGTTCTCAAAGGCCACTGGGCCTCCTCGCGCCCGTATCATCTCCCTTGCTGCTCTCATGTGAACCCAGCTGATCTCCTTATGCCCAGGACGCGGATCAAAATCCTCCAATCCTGCAGCACTAAGACACCCTATGATCGCAACATCGGAGATGTCCTTTGGGTTCTTCATCATATGCTCCCGGAGCATGGAAATTGAGCGGTCGCGGTGAATGAGGGTGTTCTTGGTCTCGGTCTCGTTGCGAACCCACGCCCAGGTGTTGGCCGCATGCACGAGGATAGTGTTTTGAAATGCCACGGCACCTTTCATGCCCTCTGGCACAAATACTGCCGTGTACCAGTTGTGGGCCTTGGGTGATCTAAAATGCGTTCCGTAAGAGCAGGCGGGCATTTCGTTAACATAAAAGTCGAACAGCCTCTGGCCGTCCGTATCTAACTCTACCGGGTAAGTGTTGAAGGGATCGGTCCGGGCAGCGCTAAGTATCGACTTAGGAGAAAGTGTGATGTCAAACGAGGGCGTAGGAGTGGGTGGCCATGGAGGCAAGTTTCCAAAATCTGAACTGTTGCTTGATGTGTATAGGAAGTTTGGCGACACGGGAAATTGATGAGACGGTGCTGGGGAGGACCTGTAGGGCAAAGAGGATGAATTCTCCGTGTATGAGAAATCCACAGCACCTATCAAGTCCCGTTCAATCTCCTCTATCCCATCATCACCTAGACCCCAAAAAGGCTCTGTTTTGCGTTGCTGGTCTGTTGGGATAGGCTGTTTTACCTTTTGTTCCCCAGCCTTGTCGCTTTTTTCACTCGGCGCCGTTTTTTTTGAGCCTCTTGTCCGTTTCGGTCGCCGACGCTTCTTTTGCTGCGAGGTTTGTCCTTCAGGTTGGTTTTCGTCATCGCTCTGGTGTTGAGAAGTATCCTGGCGCTTTTGGCGCATATACTCTTGCATCACATGGCGCTTCACCTGAGTCAGGTTGCTTCGACTATTGTTCGAAGCATCAATGAATTGCCAACGCATTTGGGGTGGTTCTGCGTTCAATTCTGCACTTTCAACTTTATCTGACATTGTTTGCCTTTGACGAGTGAAACCCAAGCCCCGCTTTCTTGTCTTCCCTGTGCCCTGTTTCTGCAATGTAGATGCCAATCGACCTGATGCAATAAACTTCAATGCCGAGCATAGTAAGTCAAAGACGTGCTTTTTTTCTTATTTCGCTTCTAGTGCTCTGTATTGACCGAAGGAATGATAAGATGAAAAGGATAACTTTTCAGGGATGGTAAATTTGCGGAGCAACAGTCCAGAAAACAGAAGACAGGGCCGGCCCTGTCGAACAGGAGGGTCCACTGGGCAAGAATAACGTTACGGGGCGCCGGACCCCGTCCGTAAATAACACTAGATAATACCAAGGAAAATGAAACCAGTAGGAAGATCAATCGGGACTGAAATTCGCGTGGAAGTGGGGAGCAATCTTGTTCGAGTCAACGGACACACATGTGGTCAAAAATTTCGCTTGGTTTTTAATTATACTTCGCCCCTGCAGTTGAAATATTATAGTTGCAGGCTGACTAGAGCTGAAGGCCGAATAGAGTTGTAATCTAACAGATGTGAGCCTGAGATGCAAACTTTAGAGGGGGTGGCTTTTGCAGGGAGAAACGGCGTGAATCTTAGTGATTTCTGGTATGATCTGCGCTTTATCCGTAACCACTGACCATCCCGACAACAATGATGAGATAATTGGGATTATTCGGAAAGCGCTCCACTCGCAAGGAAGGCCGATCTGGGGGCTATGATAGCAGATAGAGAGCCACAGGCAGATAGTAGATTAATCGTTAAGCCGATGAGGAATCACCAGAGTGGAATGGCGGCCGGAATATCCGAAATCTCAACTCTGGCGGAAACAAAATCAGCCTTGTCTTCTTTCTCCCCACAGGGATGCCCCTCGTGCTTCGTGGGACGCAATTGTGATTGGATTTCCGTCACTTGGACAGAGACTGGGAACATCAGGACAGACATCGTCAGAAACTGGGACCCGGAGGGAAAGACAAAGACTCGAATGTCTGGTGGGATAGACCCACCAGATCGGTGGCCTTGTTCTTGTCGTAAAACATGTGCTATCGTAATCCGACAAGAATCCGCTAGGCTAGCAGTACATAGTGCATTCTGGTCCTTCTTTTTGGCCCCTTTATTCTTCATGGTAATTGGAGGCGAAGGGATGGCATTGGCTGTAACTTGACTAGACAGTTGCAAACCACTTAATATGAATGGGGGCTGTGATGGCTATGGGAGCTAATGCGCCAGAAACGCGGTATTCATCAATGGGCATGCTAGTACGGGGGTACTAGTACACATGGACTACACCAGCACCGTGGGGATTCAGAACTGGGCTGTGTTCCCTTTTACTCTTGGCGCTCCGATGCAGAGAGGCAGTTGACAAGTCATGGTTCAGTTCCGCTGCTGCTGCGGTTGACCCTGCTTCTGTGGTATGTTCCACGAGCTTCAAGCTGATCAATGGATACGCTCATATAGCGTACGGCATACACACCACTCACGGAGACTCGGGGAACTCCGTGACCAACAGACGAAGAAAACCTGGCGTTGACCCTCATCTGGCATTGTCGTTGGACAATCGCAAACCCGCAAGGGACATTGTATCTATTATTATCCTATCGACATCAGAACTTTAAGACGATGCGACTGCAGAGTGCAGATCGAAAATCCTGTTAGACAGACAGTTAGACTTGTTGGAGTGGACATGACGGACATCCTAGACCACAGCGAGCTTAGCTTCATGTCATCAATTCAATAGCTTCATATCTAACGACTGGTACCACATTGTCTGGTTGCAGAATAGAACCAATCGAAAAAAATGACGATCGTTGATGAAATCTTGGGATGGAGTCGAGAAATGTTTTGACCATGGATGTCGAAGAGTTGAGGCAGACGGTTTGGGGAAGAGGGTGCTTGTATCTGATTGGGCGGGTGATACACCCATTCCAGAGCCAATCACAATGCAATACAGACCAACATTATTTTACAGATCCGGAACCCCTCCGATTCTAGTACTATCTGACCAGGCACATCAATTTTGTTGATTCTAGGGCAAGGCGAAGGATTTAGGGATCATTAGAATTGCTGGAAGGACCCGCATCGCTGCGGCTAGTTCGTCTGTGGAGGGAAAAGTCTTTTCGACTGTTTGCGGCACCGAAGCCATGGTTGTAGCTAGTAAGCCGACGATGAGAGTGGGAGAATCATGCATGGAATCGGGAATGCCTGACTGGATATGACATGATGTAAGATAGTATGTCCCTGCTCCATATTATTATTCTTGGGCAATGAATCATGTTATCATAGTGTTGGCCTACGCCCTCTCGCCCTTACTCCACACGCTTCCCCTCGGATGTAGCTTTCGCTCCGCCATCTTCACTCGTCATCTCCAACGGTCTTTTCTTTCAACCCGGATATCCGACTGCATACCATTTCCATGCTCATAGGAACATCTTCAAATCCAAGGTGACAGGCATCTTACAACCTTCTTTTGTTTTGGCCCCCATCTTTGGCCGTATTGAAATTTGAGCCCGATGCTATCGCTATTAATAGCGAAGCCCAATTCGTCCTGGAAGAAATAGCCCCCGAATATGCCTAAAGCCTTAGCGTACCCTGTACCTGCAGAGCTTAAGACATGTGACCCCATAATCACAGGCCCCTGCATGTATCAAGAATAGAACATCCTTCCTGAATGTCGCATACATATATGCACTGCAGTCCCGATCGGGGTGAGATTCTCACCAAGACCGGATCACAAACTCCATTCATGATTTTATAGTCATCGAAAATCCAGAGCCCGATAGATAGAGTGCATAGCCCGTTGTTTACTTGGTGAAACTCTGGACCAAGAAACCTGTCAGTCGGGGGCTTGAAAAGGCATAATGCAATATCAATGCCAGAAGTAGATGTACCGATTATTGAAGTGTGTTATTATCTCAGATGCTGTTTATTTTGCTGGAATTGTCAATCACTGATGACTCTCCTGGGATACATCGTCCAGTCAACAATCAAAGCTCTCAGATCATCGGGATGATCAACTGTCAGCCATATCTCATCGTAGGTAAGAGGTTACGGTTGCCCAATGTAGCAAAAGGTCACAGCTTCGCTGTCAAATCCATTCACGGTTAGCAACTAAGCAGTGATGATCCTAGCAATTGAAGGTTATGTAAAAGTCTCCAGGTGACTGGCTCTCCCGCCAAAAATCGACAGTTCGAATGCCCGTAAGCATGTATAGGCAATGGCTTGAGAAGGCTAGGGGCTTTCACATTGATGACTGGATTTGCGTGCGACATCGATATAGGAAACTTCCATCAGAGGACTGCGCGCTGTCCAGTCATCTGAAAACGCAGTTCAAATCCATCATATGAACATAATCCATCAAAGCTAGTTATATTCTGCGCTTGGAAAGCTAAATGAGTTGTAGAAGCCCAGTTGAAGTAGTGTTGAAAGTCGACAAAGTTGAAAGAGAGACGGCCATATACCGGGGTTAACCTTGACCGCCTTTGCCTTAACTCCGGGCGGGAAAACTGCCAAAATCTTGAACTCCTTCGCGTCCGCCGACAGGACAGCTTCGCTGGCAACCGACGACGCGTTTCTTCTCGCAGGGTTCGTGGACTCTAGTGGTGCTTCTTGAGATTCAGTAATTATCGGAATCAATTGCTTCATCACAAAAAGCAGGTGTTGGCTGATATCCAGGCAATAGGGATCAAGTCGGTCTCGCAGCCACCTCCGAACTCTGTCGCCGGTCGCCGGAGCAGGTCGAACCAAACAGTTGAACAAGTGTTCTTGACCTGCCTGACCTTTCGCATCAAATCGTGAACGGCCTGCTATCCTTTCCTGCTGCTTTCTATTATATACCCTTTTCCCATCCGCTGGGTGTCCATAATGCCTCTGCTCTCGACAAAGCCCACATTCACCACCTAGGTTCCAAGGCCTTTCGCTCTTATCCTATTTTCGCATACCTGTCGCGATTTGATATCTCCGGCTTGAAAAGTCCGGAACAACTTATAGATATAGCGAACTTTACAATAAGGCTCAATGTCTGCTGATATGGGTGTGCCTGTTGCTCCCAGCCAGGTTAATGGCTCCGCAGGCCCCGCTGATGGCCAAAGAGCACCTACGAACCCGTACGAAACAAATCCCGATTTGATACCAAAAGACGATCCATATCTCAGCCGTAGTGCCTATTACGGCCGATATGCGCCCCATGACGATGACTTCAAACCCCGCTATGATCAATGGCACCAATCCGACCCCGAAGCAACTTCGTATTGGGAGGATTCTGTGAAAAGGTTATGGACCCCAGAAAATGCGTTAAATCTGCCGGGTGCTCGGGAGGCTTACGCTGCTGGCAGCGCTATTATCAGAGTTGACAGTGAACCTGCCGATGGTGCGGAAGAGAAATATTCGTGCATCAATGCAAACGAGCTATTCTCAGCAAGGAAAGCAGAACAAACCCTTAAAGAGATCGGAATAGCTGTGCCGGTGATATACTTTTATGGGACGGTTGAAGGAAAAAATGTCACTGTGGAGTCTCGAATCCCCGGTGTCTCTCTGGAGGTTGCCTGGAGATACCTGACAACCGAGCAAATCAACTCGATAAAGAAACAATGTCACCATGTCGTGCAACGCCTGGGATCCCTCGAGCCCGCCCCAGATAGCCCTTCTTACGTTCGAAGTGAACTCAATTCACAACCCCAGCCCGATATTCAATCCCACGAGAAGGAAATACTATTTGGCGAAAAACGAGAGGCTGAGAATCTATGCCTGGTTCATAATGATATGGTTCGGTCCAACATCATTCTCAAAGATGACCAGATCGTGGGAATCCTTGGTTGGAGACAAAGCGGGTTTTTTGGCCTCGAAAGGGCCAAAAAGGTGCATAAACAAATTAGAATCCCTGAACCAACTTTCATAAATGGTCTTGGAGAGAATGCGGATAATTCACAGAATTGGACCGATCTTTATGACAACGTTTCTACTCCATCGGGACCAGAAGTCAAGACCGAGCCATTGGGCTTGCCTTTAGAGGAATATCCTCTTAATGACGACACGGAGGTAAAGTCTGCCGTGACTCAACTTGATGGCACAGATATCCCCGAGGAACACCCCACCCCAAAGAAAATTTCAAACCTGAAGCATGGACTGGCATCAAGAGCATCATCTTCAGACCGGTCATCACCAGCAAATTCCACAAAACCTGCTTCATCAAGCAGAAAATCGGTCTCCGGCGCTACAAAAAAAGGGACGGCGAGAAAGCCTCCAGCCAAAAAGCGCAAGATTAACGACCAAGATGGCGACAGTGTTGATGGACGCCGCTCAAATACCCCTTCTTCCGTCCGCGGTGGCAAGGGCAGCAAATCAAAAAAACACAGTTCTACATCTGCATCTGTAGCGGGATCCCCGGCTCCTGAAAACAAGAGTAAAGGGAGTAAGGATAACGCTGGCGATGAGGATGAGGATGACGACGATGAAGACGGTGGAATATTCTGTATCTGCCGTCGGCCTGATAATCACACTTGGATGATTGGCTGTGATGGCGGGTGTGAAGACTGGTTCCATGGGAAGTGTGTCAATATCGATCGAAGAGACGCGGATCTGATCGACAAGTATATTTGTAAGTTTCAAATAACCACCGTGGTCACTGAAGCATTCGGCTAACATCTCACTAGGCCCTCATTGCAAAGAGCAAGGCAAGGGATGGACTACATGGAAGCCGATGTGTCGGCTGGCTGGATGTCGTAAACCAGCTCGCGTTGTGAGACCGAATCCTAGCAAGTACTGCTCCGATGAACACGGCCGAGAGTTTATGCTTCGCAAGATCCAACACTTTAACTTGGGGCCTATGGCTTCTCGAAAGCCAACCCCTGTCGGCCGGACACCAGGAAGCGCTGAGCTTGATCCCACCGATGGATCCCGTGCAGCAAACACACCCGCTTCGAATAATGCCGACGAAGCCGACACCCCAAGCGGAGACCACGACAGGCTACCTGACGATATTGGCAGTAGAGGTGGCGTCCTCACTGCTGGCGATCTCAAGGCTGTAATAATGGAGGTGTCTTCAACCGAGGAGTTTCGCCGACTTGGCGAGCGCATTATCTCTCCTCCACCCGAGGAACCTGAGGAGAGCGAAAATGCCGAGACAGAAACAAAGACCAAGGGCAATAAGAAGCTTGGCCTAGACATTGATGCCAAGGGCCTGACATACTCTGCTGACGAGGCGTCGAAGATCGAGAAACTACGGAAGCAGCGTGACGAGCTGCTCCATCGCAAGGACATGCTTGCGGCTCGCGATGCATTCTTGCCCCTTGTACGCCAACGGTCGAAGAGCATCCTGGAGCGGTTCAAGCAGAACGACCCGAAAGGCGGATGGAAAGATATATGCGGGTTTGACTCTCGACTGGCATGGTCGGATGAAGAATTCGACGAATGGAGACTTTCTGAAGTTGGAGCGAAAGCGCTCAAAGAAGGAACACCAGAGCTTCTGGCTACGAGCTATCCCCACTCCGAACCGACTGATGCCGATGGCGATACAGCCATGAACGGCGACAAGGCGGATGAAGAGGACGATTTGACTCGCGGGGTCTGTACCAAGAAACGGTGTGAAAGACACAAGCAGTGGGTCAAGGTCCATCAACAAGAGAACCAATTTGAGCGGGACACGGTAGAGGCAGACCTCACCAAATGCGAGGAAGAAGCGCAAATAGTCGTGGAGAGAGCGGTTCTCCGGATGTGGGCCGAAAAAGACAATGCTCATGTCGGTGGGAATTGAAGTTGAATCTATTGATACCCCCTTTTTTTGCAGGAAAAGGACAAATAAAAGAAACAAAGCAACGGATTCTAAAATGGAGTTAGAGTTAGTATTCTTGATTGGTTGGGGTCGTGAGGTTTTTTCTATTCTACAGTGTTGCATAAGACCTGGGTTGATGGCGTCTTTTGAGGATAATGTAAATTATAATAGCCCGTGACTGGAAAGAAAAATGCATGGAAATTAAGCATCTCGGTAGATATCCTGATTGCAGGTATTCAGATAGTCGCTGCTGATATTTTCGTAGATATAATGCAAATAGACCAGGCGCATGGTAGGTAGGATCCTGGTTTATGCCTCTTTCTGCCAGATGCACCATTTTCCCACTCCATCACCTACTCTATCTTTAATTACCTCTGCGATCTGTTTTGTTTTCACAGTAGACAGTAGGATATGCGTGTCGATTCCCTGTTCCAACGTCCTCATCAGTAGACTCGGAAAGAGCGGCGTCCCAGTCGCGCCGAATATAGAATAGATACCATCATCGCGCATCTGATGGCCGCTAGTATCTTCGCCTTGGGATTTTAACTGCTGCCGGTTTTGGCCACCTGTAGAGTCACCAGAAAAGGGCGAAGCCACCGTACCAATCCCACTAGTGTTGACCAGCATCACAGAGAGAAAAGAGGCATGCATACGGGACAGCTGCGTCAGCGTTCGCAGAGCGGTCGTTAAGACGGCAGTTCCTCTAACTGGATTCGAAGCACGAATGACGCTCTCAGCGAGCGTGTCGAGTCCGGCAATGATTAATACGACCGGGTTCGTTTTATCGGGAACCTGAGTTTGTTCTGCGCGGGTTTTATGCAGAATATCTGAGATCTCGCTGATAGCCTGCACGGCGGCAGTTAGATCGAAGACGGGGAGTAGTTGGACGGAATCGAGACGTTTGATTGCCTCTTCGCGAGATAGGGTTTGTTGGTGAGTAGGGGATAGTAGAGAGGCAAGAAGCTTTTGTGGAGAGAAAGCATCAAAGTTGGCAGGGTGGATTATGAATGTATTGGATTTAGATGTCGATGGAGAGCCGTTGCGTATATTTTTTGTGAGGAGGTGAAGAGGAAGCTAGAAAGACGAGAAGGTTAGCAATGAAGGAGTCTACGCAATAGATGATATGGCAGAGCATATAGTTTGCTCCAGTTCATATCAACCAACGTAGAAACCAGACACAAGAAAGCTGACCTGTCCTATATACCCAACGCCGTCATCACCCTGGGCATTTTTTCTAAGCCTGGAAAAGCCAATTACAGTCCCAGTGCGGAAGATCGTATTCGACGAACACTGGGTTCCTCTTTCAATATCATCTTTCAGATTCCAATCTACTCGATTGGTGTCGTTTGGCAGTGCGGAATCTGATTCAGCATCGAAATGCTCGTTTCCCGAGTTTGATGCTGGTTGGGAAAGAAGTGAATGTGCTAGAATTGGCACAGCAGGCTCTGAGGCGGAGAAATTGGCAATTGAAGACATTTTTAGAGGGGATTGTTATGAGAGCTCGTTCTTGGCTGGTGTTGTTCTGGCATCTCTGGGGTTATTCAGAATGCAGCTAGTGAGCCTAGGAGTTCTGCTCAAAAGACCATGATGATAGAAATTGAAATAGTGATCAAATTGATCTCATGTTGAATTGATAGATGTTGGTAAGATTGTGAGTCTCAGTCGTTGTTGGGTGAAGTGAAGTCGAAGTGCTCGCTCCACGTGCCGCCTTAGTCCATCGCCATCTGACTGATAAATAGGTAGCTACCATGGGAATATGTGTGCGACATTATTTAAACATGCAAGACTATCCTTGTATTTTATTATGACATAGATATTAAATTATTAGACATGAGTGTATTTAAACAGCATCTACCGCGAGTTCATTCGGAATGCAGACCGAGGCCCTGTCTCAATTTCCTGGTCCAAGTGCCAGAACCATCATGGGCCCATTCATTTGCATTGAGAACATCTCCTAGGATAGAAGACAATTCAGGCCTAAGGGGGTCGAATAGATAGTCATAGGCCTGGAATTTCCTCAGAGAGCCTTTTTGACCTAGATCCCGGACGGAGTGCGCGATGAGCGAATACGCTGTAGCCAACTCCATCCAAGGATCACTCGGATCCATGGACCCCCGTTGTTCTGCCTCGATGACCCTGTCGTTTTGACAGGGTGCCAGCTGGACACTGAAAGATTGAAGACTTGTCATCAGGCTTAGCGTGTCCAACACCAGCTTCACATGATTATAGAATGGGAATACGGCAGTGTAGCAAAACGTTGTCAGGCTCGTGAGTGAGAGTGACTGGGGTAAGTTCTCCGGATGGGTCTGGATTGAAGCCAGCGAACCCCACTTGTTAAACACAGAAGGGACCTGAAAAAGGAAGTACTCATAGTGATTATACGCGCGGAGAGACGAGGCTTCATTGAACAGCATTGATTTCCAAGTGCGAGTCGATAGGATACTTGACTGAGATTCGAGTTGAGGGGATTGCATATGATTGTGCCGTCGCTCCTGTTCCAAGTACAGAGTTTGCAGCGGAATTTCAAAGGCCCAGCTATGTCCACTCATGAATTCGGTTCCCAGCGCTGCGCCGATGAACAAGGGCGGCGCAATAACGGTTATATGCAACGGATCCAGATGGCAGAGAACACGACGCCACCAAAACGGTTCCTCTCGACTGTCGGGCGAATAATCGCTTCCTTTCACCACAAGCGACGTAACATATCGAGCCAGATCCAATTGCGTTATAAAGGAGAGAAACTTGTTCTCATCCTCGACGTTGAAGCAGGCATGCGAGAACAGCTGGGGGCGCACCAGCTCCAGCAAACGCGACGAGACTCGGGAGAGGTTTTTCAGGTATCGAGTGTGAGATTTGACGATCCGAAAGCTAGGGGGCTGGTGCAGCTGGCCAGAGGAGGGGTGATTGGATGAGAGATAGGAAATTATATGGTCTAGGAGTTCATTGGGGAGAAGTTCGAGAGTCGATTGTTGTTGGAGGGACATGATTGAGGCACCTGGAGCAGATCAGTGCTTCGTGGTAGCTTTACATGACGGGGATTCCGCATTGTATAGAAGATGCAGTGAGAAGGATAGTATTCCTCAAGTTGACAGTATCAACCACATCTTGCATTGATTCCAGCGATGGTGACGGTGATGATGACGATGGCAAGTGAAGTCGTCTCGGGAAGAGAAAGACACAGAAGTGCCGTTGCGCGGGGCTGTCGAGGCGCTACTCCACCCGATCGCTGCTTTTTCAGCAATTGGTAAGCTGGGTGTTTTTATTCCCATTATACTGATAATTATTGAAGAAGAAGTTGGTGATGCAAATACAGAGTGCAGAATAAGAATTACCGATTATATTTTTAAATATATAAATATATATACGTTCATTGCTGCAGATATATCCAGCTGGTTGAGGCTCATCGTGATGTGCTCTATAGCATCGGCAAAACCCCAGAAGTGGAGAAGTGCTTCAAAATTCAGAATCACTGCTTCTTCTCCGCATTGACATTGATTCTGACATGGACTGAATACGACAACCCCGCCGCATTGACGCAGTGTTTCTCGTTGCATTGATATTTTCTTGAGATGACATTCTCCCGAGACGAAGCAAAGTGTCAGGGTGATGATATATCATCCTAGTTGAAGCTCCACATCCAAAACTTGCCACGAGATGCCATGAACAGCGAATTCGGCACCAAGATGTGGAGAGAACCTCCAGAAGGTGGGGCACAACGCAGTGGAAGTCGGCGATGGGACAAAAAATAGTCAAACAGCTGGATGGTTGTTGGTCGAGCTCGCTTGCAGCCTTGTAGCCTTGCTGGTCGAAGGCTTTCTCTGCCCCTCATCCCCTTTCTGTCTTGTCTTTTCTCCTTCTTCAACCCATCCTCTCTCACTTCAGGTATCTCAATCGCATCCAGCCCCACGTATTGAGGACCAAGCTTATACCTCTTAGTGAATCATTATCATCATGGCTCAACTTCACCGCAACCCCCCTTTTCGCGCTGAGCACCTTGGCTCGCTTCTCCGAACGGATGAGCTCCTGAAGACCAAGACCGCTTATGAGAAGGGCGAGGCTCCCGAGTCGGCTCTGGTTGACATTGAGAACAAGGACATCAACGAGATCGTTGAAACTCAGAAGAAGCTCGGCTTCCCCGGTGCTTCCGATGGTGAATACCGCAGACACAGTAAGGACAAGCAATGATCGAATGAGAAAGAATGAAGACTGATCCGTACCAGTGTTCTGGGGTAGCTTCTTCCCCGGTCTCGAGGGATTCGAGGAGATCGCCAACGTTGACATTGACTACTTCCGTCTGTACGCCCCCGATGTCGCTGCGTTCATTGAAGAGGGCCACAAGCCCGGTGAATCGGTGCTCTGCACAGGCAAGATCAAGCACGTTGGCAGCACATACGTCGACCAGTTCAAGTACCTGGCCAGCCGTGTCGCCCCCGAGGAGGTCAAGAACCTGAAGATCACTCTCGCTGCTCCTAACTGGTACCACTTGCGGTACAAGGAGGGCAAGGCCTACCCCTCTGATGTGTACAGCTCCGATGACGAGTACTTTGGGGACATCGCCAAGGCTTACCAGGCTGAACTGCAGATCCTGTACGACGCCGGCTGCAGGAACGTTCAGTTTGACGACCCCAACCTTGCCTGTAGGTTTTCCATCTCTTTGGATAAGATAAGAGGCTAACTGATGCTAGACTTCTGCTCTGACAAGATGCTTGACGGCTGGAAGAATGACCCTCTGAACAAGTACACTCCCCAGGAGCTGTTCGACAAGTACGTCAAGCAGTACAACGACCTTCTGTCCAACCGCCCCGCCGATTTGCATGTCGGTGTGCACATCTGCCGTGGCAACTTTGTCGGCAGCCGTCACTTCTCCGAGGGTGGCTATGACCTGATCGCCACCAAGCTTTTCAAGGAGCTCAACTGCGACACCTACTACCTCGAGTACGACACCCCTCGCGCTGGAGGCTTTGAGCCCCTCAAGGAGCTTCCTCCCCACAAGAACGTCATCCTGGGTGTGGTGACCAGCAAGTTCCCTCAGCTCGAGGACAAGGAGGAGATGAAGAAGCGCGTGTACGACGCCGCCAAGTTCATTGCCGAAGGCAACAACATCAGCGTTGAGCAGGCACTCAACCAGGTCGGTGTCAGCCCCCAGTGCGGTTTCGCCAGTCACCGTGAGGGCAACGCCATTGACCACGATGGTATGATCGCCAAGCTCAAGCTTGTCAGGGACATTGCCAACGACATCTGGCCTGGTCAGTTGTAAATTAATCAAAGTAAATAAATGAGGAGACCAGGATGGGGTGTACTGTTATATAGCACAGCGAGCGGTTTTTGTCCCTGTCGACTTTCAACAATGCGACGAATGTGGACGACTGTTATGAAAATTATGAAATATATATGAGTTTCTAAATATTTGAGCTGGAATACGTTTATATATACGTATGATCAGCGAGTACCTTGTGGATGCTGATTCATAGTCTTAGTCAAGTGGGATGAATATACAATATCTTATCCCGATCATCTCCAATAACTTCATCTAATCTTACAATACAACCGCCTTAGCACGATGCCAATTTTCCTTCACTTGCCAGTCCATCCCTTGCCGTAGATGGATGATAATTATTCAATGATTGCTATACATCTACAGCAGAAGAATGTACGGCCAGAATGTGTCAATCTTACGGTTATTGAAGACACTGGAATCCCTGGTGCAGTTCTGCTCCGAAAACGGCGCCTGTGTCTGCTTTGGCGACATAGCATTCGATCAAGGCGAGAATGTAGCAGAGAAATGCTGCAGCTCCAATCCATCTACAACTCCCCAGGCACTATTTCACCAAACTGACGTGACAGACTATCATTCCGTGCTGGGATTGTTTGATACTGCATTCAAGACCTACGGAAGAATCGACCATGCAGTGGCTGGGGCAGGAATACTGGACAACGGCAACGGGTTTGATCCAGAATTGACACTCGAGTCATTCCGCGAGGTGTGTAACAATATCCTTACAGAAAGATAGAGACTGATCTAGGATTCTCCAGCCCCCTAGTCAAAAAGTCCTAGATGTAAACCTGATAGGATGCCTGTATACAGCACGCATCGCCAGTGTCTATCCTCGACAGAATCAACCCGACGGCGCAGACCGATCAATCCTGCTGATTTCATCCTCGTGTGGATTCAAAGAAGCCGCCGGGTTCTTCTTCTACCAAGCGTCCGAACATGGAGTGCTGGGTGTTATGCGGGCCCTACGTGGATACATCCCATTGCCTTCCAGACACAATACCCGTGTCAATGCAATCTGTCCATAGGTAACAGCAACATCCATAGCTGAGACCATCCACGGCGCATGGATCAAGGCTGACCCCCCCATCAACACCTCTCTGGACGTGACTTGGGTCACAGCCGGCGTACTAACAGATAGCAGTCTCAATGGCAAGGCCATGTACGTTGAGGGAGGTCGTGCGTGGGAGATGGAAGAGAATCTGGATCGTCTTGAACCACAATGGCTTGGTGAAGGACCGTCTAGGTCACTGGCAAAGGGCCAAGAGTTTCTAACTGGTACCGTTTATCTGTCATACTGGTGCATCCTGATGCTCATCTTGCTACGTCTCGTTCGGAATACAGTGGATAGGATATTCAAGAATATAATCTCAATTCACTACTCCTGCTCTAGCAACCTCACATCTATGCCATCCTGCAACGCATCGATCTACTCAGCAGGCCCAATAATGTTGGACTCCTTAATAGCAGACCGCTTGTGCGTGTGCAAGTTTTCAATCTATAACCCACGTTAGATTCGCCATTCCATTTTGTCTGTTATTCCAACTAACCTCATATCGGGGCTCGTCTTCAGAAGCAGCAACATTGCGGCCTGTCAACTGAGTCGGCGAAGTGCTGACCTCGCGAATGACACCGGTACTCTCCGAAGTCTTGGACTCGGGGCCTGGATATCTAGCATGAGCAAGAGGAAATTGAAGTGAAGTTATAAGCGTAAGATGAGACATACCTCCGACAGGCTTGTAGCGGACGCTTTCTCCTTGTCTGTATGCGGCGGGCATTTTAAGAAAAATTAATTTGATATAAGATATCTGATAGATTAAAAAATTAAGTAGGCTTGTTTGCTTATAGACAGTGTAGATAGATATCAATCCAATCGAAAAAGAATCGAAAACAAGGCAATCGTTCCTGGCTCGATTGGCACTCTATTTATGTTCTTCAGTGGCCAATCTTTTTACCTTTTCCGTCAGATTGACATGGCACATTAAAGTGTTATGGATGGGATGTTTTGATTCGAGGGAACTTGATGCCTTGTTTTTCTTTTTCTTTTTTTCTGTTCTGTTTGCCTCTCGTACCTGTATGCCGTGTGGCGTTTATCTCATCTGGACTTTGAGCGCTAACTATCGACGTAATTCTGACGGTTGATGAGATTATCGGACGATTGGGTTGGAATTCAACCGTGGCTCTGGAATACATCATTGTGGTAGATGACTATACATCGGAGGTTAGTCCGTGGACTGGAGCGTCAAGATTATGTCAAGTTGATTATTATTAGTATTATCTAGATACAGGATGGTTCTTGGTATTAGGAAAGAACTGAGCGTGCGATTCAAGAAGCTTTTTTTGGTCGCTGTACATAGTTTGTGTGAAGAAAGAACCGTGATAGAGTAACAGTAAATGAGATATCCGAGTAAAAGAGATTCGAGTAAAGAGAAAGGCATTTGTAGATATGTGCTGATCCATGTTTCCTTCTATTGGAATATTTCTAGACGAAATGAGAACAGACGATAGACAATAAGAGAAAAAGGAAAAAGAAATCAAGTCAAAGCAAGGGTGAGAAAGAGAAAGAGAGTATTAATTATAGGGTCCTCATATATGACCCGGAGGAAAACAGAGGGGGATATCATCGAAAGATAAGAACAGAAGGAAAATTAGCATGCGCATGAAGAGAACTGCAAACGAAAAGTCCAAATGCTGCGTCGTCTGTCATCAAAAACGGACATGAAGCGAAAGTAATTAGCGGCCGGTGGATACGGAAGAGTATGTTGGTACACGAGGCTACTTTCTGGTCGTGCCTCTGGTATTACGGGTTCGAAGGCATGAGCGGGTGAGATGCGATTATTTCGCCGGCTGGGTCTTGACGTTGTTGGAAAGCCAGGCCTGTGTTGTTAGATGTTGTTTTGAACTTTGGATGAGAAGACAACTTACGAGTCCTTCGAAAATACCAGTACCCTCAGTAGCAACACTAGGAGCCACATACCAGAGCTTGTCCTTCAATTTTGTGAGCTGCAGCGCGTTGGTAACCTCCTCGGGGCTCAGATCTGTGAAGCTGGTCAGTCGATGAATTCCCCCTGATAGCTGATGTGGGGATACGCACGGCCTCCGATATCCTGCTTGTTCGCAAACACCAGCAAAAGTGCATCCTTCATTTCGCGATCATTGATGATCTTGTGCAGTTCAGAGCGAGCCTCCTCCATGCGGGCCGTGTCGCTAGAATCAACGACGAAAATCAAGCCTTGGGTTCCTACACAGCCACAACGGTAAGCAACTACCCTTCAGAGCACCCTGAGTTCATCGAATCGTACCTGAGTAGTAGTGTCTCCATAGAGGTCGGATCTTGTCCTGACCACCGACATCCCAGACATTGAACTTGACATTCTTGTAAGTAACGCTCTCGACGTTAAATCCCACCGTGGGGATTGTGGTGACGTCTTGATTTGTGAGTTTCAACTTGTAGAGAATTGCTGGAGATGGACGTCAGTTTCTCCATTCTAGGTCGTTTCCCACGCGAACGCAGTGGAACTCACTGGTTTTTCCGGCAGCATCCAAACCCAGCATCAGAATCCGCATTTCCTTCGTGCCGAAAATCTTCCCCATTATCTTGGATACTTGGCCACCCATTTTGATTGGTTTTTTAACGACTCCTGAAGGGTCGCTGTCAAGGAAAGAGGTGTGATTGGACGCGGAGGGAAATGTTCTTGAGCCTCAATTGGAACAGAGACCGAAGAAAAGGCGTGGGAGAAAAATTGAAACGGGAAACAGGATCAATGGCTGCAGGTCCGCGTCAACAACATTAAACAGCCGGTCATTGCGCAGAAAGACGCAAGGTAAATGAGACCTACCGATGCGCGAGGCACGTTCGAGGGGGGAGTCAACCAGGCGACGAGGATGTGAGAGAGTCGAAAAGACAGATCAATCCGCCCTTTTTGCCAGCAGAACAGAACACGGAGTAATAAATTCTGATAATTTCAGGAACTGACCGACGATCCACACGAGGACCGCTGCTTTTCTCGCGAAACTCGAAGTGCAGAGGGGCGTAAAAGGGGCTGGTGATGACTCAGCACAGGGTCTCTCCCCTCCTCTCTCTCTATAACTAACAGCAACTGAACTATTTTTCTCCTCTTTTCCCCCGTGAAGAAGCCAAGCGGCGGTTGTTTCAAGTTGCAACACGATAGCTGCAGCGGTTTATTTGCCTGCTGGCTGTGGGAATTGATTTTATCTCGACGCTTGAGTTCCCCTCTTTCTGGCGGCTCGTTGCCCAAGTCAATTCGCGTGGGAAATTGACGAATGCTAGGATCTTCCACCATGTGGATCAAGACTCCGCACGGCATTGTCCATTACTCGGACGTATTATTAGTATTATCTATTATTTTGGTTTTCAAGTGATATACTCCGATTAAGTGGCCAGTGATGGACCAAGAGACTCAATGACACTGAAGTTCTCGAGACTCCCTTCAGGTTTTGCGTTCAATAAACAAATCGTTATCGCGGGTCGGGGCCATACGTCATGCACCATACCTGGTGAAGTCACTGCCTCCGTAAGAGTGGCCGTTTGCAAATCAATGGCCTTCAATAAAACATACCAGCTCGCTGGGTCTTTTCTTCCGTTCAAAATCATCAATACCTAATGGCTATAAAAGCATCACTACCTTAAGTGCAGTATGACTCGTGACTCTCAAGACTTTGGACGTAGGTCCTCGGAGTATCAGCAGCGTCGTCTATCTCACCAATTTCAGAAAAATGCATGGACTGGGCCTCCATCCGGGGTATGAATGACTGTAGCAAAGTCTGTTGTTTTGGTTCTAACTGTGCCAGACCATCTATGCCGGTGTCTCGGCCTCGTTCTCCGGAAACGCAGTGACAAGAATTGCCCTTGCCATTCGCGATACCACCTATCTCCTAGACTTTCTTGAGCGAGGCGACGGTGATGGAGGTGATCGGTTCACTCCCTCGGAGATGGTCGAATTCATTCTGCACCAATTGAAGAAGTTTAGTGAACAACATTTGGAAAAGTTCATGGGTTTGGCAATGCCACAGAGTGTGGCAGACAAGTGCCATGGCCTTTGCTCTCGCTTATGGGCAGAGCTTGATATCATCCCCTTGACTCTGCCAGAGGAAACAAAAAAGCAGGGGGACGAGTTCTCCCCCAGCGTTGGTTGGGAAACCAGAGACATCGACGAACAGGCAGAGTCCATGGGCCGAAAATGTGTCAGGTTCGATACCCATATTTCCTTTCTGTGGAACAGGTGCTAAGGGCTTCGCAGACTCTTTGGCCCGGACAATCTTCCTTTGCTTCAGGTTGGTCTCTTAGGCCAAGTAGAGGTGGACACCGGGTTTCATGTGCGCTTGACCAGTCTGAAAGACTTCCACAAGACAGTCAGCCACAAGACATGGTCAGCTGTGAACCATTATGCCACCGACCTCAAGAAACGAAATGTCAAGCTGGCGTTTTTCAGCGCTACTCCTCAGGGTGGAGGTGTGGCATTGATGAGGCATTCTATGGTCAGATTCTCTCACTCGCTGGAAACAGATGTCAGATGGTAAGTAGAGGTATCCCATATCACGCAACCCAGAGGACACTGCTAATTCTATGAGATATAGGTATGTACCCAAGCCGCGTCCGGGTATATTTCGTGTCACAAAGAATACCCACAACATCCTTCAGGGAGTGTCAAAACCGGAGGAGCGATTGAGCAAGGAGGACCGACAATTGGTCATGGATTGGATTAACGAGAATGCAAAGCGATACTGGTTGTGCCCAGGAGGGCCGCTACGGCCACCTTCAGAAGGAGGTGCAGATGTAGTAGTCATTGATGACCCGCAGATGCCTGCATTGATCCCAATTGCGAAAAAGCTTGCCCCCAATAGGCCGATTATCTTCCGCAGCCATATTCAAATTCGAAGTGACCTGGTTTCAAACTCGTCCAGCCCTCAAGCAGAAGTATGGCAGTGGCTCTGGGAATACATCAGTCAAGCAGAGCTTTTCATCAGTCACCCGGTGAGTGCATTTGTACCTCATAATGTACCACAAGATAAAGTGGGCTACGTGCCTGCATCAACGGATTGGTTCGTATTTTCGGTTGCCTTGCTGGAAAATTCATGCTTAACTGACATTCACTCAGGCTGGATGGCTTGAATAAAAACATGCGAGATTGGGACACCGCATTTTACGGTCGTGTATTCAATGGGTCCTGTAGGAACTCGGGTATGCCAACTATTGACTGGCCAGAAGGTGAGTGAGGAATGTTGTATTTTGTTCGGACTGTATCACTGACCCAACAAGATGAATACATTGTCCAAATTGCGCGCTTCGACCCTTCCAAAGGAATTCCCGCTGTTTTGGAATCGTATGAAAAGTTCCTTAACCGTCTCCTCACCTCGTCACCCGACATTAAGCCACCGAAGCTACTGATCTGTGGGCATGGCTCTATTGATGATCCAGACGGCTCTATAATATACGACAATGCAGTTGCTCATATCGAGCAGGATATCCCACAACTTCGCGAAAATATCTGTGTTATGCGAGTGCGGCCCTCAGACCAGGTGCTCAACGCGCTTCTTTCCAAGGCAAAGATTGTGCTGCAGCTCTCTACACGCGAAGGGTTCGAAGTCAAGGTTTCCGAGGCGATTCATAAGGGGAAACCCATCATTGCAACTAGAGCTGGTGGGATTCCACTGCAAATTGAAAACCACAAGAATGGCTTCTTGGTGGATGTAGGGGATACGGATGCTGTGGCCCAGCATCTTTACGATCTATGGACGAACAACGAGCTTTACCATAAGATGAGCAGTTATGCTATCAACAGTGTCAGTGATGAAGTTAGCACAGTGGGCAATATGTTGAATTGGCTCTATCTTACGTCGAAGCTATCCAAGGGAGAGAAAGTTACGCCCCACGGCTCCTGGATCAATGATATGGCTCGCGAGGAGGCGGGGCAAGCCTATACCAGCGATGAGAACCGACTGACGAGAGCGGTCGAAGTTCCACGAATGGGCTAAGTGCAAGGCATACCTATATTAAATTTGATGTGGATATACACAACCAGTGCCGTTGGAGTAGTGATAGTACATTATATGATATGATATACACACTTTTTTTTCTTTTTTTCAAATCATTATATGTCAGTCATGTACATAAACGCACAAATTGGGGTATAATAATAAGACCGCAAGCAAAAGAAAACAAAGACCCAAACAATAATACACAGTAATTTTCACCTCCCAACCAGCCGATATCTCTCTCTCGCCATCCCCCCTTCAGCCCCTTCAACCCCATACCCTTCTCCAACCTCTCCGACAATCCTCGCCGGTGCACCACCCACCACACACCAACTAGGCACCACCATCCCCGGCGGCACCACCGCCCCATCCAACACATACGCAAAATCCTTCAGAATCGCCATACTCCCAATCACCGCCTCCTTCCCAACATGCACATGGTTCCCCACCGTCGCCGCCTCCACCACCGCCCTCTCCCCGACAAAAACATGATCCCCGATCTTCAGCGGATAAAACGAGTGCACCCCCCGATGCAACCGCGACGGAGGCCGTAAGATCGCCTGCTTCGATATATAACTATACCGCCCCACCGTGATCGCGACAGAGGGCGTCCCGGCGGGCGGCGCTGCCGGTGCGTCGCTGCTACCGTCGTGTGTTGAGCTCGGGGCGGAGTACCGGTACAGGTCACCGCGGATGACGGCTTCAGCTTGGATGACGGTTTTGCCGCCTAGGATGATGTGTTGAGTTCCGTGGATATGAGATCGGCGGGAGATTTTGTTTCCTGTGTCCTGTGGTGTTTTGGTTAGTTGGGGTATTGAAGCATGGTTTGTTTGGGGTGCGTGTTGGTTTGCGTACTGTCTCGATGTATTCGCCTTTGGCGGCTTTGGGAGGCATTGTGACTCAAATTCGCCCGCTCAGCGAATAGTAAACCCGGTATCTCTTGGGCGGATGTTGTTCGACTGGAATTGAAGTGTAGAATGGGAGTGGAACGAGGATGACCAAAATAATGACGATCGTAAGCAACCAAACCAGTAGGCGGTGTAACAAGCGGAATCCGTCGTCTATTAAGGTAGATAGTAGATCTACATTTTACAGGGGTACATTGTTCTTCTCCATACGTGGGTATCTGTACAGATATTGTGTTCGAATTGAACATAAACTATCATTAAATTTGCTCGAGTTGGGTTCTATAATCGAAGAGCAATATACAAAATCAATAACTAGCAATATACAAAATCGGATATCTCAATAAAGTAACTTCGTAGTTCTTTTGCCCCAAAAAAATACCCCAAACCATTACAACTGTTCGATTATATCGTTTTTTTTCGTTTTCAACGCTCCATCTTACGAAGAGGTTGTGCGGCGCTTGGGTGCCGGGAGCTCACCATCGTAGTGAATCTTCAAGGTGGTTGGGAAGGGGAAGAAGCTGCTGTAGTCCTCGCGCAAGTAAACGGTGTGGCCATCAACACGGGGGATCTTCTTCAACTGTCCTTGAGGACCGGGGGCGCGGCGAAGGTTCTCCAAACGAGCAACGACACGAAGCATGGAGGCCAGAGCAATCAAGCTACCTTCCTTGCCCAGGCAGGCCTCGGCCCCCTGGTTGAAGTAGATGTACGAGTCCAGGGGTCGGTCGAGCTTCACCTCGTCGGGGTTAGGGAATATCTCTGGATCGTGGTTGGCCTTGGCCTGTTTGGTATGTTAGCCAAGATGAGCTTAAATAATTACCCCAGCCGGGGGGGGGAAGTGGGGCACATACAAAGCTGACAAAGACTCTGTCGCCAGGCTTGATGTGGATTTCACGACCGTCCTCGACCAGAGTCTGCTCAGTCTCGGCCTGGCGGTACGATCCGAAAGCACTGTTGATACGGATGGCCTCCAAGCAGTAGCGGATCAACTTCTCATCCGACTCCTTGCTCTCCTCCTTGGCAAGACGCTTGATCTCAGAGAGATGCTGCTTGCCAGATTCAGAGAGGTAGAAGTCGATGATTTCAGTGAACTGCGACAAAAAAACATTAGCCGTTAATCCGGATGGAGGACTCTGATGTGGATACTAACCTGGGCTTGGCTGGGAACCAACGCCCCGGCAGTGGGCATGACCTGGGACCAGGCAATCTCGGATGCACTGAGGCCGCTTTCCTGGAGGTTGCGGATCAGGTGTACACCATACTCCTGCAGTGCGTTCCGGTTGTCCTTTCCACCACCGAAAATTCCGGAGAGCAGACCGGAGGAGTTACCAGACTTGACATTAGTCTCGATGATCTGGGCCAACTGCTGGGCGACGGCATTGGTCGCGTGGCGCACGGGGAAGGACCGGGAGGGTTCGTTGTCAAAGAAGATGTGGATATAGATGGTGGCCATGATCATGAACATCTCATGTTCTGTGAAAACACCACGAGGGTTCTCCTTGGTCTTCAGGGGAAGGTTGAAGACCTTGGACGCGAAGTGAGCGTGTGCCAAGTTTCCAACACTGTGGTTGCCGTTAGTCTTCCGCAAAATTTCAAGAGCTGTTGAATCACTTACTCCCTAGTAATATCAACCTGCTTGATACCCGCAAGCTTGCCACTCTTCTCCTGGAGAAGTTGCAAGGTAATGTCTTCGAAGTACTCCTTGACAGTCTTGTTCCACTGTTCCTGGTCCACAGACTTGGCCGAATCTTCGGTCTGAGCATTTCCAATTTTGCCGAACAGAGATGCTTCTACATCAACTGGACGGAAGCTCTTCTGGTGCTCCGCGACCAACTTGGCGTTCTGGTGAGAAGCCAGGTTCACCTTGGGGGGTGTGTAGGTAGGACGGTCATAGGAGTAGTCCGACTCTCTGCCCAGATCCTTCATAATCTTCTGGTTCTCACTGGGGATTGTCATGGGGTAGTGAGCGTAGATCGAGTCGGCCTTAAAGTGGTTGGGGAATGCGCGCTGGGCAAGCTTGTAGAAGACACATCCCTGGTTGACGTTGAGGTCATAACGGACCTCGGAGTAACCCCAGTTGGTGAGATTCTTGGGGGTGTAATCAACCTGGAAAAGATGTTAGTTTGTGGTTCGGTGGTTGGTTAAACGGATCAACTCACAGTGTAGTGTCGGTCACCACGGACCAGAGCGACAGCATCGGACAAGACTGCACGAGAAACGGTGTAGGTAGGGGCAATTCCGACACCAGGAACCATGGGCTCCTTGGAATCTTCGGCAACGATACCGGGGTAGAGCTCCACGAAGTCGGGGTGCTCATACAGGTTGCTAAGGGCCTCCGCGACGTCGGGGTCGGAGTTGATTTCCAAAAAGGTCTCGTGAGGCTTCAAGCCGAAGAACTTACGGAACTCGTTAAGGGAGCCAACATTCCATCTACGAGCTTCAGAGATACCCAAAATCTCGACACATCGAAGAGCCTTGGGCACATTGCGAGCACCGAAGGAACCTATTACAACATGGTTAGTGCCCGTGGATTAGACGCAATGTTGGTTAGTGGCTTACTGGCAACATCCTCAACAGCATTGCACAGGAGATTGACGAGGTCGTCATCCTTAAAGGTTCCATCCTCCTGACGCTCCAGCTGGGCAAAGGTGCGCTTGGCAGGGTCCGGGCTCAGGTTCTTTTCATAACCAGCCAGGCCCATCAGGAGATCCTGCATCGAGAGCTCACTGGCAGGCTTGCCCAGAAGCTGATGGAAGATGTCCTCGGTCCACTTCTCATCATTGGCGCTAATCGCCGAGTGCCAGCGGTAGGCAAGGTTGAATTCGACAGAGCATTGGTTACCCAGTCCAGATGGGGTGGCGCCTTGCTTCTCCATTTGGGCACGAGGGTCCTGCAAGTTATCATTAGCCTTTGCACTTCGCGGAAAATTTCAATTTCGTTTATTTACCAAGCACCAAGTAGAGTTGGTACGGTTCAAGTTGACGATCGTACGCAGGTAATCGTACAAGGTGATGTTGATGTAAAGACCGCAAGTGATACTAAATCACCGTTAGAACTCCTGAAAGCATTAAATCGAGGCGGGAATGCGTCACATACAGTCGGCCAGTTTGGAAAAGATCCTCGTCATACTTGGCCCACAGCTTCTCAATGTCTTCTTCGGTCAAGCCCGGGCGGGGAGTTGGCTTGTTGAAACGGCCACCCTCGTTGATGGTCGCGAGCTCCTCAACGACATAGTTGTGGAATCTGTAATTTTGTTTTTTCGTCAGTTACCAATCATAACCAAAGCGCAGAAGACCGCAAACTAACCTGTTCAACATAACCAGCATCACACCGCAAGCTGGGGGCAGAGCCTGGAGTCGAGCCTCGGAGAAAGTATCAGGCTTCAACTTTCCATCCTTGTGTGTTCGAATCATGTCCTGCTGTTCCCTGACATCACCATACAAAATGGACAGATCAAGGTAGCTAGAAGTCTTGCTCATGTGCGGGTTCTTGTGGTCGGTCTGGAAAATGTCGTGGATGATCAGGGACGCCCAATCGAAGAAAACACTAGACACCTTGTTCGGGTGGGGAGTAAACTCCTCACGGGCGTAGATGCTGTCGAAAACCAAACCAGGGTCTGGCAAGCCACCGGGCTGGATGGTCAAGGGAGCAATCGAGCGACAGTATGGTGTGTTGGCTGCTCCCAACCACGGGAGGGTAGGGTTGTTGTTGGAACCATCCGCGGACCGGTAGGCAAATTCGTTGCCCATGTACCTGAGCTTATCTTAGCACAACGCAGCTCGGGGCAGCAAAGGCAAACTCATCGCGAACTTACGAGAGTGGAGGGTGGGGAAGGGAGCCCCAAAGTTCATCGAGGAAAGCATTGGTGAGTTCAACACGGTTCTTGGAAAATGAAGGAAGACCGCTAACGAGCTATAAATGGCAAGAAAATAGTCGTGTTAGTAACCTGGTCTCATCGCGAAATCGCAACCAACCACCAAGAGGAAATTGGGTGCTGTACCTGAATGATGCGCTCCATGAGCATAGTCTTGTCGTCAACCAGTTCGCCGCTTGCCTTGCTCTTGACGAGATCCTTCAGGGTGCTAGCATCCTTGAAGCCAAAAGTCTTCAAGTCCTGGAACAGGCCAGACGAGGAGTCATGGTCCGTGTAGGTGCCATCTCCGTTCTGGTTGGGAAGAGGGCGTCGCGAAGCGTGAAGTAATTGCGCATATCTCTCGAAGATAGAGGCGACTTCGGTTCTCTTCGCGCTGTTATCTTCCTCTGCGACAGGCTTGCGCTGTGTTGGCGACACCTTCGACTGACGTTTGCTCTGCTTGGGTGTGCCATTCTGCTTGGCCGCGCCATTCTGCTTCACTGCGCCATTCTCCTTGGGCTCCTGGTCGCGGTCACCCTTGTTCTTCTTGAAGTTGGTAGAGAATCTTCGCAACATTATGAATATACAAGATTATGAACAGTAAAAACACAAACAGAAAAAAAAGTGCAAAGATTAAGAAGCGCGGTGGCTAGATAAAAGAAGGGGGGAAGATCAGGGAAATTTCAAAACGGCCAGCAAATCTTGCCCTCGGACATACAGCGGTTAAAAAGAAACGAAAGGGCCCAAAGCTGAACGTGGGCTTACAAGAATCAGCTTTCAGCTTGGACAGTATCAGACCCGACGGTGGATCCTAGCTACCAAATCCCATCGATAGGAATGGTAATATCTTTAGGGGATTAATAATTTGCATCGCCTTCACAAGGGCCGTCCAAAACAAATGAAAACCTTCATAATAACAAGACACAAAGCTCCATACAAACAGAGTTAGACCCCGCGTGCTACCGAAGGAGGGATCGCCTACCCTTGGGCTTGGAAATAAGTGGATCTTGAAATCGACGAAATGGAAATGAAAATGACGATGTGAGATGTGACGATACGTAGTACCACCACACCCAACCAGTTGATGGGTACGGGCCATTATTGGGGGACCCCCAGCTCGATGCTGGGCCGAATGCACCGATGCAGGACGAACCTTGGGTGGCTGGGTCTCTATTTTGCAGTAGTGGATGGCACCAAAGAAATCGCTGGAGACGATCTGGAGCTCCTAGCAGTCTTAGGGTCGGTGTATCCTTGTTGTCAAGATCCTGCTATGGACGGTCCGTAGACGGCGGGGGCAGTACCCACTCCCAGAAGAAGAAAACTAAAAAGAAAAAAAAAAAACCCCCCGAGGCCAATCAGGGGGTGACAATTGGGTATGATCCCAAGACATCAAGATAGGTGGTTAGGTTGTGGCCAGCCACCATCACAATAACCCAGCCAATTTATGGGTGCTGGCCATGTAGACGTGTACAATGCAGAAATGCCCCGTACGTACTACTCGTATGATGGTTAGCGTAGAACTCTGGACGAAAAGTCGAAAAGATGGCGAAGATGATAAACATTGAAGCTGAAGGGATGTTCTCCACTTCGGTCCCAGATCGCTCAGAGCTGAACGACTGAGGGTACATCGTACGCGACTCGACCAGATTGGAAGGGAGATTCAGTGAGATAATGAGATATGCAATAATATTGTTACATTCACAATCCCGGGTTTTTTAACGATTAGCGAGGTGCGTCCCGTTACACAGCATGACTCGATCATGGGTATTGTCACACTCAGTCGCAGGGCGTATTATTTCCCAGATAGGCTGGTAAAAATTGACACATTCCAATACAGTGGCGCACTAAGGTTTGAGCTGAGTTACTCACACCGACTTCCTAGCATAGGTAAGAATTTATTATTGTAACCTTGAAGTCAGGGTTGGCGGGCTCGCGCATGGGCGACAAAGAAGACAATCGATAGGCTGATGGCCTCAGAGAGATCTAATTGACCTGCCGACAGCAAACAGCGATTTTCCACTAGTATGACAAGCGGAGTCCAATCGGGGACGGACCATTGCTAAATTATCCACGCGTTCGTAACACGGGATGGGATCGTCGCTCTCATTTTAGACACACGCGCGAGCGCACACACAAATCAGATTATGCAACCCTTGGGAAGTTGTAAGACATAACTTAATCTGAGAGGGCGACAGGGTAAATCAAGACGACAGTTTCAGTTATGTATGTGTATTGTATACTGCAGTGGTGGAGGTGATGGAAGCAAACAGAAAGTCGGGCTTTGAAGGAGTTGTTAGCGTCGGCCTGGTTGTTCTGCCCTTGTGAAGAATCTTCAAAATCGTGGTTCAGTGATCGGTCCCAGATCGTCGAGACAAGGATGGCTGGATTTTAGCTGAAATCTCTCAGCTTTGTACGTATGTATCATGGATGTAATAATGAAACTATATCCGTGTACAATCGGTACTGCGACATCTTAGTTCCTATTTGGGTTGCGCACCTAGCTTAGGAAACGATCTCCATACACTATCCAGGGGGACGGGCTTGGCCCTAGACTCTTACCTTGTTCAGTCAGTAAAAGTACCGGACAGATGGAGTGGATATCTCATGCATACAGGACCGAGAGCATCATGACTCATGTAGTTCTCAGGATGGACATCCCTACCACACCAGATCACATATCTGCAGTCTGCACTCCGCAGAGACAACAGACCTGGCTTTAGCCTTGTGTCTTGTGAGTTTGGGCCCTTGGGTCCTGGACGATCGGGTGCTCCCGAGTGGTTCGTCACGGGTTTCCATGGAAGCATTAGCAAGGCCATTGTAGCCGCCTGAGCCCTGAGGCCAGTGAAGACGAAGATGAGGGTGAAGGTGATCCAAGGAATTATCCATCATCACCATCATCATCCTGGATATTGGATAGTGCTATCAGTCTCCCTGATCTCACCTTCGGGATTCCGGGAATTGCCCTTCGCCACTACTGCATGTTCCAAGTGAAAATCCCGACATGAATCTGGCGTTCTATCTCCATCTTAACACACAGTCCAATAGCAACATTCTAGCTGTATCCATGCTCCTGATTCATTTGTTAATTAATATGCCATTTGGTTGTCCCTCGAGGTCATGTTTACCCTCGAGACATTTATCACTTCCCCTTGCGATGTGCATCCCTTACCTTGGTTTGACCAAAGTTAATTTGATCTCTGCGGAGTTCGCTTGCTGTGATATCTAAACTGATAGCTCGAACTAGCCTTTTGTGTGCCATTCATTATTTGGGACGGCGTATCGCACTAATTAAGACCCAGTGGTCCGGTTGCTGGCAAGCCCCTTGTAAGTTCCACCTCAGGAATACTAGTGGAAGGAGATCGACAAAACATCCTGAGCGCAAATACGATTGTCAGTCTGGCCGCCTGTCCTTATTGCTTCTCATAGGTCGGTTGGCCATCCAGGTCTTGTAATGTTTGGCGGGATGTGTAAAAACCTTCTCTCCTCTTGACGGACACATGTTTTTGAAAGGCACGAGTCGAATCAATGAATTCTTAGCTATTTTCAGCTGCCCGCCCGGGATGCTCCGCAGTTAGCCGTCAATTAGCCAGTCAGCCTTTTTATCCAGAACATCACAAAGCTAAGAGGTGGGGGAGGAAAAATCCTTGAATGGAAAGAGATGACCGGTTTTGTTCCTTTTCCTTTGTTTTGTTTTGTTTTCTTTTTCTTTCTGGGGCTACTCCTGTATGTCTGGCGTTGAGTTTCTGACAGCCGCTTTTACCATATGTAGGCATGAACCAGGCTCAAGGCTGGGCTCAGTGGGCTGGGCTGAATCTGACGAGAGAACCACGCGGGTTTTCTGCCAAAAATTGGAATACGAGTGTCGAGTCCCACAGCCGTCACAGTTAGTCTGCTTTGTAATCTGTCTTGTAGGTTGTTCGATGTCAAGGATAGCAAAAGAATGTGTCCTCTAGCCTGACCAGCCAACCACCTCTCATTTCGATCCCCACTCGAGGGGTGGGCTTGACGTATCCATCGCCAAATTAGAAAAAGGCCCGCAGGTCACTTCTTTTCCACCCATGAGTTACAAGAGACAGGAGTAACCTGCTGTACCTACTGCCTAGCCTCCGTCAAGGGTGTTACCGCATGAGCATTTTTCAGCCGACGAACGAACGACGCATGTCGTAAACCCCATAGCGCCCGAGGTCCATCAACATTCAAGTGCTGAGATACTAGGTCCTGATTCGTAGTCAAGCCTTTTGGGGCCGCCTCAAGTGCTACATATCTCCTGCATGTTTATCACTTTTGACTTTGGTCAACAGCGTATATACGAGCCGTTGTCTCGCCGCGAAACGTCTTTATCTTCTTGTTTTCACGTCGTCCGCTGTTGAGTTTCTTTCCAAGCTCTCCTACTGAAGTGACAAGTCTGCAGAGTTTATGCTAGTTGCTGTGCTTGATAAAGGAAAGACAAAAACACAAAATGGAACATGCAGTCATGGGACCGGCTCCTGTGCCGAAGCAGTTCGTGTTGTGTTTTGACGGTACTGGCAACAAATTTGCGGGAGATGAATCGGACAGCAATGTGCTCAAGATCTTTCGGGTAAGTTCGATATTCTCCCCGTCGTCAAAAAGTTGAATCACGGCGACAAGGTTGGTTGCATCGAGTGCTAACGTATATGCAACACTCTTAAAGATGCTAGATCGCAGTAAAAGCCACCAGTTCCACTACTACCAGCCGGGTATTGGAACCTACGTGACCTCAAAAGGGTTTTCCAACACTGGCCGATTCCATCGGATCAGGTCTGCCTATCTGAAGGCCAAGGACTCCGCCATCGGTTCCTCGTTCGATGAGCATGTCATGGGTGGATATAAGTTCCTGATGCGATATTACACCCCTGGCGATGAAATTTATTTTATTGGATTTAGTCGAGGTTCCTATATTGCGCGCTTCTTGGCCGAAATGCTCGACTTTATCGGCTTACTCGAGGCCGGAAACGAGGAGCTTACTCGGTTCGCCTGGAAGACCTTCGCCAAATGGCAGCAACGCCGGGGCGACACGCCAGAGGAAGTTGAAGAGAAGAGGAAGATCTTCAAATATATGAAGGCATTCCGTGAAACCTTCAGTCGTCCAGTCACTCGTATCAGGTTCATGGGTCTTTTCGATACTGTCAACAGTGTACCACGGTTCGAGTCTGCTTGGATGCAGAGAAGCAAATTCCCGTATACTGCTCGCAGTTCCGCAAGGGTCATTCGACACGCCGTTGGAATCGATGAGCGCCGGGCCAAATTCCGGCAAGATCTGATCTCGGGGGCAAGACCCTGGGTCGATAAAAAGCCAAAGAAGCATGATCTTTGGCCGCTTCATCTGCACGATCTGCAGCATCATCTTCACCTCGGAGGAGAAAAGCCCGAGGAAGTGCCTTCCATCGTTGTGAACGACGGTACCAGTGGGCAGAATAACACGAACAATACCGCACCAGAACAGGGCCAGGGAGATGCCGAGTCGTTTTACCGCGTTTCACACAGATTGCATCATGAAAACAATCGATACCGCGCACCTTCACCCTCCAAGAGTCGGAAACCCAGTTTGGCTGTCCCACTTCCGACTGCATCCACCGAGGATTTAACCTCTATTAAAAGTGGACATTCGGGGATCTCCCTTCAAATCCCTGGTGCAGCCAGTGATGAGGACGATGATGACGAAGTTGGCCAAGACGTCCAAGAGGTGTGGTTCCCCGGCTGCCATGCTGACATTGGTGGCGGTTGGGGGCTCAGTAAAGACGAAGATTGGTCACTCAGCCACGCGCCTTTGGTCTGGATGGTGCAGGAAGCGCAGCGTGCAGGCCTTCAATTCGACACTGAAAAGCTTAAGCAGTTCGAGTGTTGCGAAGAATTCGATGGCCAGTACTCCCCCGTTCGGGGAAGATTCTTCCATAACCGTCATGCCCACAGGTCAACTCATCACCACGATCATCTCAGCCCCGAACAGGCAAACACTGAGCGGGAGGCCTTTGACCTGGCTTTCAATGGTGGGGACGAAAAACAGCAGTCTCCTTCGAGTTACAACTACCATAAAGCCCTTGAACTTGCCAGCACCAAGGGATTGATACATGACTGTCTGTCGTTCAACAATGGCTTGCCGCCTTTGTCCGTGATTACATGGCGGTTGATGGAGTATCTTCCGTTCCGTCGAATGGACCTGCAGTCAGATGGGTCCTGGAAGCCAATCAGATGGCCGCTTCCGTGTGGCGAAGTGCGTGATATCCCCGCTGATGCTCAAATTCATGTCTCTGCCATTCGCCGTATGGAGGCCGATCAAAATTACCGCCCAGGTAATCTGATTGTCGGAGGAGGTGGACGAGGTATCAGGGTCGCCCCTCCGGAGTATGGAATTGGAGAATGGACAATCAAGGCTCACCCAGGAGATCCTGTGAAGCAGGTTTATGTGCGAACTCACCCGCCAAATTTGTGCAAGGATGATGACCACCAGTAACAATGTCATTGAGATGGTGGAATGCCAGTGCCCTTGTCAATAAAGTTGTGGATGGACCTCACACCTCTGGCTTTCTTTGGTTTCTTTTTCATTTCTTTTTCATATATTTCCTTTGTTTCTCTCTTGGGAAGGACTTGTCGCTTTACCCACGCCTCTCTTTGATCAAAAATAATACTGATGTAATAATGCGTCTCTCAGTTAATAGTTATTGATGAATGTGATACCTATGTTGATTTTGCAAACTGTTAGTTGCTAGAGGACAAGCCATGTCGGCAAGACTTAAAGTTTTGGGTAACGTACCTCGATACCTACGTCTGCCAGTCGAGACGTGTTCCTGGGTAATGGAAAACGCCTCCCCGTTGATGCAGCTGCATGTCAAGGATGCGACAAGAAAAGCCACTCTTTTCTCATCATTGTCGTGATGGAGAGGTTGATGGAACGAAGGTTGCGTGAGACGAGCAGGAAGAAATCCGGATCTTGCACGTGCGTAGGGCTTTGTCGAATTAGGAAAGACCACCACACCAGGGTCTCGGGCCACACTCTTTTTGCCTGAGGCTCATGCTTGAAATCAGTCTGATCAGCTACTTGGTGTGGATTGTTATCTGCGCTCATTTACCCGATATCCAACTTTCCTGGAACGCTCGTTAGGCCGATTTGAGTTTTATGTATTGGGGAATATTGTGAACATGTGGATCTCATTTGACTAGGAACTAGGATGAACAAATGAACAAAAGATATAGCATAGAATTGCCAGTCAGGGGAATCCCCAGGAAATCCCATAAGGCAATTGCTTAATACGCAGGCAAGGAGCTAAACCAGGACTTATAGAGCGCAACCTTAGCATGCGAAGCCACAGGAATACTACTCCATCCATTACCAACATGCTGTACAAGTTCATCCGAAGTCGCGGCGGGCCATTCAGGAAGGTTGTCTCCATTAGGGTTACCATGCTTGATGAAGTTGACCCAGTACCCGTTCATCTTGGCTGCAATGGCATAGTCCTCCTCAGTCCATGGCAAGTCCGTACCGTAGAGATTATTCAGGACATAGTTGATCTCGGACTCGTGGTAGGCACCCTGGTCTTGTCCTGGAGGCGCATGGTCCCAGATGTAAGTGTAGACAGGGCTTTCTGCGGTAGTGGCCCAGAGCTCTGCCCAGAGCCAGGTGCCAACCTTGGACCGATCAGTAAACTGAGAGTTGTAAGCACCCGATGCGCGCGTCGAGTTGCTGGCCGAGTACAGGGCAAGGAATTCGGTCGACCAGTTGCCACTATAGGTTTCCTTCAGGTCTTCATGGTATTCTGAAACAGAGATGTTCAGACCGTAGCTAGCACCACTCTCGTCCTTAGTATTACCGGTGATAATTGGCACGTCATTGGCAGCACCCTTGATCAAGGTGTTGTAGTAGGTATCAGGCATGGCATAATAATCGAGAGTTGCGGTGAAGCTCCACTCGCTAGAGCTTCCAAAGGTTTGAAGGGACTCGATAAGGTCGTCCATTGGGAGCTGACGCATCTCTGCAATGGTGCTCACATTTTTGCTGGCAGTGTAATTGAGTCCCTGCGAGACTGCATTCTCGAGCGTATTGTAGCCCTCTGCCAGACTGGTGCAGAGGGGATCATGGGGGTCGCGAACACCACTCTCAATGATGGCCCCCGCAATAAGGCCCTTGGTTAGCGGGCTGTTGAGCATGTGCTGGGTTGCTGCTGAACCGGCTGATTGACCCATAACTGTGATGCTGTCCGGATCGCCCCCGAACGCGGCGATGTTTGCATGAACCCACTTCAAGGCAGCGAACTGATCAAGCATGCCCCAATTTCCGGAGCTGTTGGAACCAGTCACTGCAGCAAATTCTTCATTCAGTTCGGGGTGTGCCAGCCAGTCAAGTGAGCCAGTGCGGTAATTGTAATTGACGTAGACAACGCCTTTATCTGCCATGCCACCGCCATCAAATAAAGCGTCCGCGGCAGTCGACATGGCAGGATAGCTCCACAGAACAACAGGGAGATTGGCATCAGTTGAGTTTGCTGCGCTCCAGATGTTCAGATTCAGGCTGTCCTCGTCAATGGTGTACCCGTTACCACCACTGGTGGCGGAGGGACAGATATTGCCAAAAGACTTGGCGTCAAGGGTAGTATTCCATGGGCTTGCTGGCTAGGGAGCTTTCCAGCGGTTTTGCCCTCCAGTATTTGCAGCGAAGGGGATGCCCTTCCAGACGGTAATGTCCCTCCAGTTGGTCAGGTTTCCTCTGGGGGCGCTGTTGAAGGCTGGATAGCCCTGGATCTTGCCGTAATTGGTCTCAATCACTATATCGTATAGTGCAGCAGCGGTAAAGGGAACGAAACCCAAGAAGAACGCCGCGGCCAGCCGGGTCGATCGGGTCGAGCGCATGTTTGTTAATGCCGTGGTCCAGTTAGATGTATGAAGAACAAAGTCTCCTGGGAGGGAAAACAAATCATTTTTAAACCCCGTCTTCCATGAGTTAAAATGCCTCAAAGACTCGTCACGGTTTGGTGTAGAAGATCCTCAAGTCCGAGAGGCATGTACGCCAACTCATGGATCGGGACATATTCAAGCACCGATTCGATTTGAAATGCATCACACAGTGATTGATACCGGGTGGAAGGTCGGAGACAAGGGGATCGACTCGGTCTCATTGACTCTTTACAGCTGACGATTTCTGGTGTGACGTCTTATGCCGGGTGCATGTGTTGAATTCGGAGATCACAGCGATTCGGTTTTTAGGGCCTATCCAGGTTAGATCAGATCATTGTGAAGAGAGCGGGTATTACATGTAGTCTGCAGGATGATGTACAATCTTTGTGATAGAGCAGACACCTTGAAGGCCCTGTAGTCGTCTGCTCTCTGCTGGATAGGAACTGACTTGGATGAAAGCTTGTGGAGGATTTCCTGGTCACTGCATACTGCATGGTGGGAGAAAGTCACATGGCGTACCAATTGGGAAAGGCGTCAGTCTCTCTGGATTTGCAGTCAGTCTTCAGTTGCCCTCAGAAATCATGATTCAGGCTCAGAATCCCTCGTTTTCTCTGCTCAGTGACTGGTGACATCCAGAATGATTCGATTCAACCGGTCGCTGAACGTGCGGACTGCGGAGTCAAGGCTATCCAACATCAGGCGCTGGGCGCAAAGGGAACTATCTAAAATCGTTACAAACTATGGGAAAACTATGAGAATTGGGCATCAAGAAAAGAAGAGGATACGATGGATGACCATCATCGATGATGCGTAGAATGACTGAATATCGAGTAGTCTAGGGAATGAGGCTGGTTGGTTTCGTCGAGGACACCGGCTATGATGGCTATATCCAAGGCTGACCAGAGACAGGGGAATAGCCTCAAGCCTTCAATTTCCAGCAGCAGACCCCATGTCCCGCATAAACCAATAACACCACCGATCATTTTAGAGACAAGCCCAATATAGACCATCTGGATGCGATTGGCGCTGCTCCCTGTCGGTGGGAATGCAAAGAGTCGAATCGTGGCCCTCCGCCTGTCGGTTTTCTCCGGTTTCACGATGTACTCCTTTTTTTTTATTTTTATTCTTCAATAATGGCTGTTCTATATTCGCCTCGCCTTCTGCTCGTTTGCTCTCCTTTCCCCTCCTTTTTCTCCTCCTCGAGCTCTCCATCTTCTCCATCTTCAATTCCCTCAACCCTGGCTTTTCCGCTCCCGACCCTCGGTCTGTTTCGCCAACCTAACCCCGTTCGCTGCTGGTCTGCGCTTCTTCTCATCTTTGACCTCACCACTTTTTCTTCTTCTCTTCCATCTTCCATTTTCTTCCGACTTATCCGTTCTTCATCCAGTGTCACTCTGACTGTGCGGATTTTTCATCCTCGAGATCTGAGCTCCTGCTCTCCACAAAACTCTCATTTTGCCTGTCCCTTTCGAGTCCGGACTTTGGTCGAACCCCCCAGCTTGTCCCATCTTTCCCCCCTCCGTCCGAAACTCCTCAAGCATGCGGTCCGATCTAGCTCGATAAATTGGGAAGAGAATTCTGCAAAGGCAGATAGAAAAGAAAAACACAAAAATCACATAAAAAAACAACAACTATGGAAGCGTCGCAACTCCCTCCGGAGAGGATCATGCTTCCTCCCAGCCCAGCCGAATCCGTCGAGTCGGTCGACTCAACAGCGACTGCAACGGAAAGAGAAAGAGGGAAGGCAGAACGCGCCGAGGACGTCATGATAACCTTATCTGTTACCCCCGAACGACCAGCTCCATCGCGAACCACTCGTCCTCCGTTTCCTCGGTCACATTTTCGATCTCGATCGCTGGCTGAAGTTCCGGGTGTACCCCCCATGATGCGCGCTCACTCCTCCCCGGGGTTGGACTCCCGGGGACGATATATATTCGTCAACGGCCATGGAATGCCCACCAACCTGCCTGATACTCCTTCCAAACGCTTCGTGCCTTTGCAGGTCGCAACCGCAGAGAACTTCCAGGACAGGATGGGATCGCTGAACATCTCGTCGGAGACCATTTCCGAACACGCCGTGCTCGATACTCCAATGAGATCACCTTCGTACCAGGGGGAATCGCACGCCACCTCGCCGGTGATGGTTCCGCATCACACTTTCCCCCGTATGGGCCGTCGGCGACCCACGTCTCCCCTCAATTTCCACACCATGAATGGGAATAATCAGCCTGTCAGCAGCCCTCCATCTGGGCATTCTTCGCCAATGATGATTGGCACGAAATACAACGAGTCCTTCCCAGGTTATTCGGCATCTTCCAACTCATCCATGCCTTCGACGCCAACGAGTCTCCGGTCTCGAAGCCCGAGTATCTCCTCGTTAGAAACAATTCCCGATATCCCCGATGCAGAAGCCGCGGCCACAGAGGCGGATCAGATCGCAGCATTGAAGATGGCAGCCGATAAAGCAGATGAAGCAGAATCGGCCAACAACAGTGGAACCAGGCGACGTGGGACGTCAGACGCCTCGGGGCCTTCTGCCTTCCCAACCATGCGGGCTGGATCGGGAGGATACGCTGCTCGAGCCGATAAGAGAAAACGTTGGAGTGTCTGCGGAGCAGAACGTCGCCAGGATTTGGACTTGGAAACTATCTGGGAAGATTAAAATGTACCGACTGTATCCAACTCGAAATTGATATCCTACTCAAAGGGAGAAAGGGCCATACTCCCAAAATATCGGACTCGGCAACATACCCAGATCGCTTGATCACTTTTCATCAACCGAAGTGCCATGAGGTCAACAGATGCTCTTTACCAACCAGGCGGGAGAGCTTGATATAACCGCACACAACGCCAGCCTTCTTGCTCGCTTTTGATGCTGGAGGATTGGTCAATCTTGTGGAGCTATAATCCCAATCATCAATTCATGCACACTACTTCACGGGATTCCTGGAGCTCAGAACTGCGAGACTTGCTCCTTCAACAAGTGTCTTGCCTATCACCATGGAGCCAAATACACTGTACCATATGCTTGATTTGAGCTGCGCAAAGTTGACTTTCTACCCTTTGGTCTGGCGCTCGACTCAGAAATTTGCAGATACCCCTTACTGTCCTTTACTTGTATTACCTGTCACTGTTGCTCTGTTTTTCCAATTGTCAAATCCATTTTAACTGCGGAGTTTTCGGGGTCGCGCAGGTTCGTCGATGGCGCTCTGTCATTCATGCGTTGGTTTCATGTGTGATGCAGCCTGCTGTATAACCACTGTACTTGAATTTTCCCATTCCTGCTTCATCATTTTATCCTCTGATTCGCTGTGATATTTTTGAAGAGCATTCGTTTTGTTATTAGTTCTAGGGCTGGCCCTTGATTGTGTTTGGCTTAGAATGGCTCTCGTGTGTTTTTGCTCCATGATTATCTGTGTAAATATTATGTGTCTCTATCACAATGATACATATTACTTGAACTTCGGTGTTCGAGTTTCTATAAACAGGTGTAGTTAAACTTCATTGTTTAATGTTGTCAGTGCCATTCCCCACCCCTTTTGATACAGTATGTCCATCACATCTATAAATCAAGCAGTCTCTAACCCATAAACCCCCAAAACCTGCCTCGCAGCACGCTCACCACTCACATACGCCCCAGTCGTCGTGCCCAACGCCACGAACGGCGCCGTGTGCTCTCCAGCAAACCACACCGCTCGCTCCGCCTGTCCAACATGGAGAACCTCAACATCCTTATCACCCTCCTCAAGACCGACCTGGAAGTTACTGTACGAGCCGTGGCCCGCGTACGGGTCATTCTGCCACTGTGTAGCTAGGAAGGCTCGCGGTTTGCAATCCGACGAAGTGGGAGAGTAACCGTGTAAGCGGGAGTAGAAGGGGTGGAAGATGGAGTTTAGGGTGTTGTAGTATTCATCAGAGGAAGTGGGGAGATTAGAGATCTTTGAAACGATGTGCGAGGCGCATGGGCCGTTGATGTAGAATAGTAGAGTTGGGTGAGCGTGAGGAGCAGGGAAGTTGGCGAGGGAGAAACAGTCCTGATTCCATGTGATATCCTGAGGATGTTGGTCGTAGGATGGGTTGAGGAAATGGGCGAAAGAAGGGTTCGTGGTCGGGGTGTGCCAGAATGCTCGTGGGAATGTTATATAGACCTTTTCGAGCCGGCCGTATGATAGACTGTTGATGGCTTGGGAGAGGCGCGGGGGAAGGGCTGGGTTGAATGCGGATTGATTTCGTTTGAGCCAGCCCAGAGGGCAGGTTACAACTACTTCGTCGAAGGTATGGCTTTCTCCGGCTGCGGTGGTTAGTGTGATTGAGTGACGCTCGTGTGAGTTATTGCGGGGGGTTGATTCGATTTTGACAACTGGTTGGTTGAGACGGATATCAGCTCGTTGACGTGCTGCTGTTGAGATATTATCGAGGATTTTCTTATACGTGGATGCCACGAAGAAATTACCTGCAATGGCTTATCAGCAAATGACGTTAAATTCAATAAATGAAGAGAAAGCGTACTTCCATCCACGCATTGTTCCAGGTGAAAGAATCTCAAACTCTGCCTATCAACCGGATCTCCCACGTACGATGCCCATATATTGCTGATTCCGATACATGCACTCTTTTCCTCGGGGGTGAAACCTGTCTTTTCCAGCTTCTCCCTCAAAAAGTCAAGCAAGCTCCGATCTGCTGGGATAGAGTCCTGATTCTTTTTGCTATACGCGAAGCCCTCCTCTACAGTCGTCCACATAAACTCGGAAGCCTTGATGGCAGTTTTTTGATCGAGTGGCGTTCCATCTGGCGAGAATATCACTTGTTCTTCTTCGAATTCAGCCAGTGTCGCGTTTACTGATTCAGCGATGGTGTTGATCGGGTTGTCTTCAGTGCCGTGTATCCAATTTGGGCCACTTTAGAGATCAGTTTAATGAAAGACAAGAGACAAGAGAGAGAATTACAGGTCTATCGAGTGACCTCCAACCTGAGTCTGAGAAACCTTCTCGGTGTTAATTTATTTGCCATCGAATATGGTGGTATTTGTTAACACACCCTTCCTCCAATTCGGTCTCTAGCCTCAAGAATAGTCACTCGAGCACCCTTTTGTGTCAGAATGTCTGCACATCTCAGTCCCGAAAGACCAGCTCCGATGATAGCCACATGAGGGGGTTTAGCCATGGTGGTGATGGCTTTTTGATAGCCAGGCCACCGAGATCGAGAAATGTGGGTTTCAGCTATTGGGGGTTGACGGGTCTTATGATCGGATTGTTAGCTTAGTTCCTATTCCAAGGCAATTGTGCTTAATGTTTTTTTTTTCTTTTTTCTTTTTTCTTTTTTCTTTTTTATTTTTTATTTTTTATTTTTTCTTTTTTCTCCAATTTGTACGGAAGATCGTAGCTAGCAGATATCTGCAAGATACAGCTATTCCCGCTGATAATAGTAGATGCATCCTCGTCAAACGGCATTGCGGGCTTATCGGCGGAGCATTACGGAGTACTTACCCTGAAAATAAGATTCCTGCATCCCAAGGAACGAAGAATCGACGAAGAATTGCACATTCAGATGCAAACGCTGTGGTTGATGGGAAGGAAGAACCTGGGATGAAGCCAAAGAAATCACCTGCCAGGCGCACAGACCACGTGCGTCGCTCTCCTCCAGGGATGCTCGATTCGATCTTCTTTATTCCATCTTCTTGATGTCCTCCGACCGGGGAAAAAGATTGTTTGACAGTCATTTATTGATATTCATTGCTGAATTATTCTGAAAAATTACATCTGGATATCTATACAGCCCGACTCGATACAGGCAGGCTTCATCATCAATGATAGACAGTGGTCAAGAGCTGGACCAAACAGAGGGGGAATGACAGTTGAATCGTTACAAGATGAGCATCACTCACACATCATACATGCAATTGCCGCTTGCTAGCTTGCAGCTTCCAAACATTTGAACAAGGGAATAAAAAAGAAGAAGAAAAAAGTGACAAAGGGAATGGGACAAAGGAAATGTCGTATCGAAGAGATAGGGGGTTGAAGACCTCCTATTTCCATGCACCTTGGCTCAGTGATAATAAGCCTTGGATGCAATCGAGGTCTTCCTCTTGACTGGCACCGTTTCCACCAGCCATGAATGCAGAAATATCAGCTCCCAGCTCCGGCATGGACTTGCCACCGGCTTTGTGCTGTGACCCCTGCGTTAGGCGGGATCGTCTGCCTGCAGTTGTGAGATTTTTATTGGCTCGGCCTTCTCTGCCATTGGCTTCTTTAAGCACCGGTCGTTGAGTATTATGAGAAGCAGCCCGTCGACGGACATGGGAGGTTCTGGTTCCCGGAATCCAGTTCTCCTTGTCGGAATCGCCAAGTTGCAGCTCCAAGTCCTCATCGTCTTTTTTGCTACTTGAAAATAACTTGGAGCTTTTCTGCGAGGGAGTCTTGTCGTTCAAGGCCCCTCGGCTCTCGAGCCGACCCAGCGACGAAACGGTGCGCGAGATCTTTCGTCTCTTTTCCCCTGCTTGTTGAGGCACCGGTGTGTTCAATAGATCCGGATTTCTAGATGCCAGGGCATTTTGTCTCGCTGACAAGCTTCGAGTCAAAGAACGCTGGCCCCGAGAGCGGAAAAGTCCAGGGGAATCCATGTGGGGTGCACTTTGGGCACTAGTTGGTGTCGACAAGGCGCTTCTTGCATCGGTGTCGAAGAAAGACTCCCAGTTACGGGGGTCGCGTGATCTTCCGAAAGTCCTCTCCTTCTCCGGCATACCAGCCCGCGGTGTTGCAAGGACGACCGCACTGTTGCTCCTTCGGAGCCCTGCAAATCGGGACTTTCGAGTCGAAAACATGGAAATGCGGTTTTTGGACGGGGAAGGCTCATCATCAGCACGGATGACTGCTTTTCCGTCCGAGGACATGGCAATCCTGAGGGAATTCCGTCCTTTGGGGGGAGACGGTGTCATTTCGTCCTCCTTCCGTACCATCGCTTCCCCGTCGAAGGACAGCGACAGTCGTAACGATGGCGGTGATCTTATGTTCTGTAGCTGACCTGCTCCCGATGGCAGCTGTGCATCCGAGCCATCACCACGCAGATCCGTAACAGATCGCTTCCTCTTGGCCGAGTTCGGGTGCGATTCTTCGGTTTGTACTTGACTGGGGTTCTGAGCTGGATCGGACTCTGTGGGTATTTCGTTCGAGGGTTGTGATTGCTGGAGTTTGTTGTCGGAAGACGCAGACTCCACACTTGTTTGAGAGCTCGGGAGAATCTGCTCAGGCTCGTCCTTGTCTCCAGCAACGACGTCCGACTCAAAAGATGACTGCACTCCTTCCTCCGGCAACCGTGCCGCAAGATCCTTGCCCTGGTCATGATCATCAAGTTCCGCCCCGCTAGAAGAGCCCGGCTCTGCAGAAATATCGTCGCTGGCGGGTTGTCTTAACGGATCGGAATCGCCAGATCGGGGAGCGAGAAGTTCGTGAGGTTGAAGAGGTTTAGATTTCCGGCGATCATTTTGACGACGATTTTGAAACCAGATCTAAAGAAATGCATGGTTAAGATGAAAGATTCGCGGTGGTTGCATTATGATCCCACGTACCTGCACTTCCTTTTCGCCCAGAGAGACGCGACTGACTATACTAGCGCGGGCCGCCTTGTCGGGTTTGGGGTGACGTTGATATTCAGCCTCGAGGATTGCATGGTCTTCGGGACTATATCACAAGATTGATCAGTATATAAGAGGGTAGATGGGGTGGTCATAGAGCAGTGGGGCCATACCTAGTTCGACGACGTTTCTGACGGGCGAGCAATTTGTTATCGACGCGCGGGGGAAGGTTCTGGGTGAGGGTCTTTTGAGAATGGACGAGAAAGGCGTAATTGAGAGCAGCAGCAGCAGACTCGGATGCCTGAACTGATGGCGGAGAGGAAGAGGGTGCCGCAACAGAAGGCTCCGGGTCAGACATGGCGGAGTCAAGATCGGATCATTAAGACGATAGAGTAGACTCGAAGGGTAGTAGTGAGTGGAATACTCTATCAGAAACAGACAGCAGACAGAAAGAAGAAAGAAAGAAAGAAAGAACGAGACCCTTGCTGGAGACCCTTGCCTAGGAAAGGGAGAAGAAAGATCTAGAGAAGAGAAAAAGGTCGAGATGTCGTGCTGTCTTGAAATTAAAAAAAAAAGCGTAGTATCTCGACTAATCGCGTCGTCGCGATGTGGACGCGGACAGCGCACCGTGCATTGGAGGCGTTCCGAACCCACTCGCTCCACGAGGGATCACCATTACGACTTGACTGGGTGATTTCTATTCAGATTGATGAATTATGAATCTACGGAGTATCTTGTGCTTTAACTATATGGTTACTTTGTCAGTTAATGAATTGACTGGTTAGAACTACTACTACTACTACTGGCGTGGCAGTACTACTACAGCCAGTAATCGATCAAAGAGGATAAAGAGCATTAAATCAGATGACAGTTCAACTGTAAACAGTCAGTGCCTGTCAAATAATACTCCTAAATCTACAATCATCGCATCTGATATTATTCCCTCAACGCAAGGGATTTCTCTAACATACTGCATGGTATTTTCTGTCTTACAATCTTTACAATTTCAGAACGTCGCGTGGAGACGCGCCGAACGCGATGTCACGTGGGAGGGGCTGTATAGTACAGTATTCAATGCAACATTCCAACAGATAGAGACAGGATCAATTATCCAGTAATAAAATTTTATATCGATCAGATGAGGAATGTTGCTATTCATAGTGAGATGATATTCTAACAGATGACAGTCCATGTGCCTCATTATGGCATCCAGATCACTCCACAAGGTTGGCACATTCTCGATTCTCAGGAATGCATCAATTATCAGTATCTAATTCGCTTTTTGATAGAATATCCAGATGAGATTATCAATTCATAGTAAAATTATAATAAAATTATTTATGTTTAAATTGCCATGCTGATTCTTGGCTAAATATATTAAGCGGACAAATTCCCACGTATAAACGCTGTTCAGGCTGACTCCATCCCCAATCCTCCTGCTCAAAGCAATCATCTCCCTCGTCTTCTCTTCCTCTCTTCTTCTCTCTCCTCCAATCGCCATTTTCTTCCTCTCCTTCAGATTTAATCCATCACGCCTCAAATACACCCTGTCAGACGCGGACTGTCTAGCGGGACGATCGCTGGCCAACCCCGGATTCCGTACCGTCTGAGAAACTCTCTCCTACCCCCACTTCATCTTCCTCTTCGTCAACCGGTATCAGCCTTCAAAACCAGGATCTCTTCATGGCGTCCAACCGTCCTACCTGGAGAAAAAGCCTCTTTTTGTCGCTCTGTGTATATATACAGACAATGCCTTCTTCTTGTGGTTCCTCTGCATGTACAGGGCTCCCGAGCTGATCCTCAAGCCATCTCCCGCCTTCAAGTCATTCAAGATGGGCCGCTTTTTCACTGTTTCTCTTGCCATCTTTGCGGCGACAGGGTCGTTTCTCTTTGGGTACGACTCGGGCGTCATGACCGATGTGATTGAATCCAAGAATTTCCTGGTTTTCTTCAATACTACTCAAACATCCAGTCTTATCGGAGCTATCAATAGCACTTTCTCTGGAGGAGGTATGTCCTTTCATATTAATATCCAATTTGCATGGCATCTAACAGATAGTCTTCTAGCGGCAATTGGTTCTCTTCAAGGAGGTCTGACAATGGATCGTTTCGGGCGCAAGTTCACTATCCAGATGGGCGCTCTCATCTGCCTCGTTGGTGCAATCCTCCAGTCGGCTGCTCAAAACCTAGCAATGATACTTGTCGGTCGTATTCTGGCCGGCTGGGCAGTTGGTCTCATGTCCATGTCCGTCCCTGTGTATCAAGCCGAGGTTGCCCATCCTCGTTCTCGTGGGTTGATTATCGGATTGGCTCAGCAGATGATTGGTGTGGGGTTTATCGTGAGCACGTATGCTGCATTGTCCTCATACTGCAGAAGCACACTGACAGTAGACAGATGGGTAGGATACGGGTCTCTCCATGCGCCAGATACGAGCCAATTCCAGTGGCGGTTTCCGCTAGCCTTCCAGGTAGTTCCAGCATTAATCCTCGCCGTGGGCATGTTTTTCATGCCCGAATCTCCTCGATATCTCATCGAAAAAGAACGCTATGATGTAGCTATGAAAGTATTGAGGAAGCTCCATTTCGATGGCACCAATGAAGACTGGATCCAGACCGAGTACAACGAGATAAAAACGACCATCGAAGCCGAAAAGGCTGCCACTGCTCCTGGATGGGCCGTCATGTTCAAAGTTCCCCAATTTCGGACGAGATTGCTGTATGCCTTCCTGTTCCGTTCCACTCATTTCCACTGACAACTGACGTATATAGTCATGGTGTTGCTGTACAGGTCTTTACCCAAATGACCGGCGTCAACGTAATTGGATACTACCAGACCATCATGTACAACGCACTCGGGATTACTGGTAGCCGCAATACCCTCGTGGCTGGTATTTATAATTGCATTGGCCCGATCACGAACTTCGTTTTCATCGTCTTTCTGCTGGACAGAGTAGGGCGACGCAAACCCATGATATTCGGCACTATTGCCATTTCCATCGCGCTAATCTGTGAGGCGGCGCTATTCTCACAGAACTTGGATGGTCAGAGAAAGGGATATAGCGTCGGTGGAGTTTTCTTCATCTTCTGCATCACAGTCATCTTCTCATTGTCTTTCGGCCCATGCAGCTGGTATGTGTGCATTACCCCTCTCCTCCAGTGTTGACCTGACACGCTTTACTCTTCAGGGTGTACATGGCGGAAGTCATGCCAATGCAGATTCGAGGAAAGGGAAACGCCTTCGCAACCGGGGTCGGGAACTGGGCCGTCAGCACGCTCTGGAACCAAGTATCGCCCATCGCTCTCGGTCAGATAAAATGGAAATACTATTTCATCTTCATTGCTTGGAGTAGGCCAATGTCATCAAAAAAGGAAAGAAGGAAAGCTAACCATTCACCCAGACCTATGCGTTTCTCTCCCAGTCATCTACTTCTTCTTCCAAGAAACCAACCAAAAATCCCTCGAGGAAATTGACCTGCTCTTTGGAGGACGAGCCTTAGGTACAGTCGCAGAAGAGACAGAAGGGATGGAGATGAAGACCAGCCTTGATAAAGAGGAGGAAACAGGGATTTCGGTTGCAAATGTGGAACATAGCAAAGTTTGATCTAAGATCTAAGCCCAAGTGATATGCAATGATATATGAATGAATGATTTAGTGGTTTATTCCTTTGACTTTGACGTGTCAGAACACCGTGGTCGAGACCCGAGAGGACTATTCATAGCAAGGTTATCCAACTTCAGCCTAGCATGCTCCATTAAAGTGGGATACGAGTATTTCTCCAGATCTGTAATCCAAGCTTCGAAGATCATCTCCTTAGAACGAGAAGACAAGGTAGGCAGAGTCCAACGATGCAGGTAATGTCATATGACACCTGAGGCTATGCAAGCAGAATTTGTAGGGTGAAAGAGTTATGAGAGCTTTTGCCCTGTAAGGAGAACTGGGTGTACAAGATGAGCATCAGTGATATAGAAGCGAATACCAGCTCAATCATCGTACAAATCATCATATATAACCCTGGAAATTTGATGATCTACAGTACCATTGTCTGGCTTCTTTATATTCCTTTTCTTTCATCTTCTTCTATCCTTTTGTCGATATATCAAACAAAATACCAGATCTGATGGCAGCTGTGCCCTCATGCTCAGAAGTAATGAAGCTCGCTTAACTGGCATGCAGACAAACACAGTCTGATATTCACTTGTCAAAACACACAGTTCCTCTCTTTAGATTCCTCTCGTTCCATCCTCTTCTCCTCACCCTATTGACTCTCCACGATCCTCACTTCTCTTTCTTTCTTCCCCCATCCACACCCCACAAGTGACCCATCGACTAATCTCTGCATCTCAGCAAACATGGTTTGGAGGGAAAGTGACCACCATGATGCTGAGTATGACAGGCAAAGAGATGAAATGCCCTTCAAGACTAAATTGGCAATGTCTCTCTCTATTGTTTTGTTCGTTGTTTGTACTCCCATACCTTTGTAAGCCTCCCCTCTCTTTCGATCCCTGGATAGATGATAGCTAACTTCCCGGTAGCTATCTCTTCAAGAGATATCGCCCTAGCTGGTGTCGATGTCGCTGCTGCGAAAGAGCGGACCCGCCACCCAAAACCCAAGAGGACTGGGATCTTGAGAAACTCGATTGTTACGCTGGCGTTGGCAAGCTGAAGTGGTGGTTCGCGGTGAAGAAGAAACGCCCCGCTGGCGGAGAGTTTATCTGGTGAGTTCCAAGTTTCTCTTTCGGATCAGTCTAACAATCAGTTATCATAGTGCCTTCTGCCTCGATCCCGTTCTTGATCGTCAGCTGGTCCGCAAGATCAGATGCCGTCACGTCTTTCATAAAGAACGCCTTGAGACTTGGTATTTGAAGAAGAAGCACCAGTGTCCGACTTGTCAGAGGTATTTCATTTGGTACCGGTTTCCGTTGGATGGGTTATTCGTTTGATGGCCTTTTTTGCGATTGGATGCCTGGTGAGAGGCTTCTGCGCAATTGCTAAGAGCAATCACGGGAAATCCAACTGGTCTTGCTTTCCTCGTTTCTTTCTTCCTGTGCATCTATGATGTTTCAGATGTTCCAGATGCGTTTGTGCAACTTGCATTGTCGATGTTACGGTGATATGACACTCGGCTATCGTTGCAGTTTGCTCGTGCTGTTTCTTTGTACTTCAATCTTCAAAAGGTAAACCCATCCCTCGATGGTAGAAACTCCGAATTAAAATCCCAGTTGCTATAAGTGTACCAGTCCAAGAAATCATTAAGTCCAGAGGTAGCGTCGTTGAATAGTTCCCCCTGCATCGGCTGCGGATCAAGTATCTGATCGAGGATCTGGGATAACCTCTTTTCCACTTGCTTGCATGTGTGGTAGTTGCCATGTCCGGGACGTGCCACCCATGACAGACAGGATATGAAAATGCTCAAATTGCGAATGAGCTCTGCACGTGGTAAGGCAATGGGATGCGGTCCGAGTCCTTGGTTTTGGTGGAGGAGTTCGAGTATCAATAAGCTAGCACTAGGGAGTCCGTAGGATAGTACCTGCATAAGTTAGTTTCTTCATCATAATGACAGGTTATAAAGGGGTAGGCGTACAATCCACGCATAGTGCCTGCTCATATCCAACAGTGGATCCCTCTCAGCACTGATCTTGATTATAATTGATAAAAGCTGTCTCGACGTGTCAAACAGCGGTTCATGGCAGGTACTGGTGCGCTTGACAAGAGTACGCTGGAGGAGAAAGAAGGTATAGAGGTAATCAAGATAGACATGAAGCATCGTAAATGTTGGATAGGAAGTATCGCAGCTTTCTTTGACAAGCAAATCATACCGCAGATGCGCTGGGCACGATTCCCAGGTTGCTCGCGCTTTTTCGGTAATTTGGCTTGAGAGGTAATTTGGTTATTTCATGAATATGAATAATCATTTATGTCAAACTTACTTGTACTTTTGAATAAGATCTTCCTGGCTGTGCGTTCCCAGGGCCACATCAAGCGTTTCTTCTCGAAAGACAGCGAGTAGAAATCGAAGTCGTATAGTACTTACCCGGTGCTTATTCCCGTGGGCGTCCCATCCGTGTGCGTCAAGCTCGGCGATTGCTCGATCAAGATCATCACCGCCGGCAATTAGGACATCGTCGCTCAAGTCCAAAGGAGGCGTCGACGTGCAGTACCGGTAATTGATCAGCGGTGGTCGTCCGACAAACGTGGCAATTGATATGTCTGCGTAAAAGGCAGAGATAAAACAGGATCTCCTCCATTGACGAAGAAAAAAAGGACGATCGTCCGTCTCACTGTTCTCTTGATGAAGACCAGCAGCATATATTGTAGCTGATAAATCGCCCAGTCGCCGCCAGGCTTGGTAGCCTAGATGGATGGTGAGTAACTGATACATCTACTGAGACAATCAAACATACTGGAGTCGCCAAATTGCTGTGTCTTCAGCATGATATCGCTGTACTGACAGAATCCCAGCAATTCGTTGGCCGAGGCTGCTTGGTCACAAAACCCAAGACAGATGTCACTCGCCTCCACTAGTTGACTCAAAAGCTTTTCTTTGGGATTACTATGATCCACAGCCTGGATAAGCTCCGGGTCATTGCTTGGCGTGGCCATCAGTGCCACGCCGCAGATGGCGAATATGCTTCCCAATGCCTCCCAGCGAGAATTGTTGCCAGTAAAAGATTCGCAGTACTGTTCAACAGTCATCGATCCATGCGTTAACAATGGACGTGATGAATTCTGGAATATCAAATTGGCTAAATCCCGAAACTGCGGTTCAAGATTATCGCGAAGGTCAAAACTATCAAAAATCTTTCGAATAGAGCATAGGATACTATCCATCATGACCTGTGGAACAACAGCCAGAGATGCGCGACCATAGTACTTTCGAATTATCATGTCACAGATGGTAAAATCATAAAGTAACCGGAGCACCTCGACTCCCATTTGAACACGATATGGATCCACGGAGGGGGTGGCAACCCCATTCGTAATGCTGCCATCCATCTCGATCGGAGTATCACTGCGACGATCATGCTCAGCAAGGACAGCAGAGTAGCTGGTCGAACCCAAGTAGCCAGGCAGTGTTGACGGTGGTTCTAATGTCGCATGGAACCGGGTACCGTTCAGTGTTGATCCCGGACTTGAAGTACTAGAAAGACGTTAACTTGAGTTCAACTTCATTGTTTCGTTTGACTCAACTAGCCTTGAGCTTGGCTGATTGCCTGCTAATCTCCTTGACGTTGAACGTGGACGTCCAACAGGGTTCGCTCGTGGACCTCTCCTCGTCATAGGAGCGGGATGGTAGAAGCAACTCTCAGCGATCTTCTTCCTCGAACATCTGCCACAGACAGGCCTTTCGTGATCACATCGTAACTTTGCTTTTCGACAAGGCTCACACGACTGGAGTGTGCCATTGCGGCGAGTGGCCGGTGATTCAGTCTGTCTGGGGGGGTTGATGTCCGCCATCGTTTATCAACCATCACCAAGCCAATCGTAGATACGATTCATCAAGAATCATTCATCTTATTTCTCGACCCTAAAATATGACAGCAGAATTGTATCACAAAAGGGTTGAGATCGGCAGTCCGTGGGGCTTTGGATTTGAAAATTAGAGAAGACGGGCGGTTCGGGAATCCGCGATCGATGCTTGACCCAAATGGGTTAGTATAGAGTCCATACAATAAAATCACGATATCACGTTTCACTGGGTTAGATAAGAATGAAAATGTTGAGACTCGTATATATCAAATATGGATAGGTATACTGTTTAATACTATATACATTAATGCCATGTGCTAGGCCCAAAGGTCTCTCCTTGCTGAACTGTTCGCAATGGCGTCCCCATCCCATCTGCAGTCTGCGTCGCGATATTATTACCATACCAACTAAGATTGACTCCAGGATACGAGAGGCAAAAGAAAATAAAAAAAGTCCCAACAGCCAGTCCAGCATCCAATGCGGCAGAGAGGATGTAGTTGTATTTCATCCACCAGGCGCGATATTTGCGCTGTAGATAGCCGTTGAAGAATAGGCCAACAAGTCCCCATGCCATATAATTTGCTGCAGTTGCTGGTGGGATTGATGCTGTTGATGCAAAGATTGCAGGTAGATGAACCTGAGGGAAAAGAGGTTAGTTTGTTTCATTGTGTCTGTTCAAATGGGGTGTCAAACCTTTCTCAACATTGTCTTTGGGTAGCGTTTATCCACAAAATAGAAGATTATGGGTAGGACGGCGCCGATTAAAAAAAACCACAGCATCGGGCGATACATGGAGCCTTCGGAAAAGAGTCTTTTCGGTCCTATGAGTCCCCAAAATACGGCGTTGGTGGCATAACCTGCGGCAAGAGGGCATTGGAACTGTCGTATGGATTAGCCAAATGTCTATAGGGTCTTCATAGACGGCTCACATTGTCCTTGGCGTCTGAAGTGCAGATACCGTCGATATTACCCATGGCCCAAATATTGACCGCAGTCTGCGTTAACCAAGACACTATTATTCCAGCACATTGAGCTGCAAATGTGACACGAGGTGGGATTTTCTGCTAGTCGTTAGCAGGTCGCATATACTGTTAGGGCCTCAGAAAACAAACCATATAATGACCAATTTTCATATCTCGGATATATCCCAACCCTTGGCTAGATGAAACAAGAGTAAAGATCTTGAAAACAACATTGTTCATCATCTTTCCCGGCCAAATGTAACCCGCTATAACAGCTGATATCACAGCTGTTGATAGTTGGATATTGCAGATCGCCATCATAATACCGGTTGGCACCAGGAGCACAATATTAAGAGCAATGGCAAGAATAAATCCATACCATGGGAGTCCGGTGTCGTACACATAAAGGAACGCAATGCTGATACCGAACATACCGAGAAAAACACTTGCATACCACCACATCGGAACTTCTTTGTACTTTTGCATCAGCTAGGCATTGTCAGCAAACTATGTAAAAATGAAAGCGATGACAATCACCTTGAAGTGAATATCAGACTTTTCGGGCTTGGAAGACCTTCCGATGCTGGCTATTAAGCCATTCCAAACTACTTGGCGGTGGTAAAGAATTGTATGGACAATGATGGATATCACGGCAGCAAAGCCTAAGCCATATGAAAGTGCTGATGTGGTGGAAAGATATACTGGTGAGTAGTCGTAATAGGCAGATTCATTTAGAGAATAGTCTTTTTGCATGACACGGCTAGTATTGTATGAGTTTCCTGTAGATATATTAGTTGGAAAGTTGGTATATCTGCACGAATGCTCTGGCGTACCTGTGTTGTCAAAATTACCAGACGACGAGAAAGGCATGTACATGCCCTGCCACACATTACTCCAATGCAGGGCAGGGGCAATAATCCACAGAAACAGTATACTTCCACAGAAGACATTAACCAGTGCCCAATTTGGTACGAGAAGAGGAGATCCCAGATAGCCTGTGATCTGATTCCAGTCCAGTGTCATCGGTAATAGATCCATCCCCGAAGTCGCTCCGAAAACCTGATTGACCGTGACATTATTTGGGACAATCCACGTTATCCATGCAAATGTCGTGAGGCCGGTGAAAAGATATCCAGGAAGAAACTGATAGGCTGTAGCGCAAATTGCAACAATAGAGAAGAACCTCATGCGACCCATTTTCCAACCGTTTGCCACCTCGCCTTTGGCGTTTCCGTCGTGAAAAGTGTATAAAAGCGAGCAAGTCGGCAAAGCTCCTGGCCACACGCAAAAGGCCGGCTCAACAAGAAACCTGTGGAAGAGTCCCGCAATGCCGAAGCTCAAAGCCTGAGTTGTGAGAAGAAACATAAACCGATAACCAACGGAAATGGGTATGTCCAGAAATTTTTCAAAGCCAACATAAACGTCCGAGGCGAGAGATCCGTTGTCAAAAGCCGTCACAAGGGAAGCCATGATAGCCACGATCGAATGTTCCTTTTGGTTGAAAGGGCCGGGGTTGAGGGTAAATTGCCAGCCTAGCACTGTCCATGTTCTCTGCGGCAAGATAGTCGCCATGAATTTTCCACAAGGATATGTGATGAGGATCGCGAGATATGCGGAAAGGAAGACTGGTCTCCATTAGCAATCGCTCTGTATCTGCACCTTGACCGAAAATCTCACGAGGCGGGCTGTGGAGCTGAAAGAACTGGTTCAGGGCCGTGAGAATCATCGTTCCGATGATGCCCAAAAACCACGCGCGAAAAGTGTTGACAGGCAAATCCTCGTCCGTCGCGGGGATACTCGCTCGCACCTCTGGATAGGGACTGAAGCTCTAATCAGCATTTAATCTCGATAAAAGGGGAAAAGACAATGTGTACAGGTCATCCTCAACCTCGACGGCTTCGATTTTCGACTCGTTTCGATGCTTGAAAGGAGTCGATAATTCGATCCCATCCTCTTGTGCTGTCTTGCTTGATTCCTGCATCATGCCCTTATTATCGGCCATGGTGGTGGGAAAAACTGCAGTCGGAGGGGGGGTTTATCAGGACAGATCAAGTCAGAGTCGAAGCAAAAAAGACCATGCTGCTCAATTTTCTGTGTGACTAGCAGCATGGTAGCCTGCACGGAGTTCTTTTGTTGGCATTGCAAGCATCGAGAGTCGAGACATTCACTTGACACGTGCATGGGAGAAAAAGCCTGCTATCAGAGCCAGGGTCTTTGCCTGGCATGTTTTAAAATAGTGTGATTGATTACGTAGCACAGCATCAAAACTCCTTTTCTTTGATTGCTTTGAGAAACATTAAACGACACTACGGGGATGCTACAGTGACTACTGACTCGTTGATGCAAGGAATGCAGTCCTTCTGCCCCTTTGTGGTAATTTTTAGTGGCCGATGATCAACACGCCCCATACATTTTGCATGGAGGGACTGCCGATCGTCTCCACTGGCTTGGTTAGTATCTTCCACTTAATAAACTCAGTTCTCGTTCTCATTTTCGAGATCTCAGAAAATATCCAGGATTCATTCAAAACGATTGCTGAAACAGCCATCTTTGGTAGAGATCGAGTGCCACTTCGGGCTGGTCCAGGGGAACCTAGAATCCGATCGGTTAATTTGTCCTCGATGTTGTTGTAAATATTGACTTGACTCACCATGTGCCCAGATCGATCTACAATAACAAAGGCGAACCGTCGGTTTTCCGATCCAGAAACCGCCGGGGCAATGACTTCTTTATAGCTTCCCACTTGTGTCTTCCGGTGTCCGATAACGGAAGTCCAAGGTTTCAGGTCTTGTGAAACAAATTCGGCCTGGCCATTCCAACGAAGAGAATTCGTCCATCGCAGATTGCCTGCAGTATTGCACGCAAGATCCAAATTCCCATTGTAAATCAACACGTCAACCCCGTTTTCAAGGGTAAATCGCACTGCATCCATGACATTTGAATAAGGGTCATTCCCTGACTCGAAAGCCCCAGAGACCTCTTCAGATTCGATAGAGAAATTGGCGACTGCGCCAGGAACTTCGAGTGCTTCCCAAGTAACTGGCGTGTTGATGTAGTCTTGTATATCGAGAACGGCCTTATAGCAAAGGTGATCCACCTCACAAACTCGAGTGACTGACTCGATTAGCCAAAGTAGAAACCATGTCAGGGAATCTTACTGTCAAAAGGATCTCGTCCACCTGCAAAGGATTCGTCGTGATAAAGTTGGCGTATCACTCCACACACTTCGTCTGTAGCTTTGCATAATGCCTCATCAGGAGACCTATAGCAAGCTTCGTATACGTAAAGACATCGGGGTAAAGCCTCCGCCATTATTTGGCATCGCGTTTTATTGAATACAGGCTCATCAATACCTGGTTTTGTCGTACAGAGGGTCTCGTAGTAACCGAATGTGGTATCCATGGGAGAAACGAAGCCATTTCCGATCAATATAGACTTGAGATCGATATTTGGCCTTTGGGGATGCATTTGATTCTGGCGGAGGATTTCTGCAGACAATGTCGGGACATAGTGTCCCTACAGCTAGGTCAGCATTAATCAATATTTGGTGTGCAGATTCATTCAATACCCCATAGCTTTCTCCTGCGATGTGAAATGGCACCGATCTCCGTTCTGGAAACACACTCGAGAGAAAGATCTGAAGGAAAATGTACATATCCTCCGCCGCGATCTGGGATGTTGTAGGAGTATCTGTCCCAGGATCAGTGTATGAGAGTCCTGTGCCTGCTGGCTGGTCGATAAAAATCATGGATGAGTTGGTGGTCCAGGAATAGGGGTTGCGATGAGTTCCTTCGCCTCTGGGATTGATGCGACAAGGTCCGAGTTCCAATAGCATTCCTTCAGCAACATTAGCGATGGAATCTTTTGCCAAATCATGAGAATACTTGCCTACCATGCCACTAACACCTGGACCTCCCGTCATCCATAGTGTTAATGGATCCTTGATGGGGTCGTTGAGAGTGTCAAAGTACCCTTCAGCTTGTTAACAGAGTCCACCACACCAGGATCGCAAAATTTACAGAAGAACATGTGTTTTCCATTAAAATCGAACCATCCTGTATACTGGTTGGAGCCCGCATCGCAGACCTCATCGCTCTGTTCTTTAATTCTCACGGAGTAAGAGGGGAAGTCGGAGTGTCTGTATGTTTGGAATGTGTCGACGAGGGGGACTTGGGACTGTGTCGCTCTGGCCAGCCCTAGTTGCAAGACAGTGATGGCACCAGCAAAAATACACCAACCCTTCATTTTGGCCATTTGGATGAGGCTGGAGTATTGAGGAAGAAAAGCAAGCAGCAACAGGGAAGTTTCCGTCTTATCTAACAACGCCATAAGTGCATTTTACCCTTTCGGGCAATCTCATTATCCTGACAGGGATTTCAAGCCTGTTTGTATGCCAACTGGTCACCGCATATTGCGATATATCACATTGCATTTGGCTTTACAAAGTTAATACAGACTATCGTGGCAAATACTAGATTGAGTATAACTGGATCTGCAGAAACCCTTGAGGAGTTGAGATACATTTTCAATTGAGTCAATATATATCCGACAGGTCAAACGGAGATTTACCGCAAAACGTGAGCATCTAGCAAAACCATAATAAGTTATACTCATCGTGATATCTTGATAATCTTGATAATTTAATAATTTAATAATTCTATTCAAAATAATATCTGTAGCCGATGAAGGTTGCAATTGAAATTATTCAGGGTCTGACTCTTTTGGCGCTAGCGCAGGGTAGCAGGTGTCTTGTCCCAAAGCGGTAACTGGAAACGACCAGCTCAACACTCTGGCCTGGATCTTTCTCGCGAAGAAAAAGCACAACCGATTGATGCCGTCTTCATCCTCGACGTTTTGATTGAAATTGGGTCTTCGCTTCGGCCTAAAGCTTAGCCACTATTTCCTCCGTTTAATCTTCCCCATCTGTCTCTGGACGGCGCGCTCGGACACGCTGGATGTCCCCGACCTGCTTCATTTGGCAACATGTATAACATCGAGTGTACGTACTCACGGATCTTGGCCGTACCTTAATGTGGCGGCAAGAGAGAGTATCGTTGGGCTCTAGTGGGATGAATTGGTAAGGTCAGCTCCTAAGAGCCACTTGTACTGACAGATCCTTTGACAGATATAAAGTCTTATGCCTCCACTCCTACCCTCCGCGAATCCACCTTTTCAACCATCAAGGCTGGTACAGATGGATCAATCAGTGATCCTCAGTCTCTTCTATGAGCCAAGATGGATCGTCCTGGCAGTGTTCTGCCTGCTGATTTGCAGTCTGAACGTCAGGTCTTTTCTTCGTCGAAAGCACATGGCCAGCATAGCCTTTACATCGAAGCATGCTCTATGGGGAACACTTAACTTCATTTCTTCTGTCACTTGTACGACTGCAGTCTTTGTCTCTGCGAATCAGAATGGAGTTTGCGACTGGACAAGAGTTTTGATTGGCTCACTCTGGGTAAGCTTTATGGATTGAGTATGCCGTTCCCCCCCCCACTGACAGGCTAAATAGGCTCTTGCATGTCTATTTCGGTTGTACTACCTGTTGGTCTCTGCCCATCGGAAAATATTCTCAAATAGCGCCCTCATTTTATGCCTTGCCCTTTTTCTCACGGATGATCTGCCACGACAACTGTACCCTTTGATATGGATACAATCTCGAGGCACTGTTAGTTTTTCGACGCCGGATATAATCGCTTTAGTGGCTTCAGCTACAAGTGCCCTTCTGGTACCCCTCTTGACACCATATCATTCTCGAGTCAATGATAGCAATCCCCATCCATCAAAAACCTGCTCACCCTTGTCAAGATGGTGGCTATATGCTTGGGTTAGCCCAGTTGTCGAAAAAGCATATTCTTATTGCGGCGCCATCAGTGCAGAGGACCTCCTACCGATCATTCCCGAAAATTCAACCGAACACTGGCTACAGGCTTATTCAAACTGCACACAGAACTTCCCCTCATTTAGGATGGCTCTATGGAAACTTTTCCGGTATAGATTGGCAGCAATGGCCTTCTTCGCCGGATTCTGTGGATTTTTTGAACTCATCGGAACTATCGGACTGCACCAGCTCCTTTTATTTCTTCAGAGGTCCCAGGAAACAAAACTTCAAGCCTGGTTCTCAATCATGCTCTTTAGTCTATGTCCAATAATACGCGGCCTTTGTATGCAAACGTTTGAATACTTTGCCACTCACACGATAGGGGACTGGAAAGCCCTCATCACAACCGCAGTGTACCGGAAGCTTCTTGTACTCCATGAAGACGCAGATATCGATGTCGGCCAGTTGCAAAGCAACATCTCAGCAGACATCGACAGGCTAGGTACACTTCGATACACCGCCATGACAGTTTTCATGGCCCCCGTGGAATTCATCGTGTCATCAGTCCTGCTTTACAAGATTATGGGATGGTATTATCTTCCAAGTTTGGCCTTTCTCCTTATTACGAGATATCCGTTGTCCAAATTCATTGTCTCAGCGCAATCCGGGGCCCAGTCGAAGATTCTACAAGCGGCGGATAGAAGGATCACAAAAACGAGTGAGAGTATACGGGCAATGTCGACTATCAAAATCCTCGGACATGTCCAGCCCTTCATTCGGAGGATCCTCAATGAAAGAGACCAGGAATTAAAAGCTATCTGGAGCAAAATGCAGGTTATAGTGACTTCAGAAAGTCTTTCCTCGGCTTGCACTTTTCTGGCACTCATTCTCTGCCTGGCACTATATACCATTATCGGCAAGAAACCTCTCGAGGCAGACATTGTCTTTACAGTCGTGGCAGTTTTTAACATCGTGAAGGGCATGCTTACATTAAGTGTCCTTGGTGCTGGTCAATATGCACAAGCCACAGTCAGCTTGAAGCGTTTGAGTGATTTTCTGGATCGTCCTGAAAGCGAAGTAACTACTATGTACGCCAAGGATGACGCTGTTAGCCAGGCTGAGGCAGGTTCTCGACACCCAACAACTGTTACCGTTCAGTCGTGTGCAGTACCCGGCAGATTGTCAGGAAACTCTGATGCTGAGCTTGTTCAAGATGGGCTAAACGTTGTTACAGGTGAATTGGGGTATGTTTATTGTGAACCCCTTTAAGGGATAATCCGTTGCTGAAAATATACTAGGTCGGGTAAAACCTTGCTATTGCAGTCATTATTGGGTGGTAGAAAACACATTCAAGGTGTGAAGGGATTCCAAAGATCACAGTTTGAGCCGATAGGTTATGTCCCGCAGAATCCTTGGATCTATAAAGGCAGCATCAGGGATAACATTATCTTCGGAGCTCCATTTGACCCCGAAAGATATGAGAATATTATCCGAAGTTGTGCGTTGGAGCCTGATTTTGCATCTTTCAAGGATGGAGATTTGAAAGACGTGGGTGAAGGCGGTCGTCGCCTTTCTGGGGGGCAACGCCAGCGGGTTGCACTCGCTCGAGCGGCATATTCGCATGCAAAAATTGTGATATTGGATGACATCTTATCAGGATTAGACCCAGCGACTACTAACTGGGTGATTGACAAGTGCATCCTGGGACCTCAAATGAAGGGACGGACGTTGGTTCTTGTTACAAATAATACTAGGCTACTGGATTTGGCTGATCTAAACGTCCACACGAGAAATGGTGCAGTTTTTCAAACAACCACGGCGCGTTTACTGAGCAGTGGTCCTGCAGTTTCAGAGGAGAGAAGTGCTGTGGATTCTTCACTGCCCAACACTCTCAATTCCGGAGAACAGAACGATTCTGTTGATGAAAATCAGGATTCAATTGAGGAATCGGAAAATTTTCCAGATGGAGAGGACGGCTGCAAAGGGGGTCTTATCGGTTTGGAATACAGTGAGTCATGCTTCCTTGATTGGCCATTCGCATGTTAATAGTTCCAGTGTGTAAATACATCCGATCTTTCGGAGGCTGGCCATTTATCATGATCGTGGCCATGTTTACTATCTTTGCGCAAATTATGGAGATCATATTGCCTACTTGGCTCTCTCTCTGGAGCAGGACATATATGGAAACCAAGCGAAATTCTGGCGCCGGATTTTATGTCACAGTATTCGCAGGTGCGTTGCCTTTCTACGCCAGCATAATGAAACGTCTAATAAATAAAACAGGCCTCGGCATTGTGCAGATATTTATACTGGCAATTTCACTGGTCTTGATGTATTCAGGATCCTGGAGAGCAAGCCGTGATAAACATCTGCAAATGCTGACTGCAGCTTTCGGGGCAACATATGCGTGGATTTGGCGTACCCCGGCTGGCCAGATAATCAATCGTTTTTCTTCCGACATTGCGAGTTTGGACGACACATTATTCAAGACTTTCCGACCGGTGATAGAGACTTACTTGTCCATTGGTTTCCGGATCATTACGGTATCATCGCTTATTCCTCTCTTCTTGTTGCCCTCTATCGCATTGACCGGGGTTGCAATTTACATCGGCTATCGCTACCGTTTCGCATCGACTGCGGTCAAGCATATGTACGCTGCAAGCCTGTCGCCTTTGCACCACAGTATTACAGAAACTGTATCAGGTCTTACGACGATACATGCGTTTCGTGCGGAGAAGATGCTCCAAGATCGGTTCGCTACAGCCATCGAGCATCATGTCCGGACCTGGAGGGCTGTCAGTGATCTCCAGCGATGGCTGGCAGTACGAATGGATATCTGCATTGCCTTGATATCATTCTCGGTGGCAGTTTTGGCGGTAACGCGTCAGCATGCAAACGCATCAGCAGTAGGTCTAAGTTTGACTTTGACAACTGGGCTCTGCACCGCTCTTCTATGTAAGTCTCCAGAATCGACGGTCGAAAGTGTGCCGCTGACCATTTAAAAGATCTTGTCTATCTCTCAAGTCTCTTAGAGGTAGAAATGACTAGCTACTACCGTATCGAGTCATACATTAAGGGCCTTCCCCAAGAGCCGAGCGACCTTGCAATACTCAACGACACGATTGAGAGTTGGCCAACTCATGGAGTTGTTGATGTGCAAAATCTAACAGCAGGGTACTCTTTGGATGAAGATGAAGTGCTGAAGGACATTAGCTTCAGAGCATGCCCTGGAGAGCGTGTCGCCATTGTAGGTCGCACAGGAAGCGGCAAGAGTTCCATGGCTTTAAGTCTGCTACGATTGACGATCCGGCTTCACGGTTCGATAAACGTCGATGGAGTTGACATTGAATCCCTTGATGTCGACCGACTGCGGCAGCACATAAGTCTTATACCGCAAGACCCGACACTGTTTGACGGTACCATCCGATTCAATTTAGATATGAACGGTGCGGTAAGTGATGAGCATTTGCAGGGCGTCCTGGATGATGTAGCTGGTGCAAGTAAGTGGAAACTGGACGACGTCGTCGAAGCAAACGGAAAGAATTTCTCGCGAGGTGAAAGACAGCTTATCGCTCTCGCGCGGGCCATGGTGACCAAGAATAAGGTCTTGATTATGGATGAGGGGACGGCCAGTCTCGACCCAGTAAGCGAAGAGCGCATCCATGCGGTTCTCCGGGCCAAATTCAACGACTGGGCTGTCATAGCAATCACGCACCGGTTGCACAACATTGTCGACTTCGACCAGGTTCTCGTATTAGACAAAGGGCGGGTGACGGAGCAAGGAAAGCCGCGGCAACTCCTGAATGAGGGGCAAGGGCCCTTCTGGGCACTCTACATGCAACAGGGGGTGCATGGAGACCGTTGATAATAAAACTGAAAATCCTAGAAACAACAGTTGTTAGGTTTCAACCACATGTTTTAACGCTATGGATCACGAGAGAGACGAAACTTGCCCTTGCCTAGGAAAGGAAGAGGACATGTGTTCGCACGAAATAAAAGGACCTTTGCAAGAACGGGACCAACCGCCAGCAGGTGATGGGAGAGAAATCCTGGACGATTTTTGCCTCGGAGCACTGGCCTTGTGAAACATTAATGCATCGTCCGGTGAATCAGCTCGTCGTCTGGTTCGTCACAGCGCCAGACAAAGAAACAAATGGCGCAACACCGCCGCCCTTTGCACGTATCACATCGGATCCTGCTGGGCCCCTGTTGGGCCTGTTTCGAGTCTCCGCCGACCACCAGGCGCTGACGGCGTTAGCCAACTTATCTAGTTTGGCCCCCTCTGGAGAGTGCTGAGTGGCGATCTGCAGCTTAGATCTGTTAGTTCGTCGATCCCTTGCACCTAAATGCTTGCCGCCGTTCCGAAAGGGGCTGGAGAATGGGGGAGAGCAACTCCAGACTTTCTGGACTTTCTGTGGATGCTTTCGCTGCCTTGAATGAATCGACGAGATTGGAACTCTGGCTAGGATAGCCTCATGTTTTTGTCACCACCGTGCTTTACCTGATACGCGACATTCGCTGTGATTTCTGTCCAAAAACACAATCCTTCCCCTGAGGACTGTTATGGCACTTTGATCAGCCGTCTATGCTTCACGTGGAGTGCCATCTCGATTGTCGATAACTATGCCCCTTACCTCATCTCAACCAGCTGTCAGTGAAAGACCTCGCAGAAAGCGAAATGTCGTCTCGCGTGGTCGAACAGGCTGCCTTACCTGCCGGAGGAGAAGGTTGAAATGCGACGAGACAAAGCCTGGGTGCAACAATGTAACTATCCTGTTCAAATATCCAGTGATAAAAATACCAAATCTTCTGGTGCTGACGTTGATTTAGTGTAGGCGCGTGAACTTGCCATGCGAAGGCTATGCGCAGAGAATTACCTTCAAAGACCAGACGAATTTCATTGTCGAACGGGCGCAGGGAAAACCTCCCAAAAGAAAAGGCCAAACAGAATCAACTTTGATAAAAGACGAGACGGACGAACCGGATCATTCGTTCAATACCATCTCTGACTCGTGTCAACACTCTTCGCCAGTGCTCAAGAGACTACCTACTCCGACCTCGCAATCTCCCGAATTTCACATTGTGCAAACAACACCTCTAGACTTCAGAAGGGAAGATTTCGATGGGGCGTGTCCAGGCACATCAAATACTACTGTAGCCTCGGACTCCATCTCGAAGAAACGGGAACTTCGTACTCCAATACGATTCAGTGGCAGGAACCTCTCCCCGGCTTCCGATCGGGATACGTTTTCATCCTTGGAGAAGTCAAGTACTATTGACAGAGGCTATATGACACCATGCTCTCCTGAATCTATGGATATTAAGCTTTCTCCCAGCCGGGTGGTTCCAAATTCCTTTCTCGCTCTTACCGGGGCTTTTGAGTTCCCGGAAGACTATAGGTACTACGAATACTCTGTAGGGGGCAGCTTTTCGAGTTTATCTAGAATACTACCTCTATCGGAACTATTCAAAGCAGATCCTGTTTCTCCCCATGTCCATAATGCCGCTTTGGCTTTATCAGCTCTTACCCTGTCTAGTTTTGAACCTCACGCCAGAGGATCTGTGCCTCTTCGCCGTCACGCATTCCACCACAGTCTGAAAGCCGTGCAAGGTTTACAGAATGAACTTTCCCGTACAACCCAGTCTCAAACAATGAGCGAGTCTTTAAGCACCGATGCAGCTCTATCGTTATTTACTACCACTATGCTTTTAGCAAATTTTGAACTCCAGCGAGGCTGTCTACTATCATGGCGCTCTCATATGCATGGTGCTGCTATATGCCTCAATTCCGGATTCAAGACAATAGTCAAAACATCTGCAGGGATGCTACTTATTAGGGCTTTTGCGAGAATGGCGCTTCTGTTGCGCTTGTACAACGAAGAATATTCTGTAACCACGCAAGATACCATGTCCCCGAAGCTAGCGGATTGGCTGAATCTCCTTCTGAAGCAATCTTCAAATTTACACGACAGGATATTGTTGATGGTAGAAGAAATCACGAGGCTCGAGATTCAAAAGCGTCAGTATCCGTCACAAGATGAGTTTTGGTCGCAACAGAGCGCCGAGCTTCTCGTAAGGCTCGAGGAATGGCGGCAGGATCTGCCCGATTCGGAAGTTCCTGTCGAAGACAACTCCATCGAAGCCTACTTGACCATCTCTGCTCCTAATCAGGAATCTTTGGTCCGTGTTCCTGCGCTTTCATTTCCTAATTCGGCAGACCCCTGTGCTGCCGCCGTCAACTACGCCACATACATCTGTACGGGAATGCGAGCGCGTACTCGTTACCTACCAGATGAAGGACGGGTACTACCGCCCGGCGTGGAGCAAACGGCTCTCACAATTTGCCGTATTGCAGCAGGTATCCCACCGGCGCGATTTGGAGAGTCCTTCACCTACAGCCATGGCATGCTGCCCCCAGTCGTGGGAGCTTACCGGTGGTCAACCAACCCCGGCCTCCGCATCTGGGTCAAACATTGGCTGGCAGGCTACAAGGGAACCCGTGAGGGCATATGGAATATAAGCCAAACCCTAAAACTTCTCGCAACAATGGACCGTCAATTCTCAAATGAGGGCCTTTCATCGGGTCGGGGATTTGTCGCTGTTCGAATGGTCGACGAACTAACAGATCCATCGGCAGATCTGGTAGAAACGGACGGGAAAAAACCCTTCAAGATCCGATTATACTCGAGGGATCAACAAGAGGGTCTTTCGAAAAAGCTCGTCGATGTGGAGTAGGTGACGATATCTTCGTCTTTGCTTTTTCTGGGATGAAATGGAGGCAATGAGGTGGGGAAGCTTGAACGATTTGATTTCGTTCCTTGACGACCTTTTATGAATGACGGGTTATGGGTTTGCCCGATTAAAGATAGATAAGCATACCTGGGCAAAATTGGGCTTGGTGTATCATCACACTTGGATATAACTGGGGTCTCATGCATTTTTGGATTACAGACATTTTAATGTAAAACGGGGTCTTGATGCCACCCAGCTTCATCTTCCTGTATGGGAACATCAGATTTATGATATGAAGTCCTTTATCCGTAGCAGGGAGATATGTCAACCATGCTGGATTTTGGCCAGCGTGCAGACTTCTGCTTCGCTCGTCAATGCTGGCATTCTAGAAGGGTGATGTCAATCAAGATGGCGACTTCCTCAAGCAGTTGAGTGATTCTAACCACCGACTTGATCGAATGAGAAATATGATCTACTTTTACTTCGTCTTAGTGACCGGGTCATAAATGATCTACGGGAATAGAGGATTTTTCAGGTTCGTCAACCAAATTGTCATGCCGACGTAGATCATATAGGCAGAGGCAGAGTTTAGCTCAAAACCAAAACATTAAAGAGCACAGGTTACAACAGATCGACAGAGATGTAGAGTCACAACATCCTAATATTCGATGCCAACTTGATAATCATCCAAACATTAACAAGAAACAGTGTAGCCATACGCCATAACTCACACGCCCAGGCCAGAGTTTTCAACCGTAATAAACACCGACAGCAGAAACAAAGTAGAAGCAATAAGACATACATAAATGCAGCGCAGTAAAGAATAAAAGCAATATGATGCAATAGTACGGGGTATGCAATGAACATCTCCCAACCCTGGTAATAACCGGGTATCGAGAAAGACAAGGTAAGAGGAATGAAAAATGTAATACGAGAAGAATAATTAATCAAGGCTCAAGAGCACCTGAGAACGGAGAAGAAAAGACGTAGGAAACCAGTCCACGTAGAGTTCTACTTCACCCGGGTAGGGCTCCCTGCACTTCCAATCCGGCCGCTGGCCTTGCGAACTCCTCGAGATTCGCTCCTGCTGTCTGTTACACGACGAGGGCTTGACCGAACTTTGGCCATGGGAATCGCACCGCTCTTTGAGCTGACGGGGGTCTTGGGGATAGCATAAGAGCCGTCGCCCCAATTTTCCCGGTCCTCGTGGATGTCGTCTGTCAACGTGTAGCTAGCGGTGACGGTGGCAGAGTAACTGATAGATCGCTGGGCTGAAGACGCCACGGGGGACTTAGAAGAACGCTTCGCAAGCATGCGGAGTTGGGTTTCTTCTTCACTCTCGCTGCTATCATTGCTATGACGATGGCTGCGGTGGTTGGATTGCTCATTGTTCTTGCCCGTGTCCTTGTCGACAGCAAGGCTACCAGATGTGGTACGAGCGTAAGGGTGATGCCTTGAATCCTTTCTGTGAGACTTGCGGGGTTGGCCAGGAGTCGGTGCTGGGAGGTTCTCTTCGGCCTGAGCTCCAGCACCCTCATTATGATCGATTTCTCCCAAAGCAGACCGTTTCGAATGACCATTGTTGGGTGGCGTTGCCACAGAACTATGGTTTGCGCGTTGCTTGGTAGACGGCCTACCGGGTGTGACAGGAGCCATTTGAGCTAGCTTCTCCTTCATGCTATCCTCAAACCACCATCCACGGAAGGAGCCCTGGTTTAGGTGCAACCAATGTTGTTGAGGTCCAACAACCATACCCGGTCGCATGAATCTCATGAAAGCAATGATTTCATTGGCAGTAAATCCGTAACGGTAAATGAGATAGGCGCCGATCAAGCAGCCCGTACGACCGAGGCCTGCTTTGCAGTGGACGGCAATGCCCTTGTTCTTGACGGTGATCATCTCGTGGGCCATTTTAATAAAGCGTCGAACAAGCGGCAATGGAGGGCAGGTGCCATCTTCGAAGATCATGTCAATGTGTGTGATTCCCAAAGCTGTGAAGTAGGAAGGACAGTAGAGCTCAGAGTTCAATCGGACGACTAAGCCGACATTTCGGGACGCAAAGTGTGCCAGGACGTTTTTGAAAGGAAGAGGTAGTTTGGAGTTGAGCACCTGAGATGCAGTAGACGGCAATGCAGCGTATTCGGGGGTGTTCGCCGGGATCGGCTCGATGGGACTGTGCTGTGGAGACGCAAAAGCCAGGAAATGAGGCGTGACCCAGTTGAAGTCACCCATGTCGACACGTTCAAACTTCTCATATCTGGACCTGTCAGTAAATCATCGTGACACGATGTTGGGGGCAGCACATACTCCTCAAGACTAAATTCTCTCAGCCCGCACAGCGATTGTTCTTTCGCCTTCCACACACCGTAGACTACGTCTTGGATGTTCAAGACAAAGTCTGCTTGGCTATATCCAGCGTCACGGAAGGGCATGTAAGGGGGGTCCGCCTGTGCGATGGGTGCCAACGCCAGGTGCGGGGGCCAGGATTGGATGAGGACCATGTAGCAAGCTACAAGGCATGCGGCATTGGCACGACTCCGTGAGTCTGTCTTGCTGTAAAAGACCACAGCACGATCACTGTTGGCAGGATCACCGAGGATCTCATGGAAGTAGACGGCAAAGCGGTACAGATGGCCAATGTGAAGAGGGCCAAAATCGGCATGGAAAGCATTGTAGAGCAGAGTGTCGTCCACCGTGAAATACACGGGGCTTCGGCGCTTGCTGCTGGGTGTGCTTGGCTGAGCTCGCGAACGCTTGCTGGGCGACTTGGAGTGTTCCAATGGATAGGGAAATGGGGTTCTCGAGTCCGGTGTGGAGTCATAGGAGGCAAGGTACAAACGATCTGCACGTTGAAGAAATGTCAGTAAGCCGCAACGCCAGAGCCATGCCATGTGGGATCAATGCACAGGCAAACACAGGCAAACACAGGCAAACGAACCTTGGATGTACTCGATCACCTGCCCATAGCCACCATAGTTCGAAGACATGTTGATTGCCAGAATGCGTGACGGATAAGATAGATAGGTAAGAGTAGTTGAAGCTGATGGGGAATAAACAACCTGATTGCGCGGTAACCAGGGGAAAGATCAATGTTTGTTTTTTTTTTTTTTTTCCCGTCTCTCAAAACAATACAATTGCAATTGTTTCAAAGGATAGTCACGTCTGATCAACAAGTATAGATCAACAAGAAAACAACTGGTTCAAACTAAACAGTCATGGTCTGGTCAATTGAAGCCCCGAACAGATGATCGTGATTGATAGACCACAGTTGACTTGAGCTCAGGTGCCTGGGACAGGTAAGGATAGAGGCGACGTGATATGAGGATGAAGATAGAGAAGAGGAAAGCGAAGGGCAGCGGGGTTGAAGAAAAGAAAAGCCGGAGGCGAGAGGAGAAGATGTTGATCGCACGAGAAGAGAAGAAGAGAGTGTGTGGAATGGTGGAATCGAGGCCGATGAGACCGTTTGGGCAACTGCGATGCACGCTCGGCGGCTGTGGTTGGCCTGTTATGTTGTGGTGTGCCCAAAGAGGACTAGCGGCCGCTGTTGACGCGACAACGGCTTTCTGCCTGAGGCGGAGAAGAACATATTCAGGCACTTTAAGGCATCAGCAGGCATACATGCTCTGTCAGCACATCTTAGCTAAGCAACCGCCCCCGCAGGCAAAACAAAACAAGCACCAGCCACATAAAAACAAACACCGCCACAGTGTTAGGTTGCTGCCCCTCAGCCACTGTTTGAGGTTTGGGATCTCGTTACGCCTCAACTTCCAGTCTACAGAGCACGCCTTATCAAAGCCATCTCCATCTTGGACAGGATTTGGCTGAAGCATCAATTGCCATCAGCACTCTGTGTCTAATTGACTACTCAACTAGTCCTGAGGCATGATTCAGGTATGGCTCTGTGTGGCCATAGTTGTCCCAGGGTCATTGGCTGGTGACTGATCTGGACTGTATTGGCTTTTGGCTGCTGCAGTTGAGTTTCGGGTCGTATGACCGTATCTACAGGGCTGACAGGGTATGGAGATCCAGATTCAAAGATCGGGGGAGCTTCGAATCACTCCAATCCATGTTCGGCTTCCTTCTGTGCTGTAAACAAATGGCCGGAGGGAAGGGAAATGATGAGGTGATAGGACACCACTCAGCGCTATATATTCTTTCCATCAGACTCAATTTCCGTACAGCTACGAAGGAACCTTCAGAGCGAAAGTGCAAAAAGGAAACTGACCCAATTAATGGCCACAGGCCATAGGGGATGAACAGGAGATGAACTTGTGGAGGATCCTACATCGACACCGATAGTAAGGTTCGGGCAATCATCGACCACAAACCCAAGCTGAAAGGACGTCAATGATCGCTTACGAATAGCTTCCAATAGCTCAACGATCAAGATCCTCTTCTCCTTTCTCAAATTTTCGGTTCCATGGATGGGTTTGCAAATGGTCTTGTCTTGAAAACCGGGCTTCTCGAAGAGATGGAATAGTTACCCCATAGCTGTTCCACACTCCGTCATGCCGGGATTATGTTCAAGCGTCCATTATTGAGCACATGAACAGGTCTACAAGGCCAACAGTGAACAGCGCCTGATCAGTGTTCCAAGACATCTCGTTGCCTATGGAGCTATCGAGTACGTAGCACACACTAAATACCTACGAGAATGCCCCATAATCGACACTACCAGAAACGTTTATGCTGGGGCGACGGGGAAAGAAAAAAGACGCAATCGATGTGGAGCATCAAATTACGCTTTCATCAAACCAACATAACACCAAATACTACCTCATTCTTTGACCTCCAAACGATGTATTTGATTTGTTTTTTACCATCAGGGTTGACTACTGTGACTGTCGATGTATCGTGATGGCTCGGCATTTTCAGTATTGGGATTGGCGGGCAACATGGGATCGACAGGGATGACTCCACTGCCAAATGCCGCGCCAGTCACAGTGGCTGAGGTAAGGCAAATTATACTCTCTGCCGCCACAGCCTTGACAGTCGGTGCCACTTTTTCTCGTGTAACTCTCACATCGCTGAGAGGGAGAAAAACAAAAACAGCCATGGTTGCATGCTGTTTGGATTTGATGCAGAACTGATTAACGCACTGCAGGCTGATTATGACTCCTACTATTGATAAGAATTCACCGACGAGGCGCAAGGTGATGGTGTCAAATCACAGTGACCATCCCTGTCTGGGGTGTTGGGAATCTTCAGTTAATCTTGACTATCTGCAGCTAACCACCCACTATTCTTTTTTAGCTCGGACAGACGGGTAAAATGACGTTGGGCTTCAACTCCGTCGATGTAAAACAGTACATTTCATGTCAAGGAAGCTCTTCTACGGGCTGCTGGCGGAGTCTTTTCCACCGATCGTCACCTTCTACAATGCTCCATCTGGCCAATCATCAACGCATCGTCACATTTTCAAAGCCTATTCGGGTGCTGGGGCCCCGCCAAGTCTGTATGGACGGGTTTCCCCCGCAAGGTTACCGCTCTTTGTCTTCGTCTTTGTCCCAGGGGTCATGCAACCTATCTGGAGTTGCTTGAAAGGAAGAAATATTCAAAGTATTCGAGGCAATAGTAGCAGATATGGATCATTCACAACAAGAATCCAACGAGAGGAGTCATAATTTTTTTTCTCTATGTGGTCAGTGATGGCTTCATTGACGCCCTGGCTATGGACGGCAAGTCTCTACAAGATCAAAGCGTAAGTTACAGCGACTAGGCACCAGGAAGGAAGGCGTTATGGCGCTCTGCCCAATTGGATACGCCCCAGCCGTGGAAAAGCTTCTCTTTGTTAAGCTTGGGCCATGTTGATGGAGCCATGTGGGAATATCACTCGTTCAATCAACTGTAATCCTGGCTCGAAATTGCTGATCTCATTTCCAACGGGGATGAGATGGAGAACAAGTTTCGTTCGTCTGCCGATCGCTATTATGATTGTTCTCCGACTGGACCTACTGGAGAATACGTGATGGAGTCTTGTGTTTGCTGCTGAGGGTGATAGGCCTGCGAGGTTAGTTCACTATGCGTCCATCTCCTTTTTCACGATGCCCCTGATCTGCATGTCGAGGTAAGGAAAGTTGAACGGAGAACCAGACAATAGGGACTAGGGAGATGTTCTCCATCGGTTCCTGTATATAAAGCGGCCTCGAGTGCGGTTCATTAACCTTCTCTTCTTTCTTCTTCAGTCCAGACACTCATTCCACTCATTCCAGTCGTTCTTTCGGACACAATTGCTACCGCAATCCGTTCTTTCTCTTTCTCAACTACAGTCATTCTTTCTTAATAAACCGGTCAAACCAACCGTCATAATGAAGTTCAACGGAATTGTTGCCTCGCTGGCTATTGCCAGCACTGCTTCCGCCGCTGCCATCCCCCGCGATGTTGCCGTTCAGCAGGCTCTCGACCAGGTGACCACTGTCGCCGGTAACGTTGACAACCTTGTCAACGGCCTCGTTGGCGGCCTCCTCGGCTGCAGTGACGTTACCAAGGTCCAGCAGGGTATGCTTCAGCTCCCATCCGACAATTTCTTGACGACAGGGCACCTGAATAGGCTAACACGTTTTGATATCAACAGAGCTTTCCAACGTCAAGACCCAGCTCTCCAAGGCTCTCCCCGTCAAGCGTGACATTACTTCCGATGTCACAGACACCGCCGGCAACGTTGTCGACGAAGCCACCAGCGGTATGTGCCTGAACACCCATTAGAAGCCAAGAATGAAGCTGACAGATTAATAGCTGTCAGGAACATCGGCCGTGACTCTGGTGCTCTCGCCACCGTCAACGACCTCGCCAGCTCCCTCCTCGGTGGTGCCCAGGATGGAACCCTTAGCCTTAACCAGCTCACCAACCTCCTCAACGGTATCAACGCTGGTGGTCTCGACCAGATCCTTGGTGGTCTCACCCAGGGTGGCCTCGCTAACGTTTTGAACAACGTTCTCGGTGGCCTCCTTGGTGGTCTCGTTAGCCGTGACTCCGGCGCTCTTGCCACTGTCGATGACCTTGCTAGCTCCATCCTCGGTGGTCTTAAGGACAACAGCCTCAACATCAACCAGCTCACCAACCTCCTCAACGGTCTCAACGCTGGTGGTCTTACTCAGATCCTCGGTGGTCTCACCCAGGGTGGCCTCACTCACGTCCTGAACAACGTTCTCGGTGGTATCCTTGGTGG